TGCTATCATTTGAATTGATATTGCGATTGTTTGTAAGAGAACCGAATGCCGATCCTTTACTTTGCTTCAAGAGAGATTCTAAAAGTGTTTTGATTTCCTTGACTTCATTTAACTCGCTACTTAAAAGTGGACGTACAGATTCACATATGTCGTTTAAGGTATATTTTTGCTTATTAGAAGCTTCTTCAAATTCTTTTTCTTCCGGATACAAGATCTGGTTCTTTGGTGCTAATGGGGTTGAGTGAGATGAAAAGTACATTTGCGAAGGCTTTGCCTTAAATCTCTTCTGATTTGAATCATCCGACAATCTCAACAGCTTGTCCATATCTTTCGCTAGCCTCAACAATCGTGTCGTATCAACGTTGTTACTGCTGAAGGATGTGCTACTCAAGTCTGTGGTTGTCGCGTCCTGCGATAGGTGTAAATACGATTCAGTCACAGGTTGTGACATATCATCTAAAGTTGTTTGCATCTGTTTGTTCGAATCTGTTGGTTTGAATCACGTCCCAGTGTTTTTCAGCTGTTGAATAGATGGATTTGATGTTCCTGCTGGCCAAAGCCCGTGATTCAATGGTTTTGCAATACTGATATTTGAGTTGTGCTTTTGAGGAATTTGACCTATCTTGCAATTTCTTAGCGGGTCCAATATATGTCCAACCTTATGTTTCCTCTAAGCTGAGAGTGTAAAGAAGCAACCTATTACGATAGTTATCTGATGACCCAGCTGATGGACCGTTTGATGTAAGGTTTGAGAGTTGCCGTGGGAAAATAAGTGAGAATCACAAGAATCTTCTTCTTGTAAACAACGCGAGAAAGCTCTTTTTGTTTGTGACATTTTTTATGACACAAAGTGGGCTCATAAATTTTTCATTAGAAGAGCTCTACATAGTAACTACAGAAGGAGCATTTCAAAAGCGTTTACCTCAGGGGCAAGCTATAATAAAATGTCTGACGTACCCATGGATGAACAAGAGTATGACTTGGAAAAGATAAAGATGTTACCTGGAGCATCAGAGAATGGTACTGCCGCTTCATTTCAGATAGTAGATGAAGACCACACACTTGGTAATGCATTAAGATATATGATCATGAAAAACCCAGAGGTCGAATTTTGTGGTTATAGCATTCCTCATCCATCTGAAAACAAACTAAATGTTAGGATCCAGACTTACGGTAACATCACGGCAGTTGAGGCTTTACATCAAGGTTTAGATAGCTTATCTGAGATGTGTACTGTGATTGAAGAGAAGTTTAGTGAGAAGATTGAAGCAGGAGGTTATGGTACAGTCGAGCCATGAGCTCTATCTTAACATAGTATCCTCTCCCTGCTTACTCCGCCATTTCATAATGCATATCTCAAAGTAATGCCAAGTCGTCTTTACCAATTTGTAGAGAAGCTCGTGTTAACTCATTTGTTGAAACAAGATCTTCAGATTATTACTTAAAGCAGGTCCTATTGTTCAATACTTCAGAACCTTTTCACAACAAAACGCATGGATTGAGAGTCATTATGATGGTATCAGTAATGTTTAATATAACACTGGAAAAGATATGTGTCCGTGCTTGGTCGCTTGATCGCTTGATTTGTACATCCTTTAATTATTATTGAAGTATACTGACTTTGTCATATATTATATTTTGTATATTATTCTATATCTGCATATTTTCAGCATAATCTATAGATTAATGAAGCAGTTATTTTCATATCGCTTTTAGAGTTTTGTATCTTTTGTTTTTTATACCCAATTAGGCATTCTACGATTTTTTTTTTCTTTTTTATTTTGCCTCATCTCAAAGCCCACACTATAAACCCTTATATTTTTTTTTTTAACTTCAGAAAACTTTTTTTATTTTGATAAGCAATCCATTTGTATTTAATCTAAGAAGAGATTCAGGTCTTGGTAGTTTAAATTTAGTGGTCAATACAGTGCGTGTGTTTAAGTGGATAGTTCAAAATGTCTTACAACAATAATAGATCAGATGGATTCAATTCATACGGTAGACCAGGTGGAAGAGGTGGTTTCCGTGGTAATGGTGGTGGATACGGTGGCCGTGGTGGTGGCCGTTTCGGAGGTGGAAATAGATATGATGAAAGAGTTGAGTTGACTACACCAGAATGGGATTTAGATACCTTACCAAAGTTCGAAAAGAACTTTTATCAAGAGAACCCTGCTGTTACAGCTCGCTCTGCTCAAGAAGTTGATCAATTTAGAAAAGAGCATGAGATGACTTGCTTAGGAGACAATATTCCTAAACCAATCACTACCTTTGATGAGGCAGGATTTCCAGACTATGTTTTGAGGGAGGTTAAAGAACAAGGCTTTCCCCTGCCAACCGCCATTCAATGTCAAGGATGGCCAATGGCTTTGAGTGGTAGAGATATGATAGGTATCGCAGCTACGGGGTCAGGTAAAACATTATCATATTGTTTACCTGCTATTGTTCATATTAATGCTCAACCGTTACTTAGTCCTGGAGATGGACCCATTGTCCTTGTTTTGGCTCCAACTAGAGAATTAGCTGTTCAAATTCAACAGGAATGTTCCAAATTTGGTGCCTCGTCTAGAATAAGAAACACCTGTATTTACGGTGGTGCTCCAAAAGGTCAACAAATAAGGGATTTAGCAAGAGGTGTTGAAATTTGTATCGCAACACCTGGAAGGTTGATCGATATGTTGGAAACTAATAAGACTAATTTAAGGAGAGTTACTTATTTGGTTTTAGATGAAGCCGATCGTATGTTGGATATGGGATTCGAACCTCAAATCAGGAAAATTGTTGACCAGATCAGACCAGACAGGCAAACTTTAATGTGGTCTGCAACCTGGCCCAAGGAGGTTCAAAACTTGACTAGAGATTATTTGAATAACCCCATTCAAGTTACTATTGGATCTCTTGAGTTATCGGCTTCTCACACTATCACTCAGATTGTTGAAGTTGTTTCTGAATTTGAAAAGCGTGATCGTTTGGTAAAACATTTGGAAACAGCAACTAGTGATCCTGAAGCCAAAATATTAATCTTTGCTTCCACAAAAAGAACCTGTGATGAAATAACCAGTTACTTAAGAGCAGACGGATGGCCAGCATTAGCAATTCATGGTGACAAGCAACAAAATGAAAGAGATTGGGTTTTGAGAGAATTCAGATCAGGTAAATCACCAATTATGGTAGCAACTGATGTTGCGGCAAGAGGAATCGGTAAGTATTTTTTTTTTGAGATCCATTTTTACTAATACGGGTTTAGGGCATAATCATAGACAAGAATTCAGGACTGTTTTTAAAGAGCTTAGGGTACCTTTCTCTACCCTGTGCCATTTTTCAGTCTAATATCTGCAAAGAATACGTGAGGAAGAATGAACGCGGGCGTTCACATCAAGGAGATGAAGATTATATGGAAAGCAACGAGGAATAAATTTCATTTAGTGACTGGCTAGCTTTCTATATAATTAATACATATTTCTCCTTCGCTCATGTGCTCTGTAGTTTTATGATTTAGCTCGTAAGAATTTTTTGTGCTAGAATACTAACATTTATAGACGTGAAGGGAATTTCTCACGTTATTAACTTGGATATGCCAGGTAATATTGAAGATTATGTTCATAGAATTGGAAGAACTGGTAGAGCAGGTACATCAGGTACAGCTATCTCTTTTTTTACTGAAGCAAACTCTAAGATGGGAGGTGATTTGTGTAAGATTATGAGAGAAGCAAACCAGCAGATTCCACCAGAATTATTAAAGTACGATAGGAGAAGTTTCGGCAGCCACATCAGATATGGCAGAGGTGGAAGAGGTGGTTTTAGAGGTGGCAGAGGTGGAAGAGGTGGTTTTAGAGGCGGAAGAGGTGGTGGCGGTGGCTATGGCTACCAATCCGGATCTAATGTCGCTCCTTTGAGTCACCGTCGTTTCTAAACTTTTCTCAAGGGATAGTAAGCGATACGTTATCCATTTTTGGTTATTTATATAACTTTTTTATATATTAATAGATAGTTCATAACTCTGTTCATCTTGATCGCGTGCACATCTGTAGTGGACAATTAATTAATAAAGCTCCATCTTCTATACAAAAAAAAAATATTTCTGACATTAGTTTCATTCTTCTAGTAATCGTGGTCATATGCTAGCTCTCTTCCGGATCTCATTGGCTCTCTCGAAGTGGTCTTTTATGCTTGGTTCATTTTCACCGGTGATAGGCATCGCAAAAACCGTCCTTTATCGAGTCCGACTTTGATAGTGATTTTAAAAAATGCATGTGATAATTGACATTAAAGTTTGCAACCATCAAGAACTTAATGATTAACTTCCAAAAGAGCCTCTTTTTGTCTGTATTCAGTCCCTTTAGAAAGAGTTCATTGCTGCGACCTAGGAGGGCCCTTATATATCACTTATAACGCTCTCCATCTTTACCGCACAGGTGTCGTCATCGTTGGACAAGTTTACACAGTCGGATTTTTCAGTTAGTCGAACTTTCCGCGATCTTCGAATCCAAAGATTCAGGTAAAAGTTTAATCAAAAGCACTAAAGGAATACTGGAAGTATAGAGTCTAGTTACAATATGACAGAAACTATGACATCCACTGCATCCAAGAATACTATTTCTGGTGCTAAAGGAATTACGTTTCTTGGTGAGACATTCATTGTGCCAGAGACTCACGACGTAATGAAGACACTTTTCGATCCTACTGTAAGAAAATCCAACTTCGAATTGGCAATTCTTTTGACACTTGCTCTGAATGGACTCGTGTTTTGGATCGTTAAGAGTCCACAAGCAAGGGTTGATGTTTTCATTGGACTTTACATATTGTGGCGATTTTCCTATAATTTTGGAATTGGTTATCTCTTGAACCAACAATCGAATCATTTTAAGTTGGTAGGCTGGGCAAAATCTACTAAAGTTTTTGATCCCGAAAACAGTTCTATGACTTCGAAGCTTGTGAAGGCAGAGATCAAGTCTCAGATGGGTTCCAAATACAAAATTTCCGAATACCCAATTGAGTTTAATACTTGGTTAATTTTTAGGAAAGTTGTCGATTTAATCTTGATGCTGGATTTTTTCTCTTTTATTGGTCTCGTAGTTGCATGTTCAATGAATAAGGGCTATCAATTCATCAACGGCCAAAGTTCTTGGGTCATATACACAAGATTGATAGTCGGTTCCACGTTAATTTTGTTTAATTTATGGGTTAAAGTCAATGCACATAACACTATCAAAGACTACGCATGGTATTGGGGTGACTTCTTTTTCCGTCAACTTAACAATGAAGATCTTATATTTGATGGTGTGTTTGAGATGTTTCCTCACCCAATGTATTCAGTTGGATACATTGGATATTATGGATTTGCTTTGATATCCAAATCTTACACTGTTTTGGTAGTCGCAATCTTTGGTCACTTCTTGCAAATGATTTTTTTGCATTATATCGAAAACCCCCATATCGATAAAATTTATGGACCTTCGAGTAGTGAGTCAGATACTGAGAGACTTTTAAAACTCAAAGATTTGAGAGCCTTTGATAACGAAAAGCCATTAATCGGGTTATGGAATTTTAACTTTCTCAGAGCGTCTGACTTGGTGAATTTGCTTTTGACTGCTACCTATGCTTTGATACTTCCATCGTTGGCTCTTCTAACGAAGGACAGTTCAACATCCTTAAATTGGGTGATGTTCTTGCTAACAGTATCTATCAAAATCTTTGAATCTTTACTTATTGATGTTCTATTAATCCTTCAAAGTTATTACAAGACCTTTACAAAATGGTATTTATCAAATGACATTCCTGTTGAAAAATCTTTGAATAACTGGGCAATTATTTACAACACTTTTATAAATTTAACTTATTCATCATTTTTCGGCATGAATATTTATCAATTGCTCAGCCACCAGCATGATTTGTTTGCAGTAGAGTACTTTTACTTAAGATGTTTCCTTGGCCTTATTTTGATTTCAACGCAAATTTGGATTAATGCGTCAATTATTGACTCTATAGGCTACTTTGGATGGTTTTATGGCGACTTCTTTATTCCTAAGAAAACAACTGTCTTGACAAAAGCAGGTGTTTATCGCTATTTGAATAACCCCGAGCAAATATTTGGGGTATGTGGAATAATGGGCGTAACGTTGATTTCACCAACTTTAGAGAATTTGACTTGTTGTATTTTGTGGGTAGCAAACAACTTTATTAGAATCAATTTGATAGAAAAAATCCACATGATTAAGGTTTACGGCGAACAGGAGGTATTAAAGGACTCTGGCGTTACTAAGACTGTTAAGAAACACCTTCTTCCGGATGTTATCCAGAGAAGATTGAGTGAAACTCATGAAATGAGAGGAAACTCATTAAGTGATTCTTTAGATGCTTTTATTAAAGAGTTGAGAAGTTCGAATTCAAACCTCTCGAAGCAAAACCTAGTGAAGCTTTCTCACAATTTAAAATTCGAAAGTAATGAGTATAATTTGACTATTGAACCTGGTCCTTACACAATTGGGTCCCCAATTCAAGTCTCGTGGATTTCGCCTGCTGGCCATTCTCAGAAAGACTGGATCGGACTTTATAGAATCGCTCAGTCATCCCATTCTCGTAACAAGACCTTAGTATCATCCTCCGGAAGGTGGACCTGGTGCAAATCGAATAAGGACTCGTACACATTCTCTGGTGATAAGTTATTTTGGGAAGAAGGTTATTATGAGTTCAGGTATCATTTGGATGGTAAGCATGACGTAGCCTTTATCTCCGAACCATTCGAAATTAGAGCGAAGAAGATTGAAGTTGGAAATAATGCTGATGCTTTAGCCGAACTGTTGAAAGAAGAGATATTTGACTTAATTGTACCTATTGAATCTATCGACGTTCCCATTAGTGAAGAGGTTAACAAAACGACAAACATTTTCAAATCTTACAAACTTTTAAGTCATTTAATTTCACTTTCAACGGATATTAAGTTTGATTCGAAAGTCTTCCTCAATGATGACTTAACCATAAGGACATTGAGCAGTAAGCTTGTCAACATTCAACGTATCTTAGACGAATTGTCACACAAGGATTATAACGTTACTGAAACAAAAAAAAATGAGTAATTGTAAATAAGGATTAAAATTATGCTTCTTGGGTTATATACAACTAAATAACGTCAATTAGAGTCTTCCATTAAAAAAAAGTTTATATTACTTCTAATTTGCTTAGCCGTCTCATTGCAAGTATCGATTAGCTTACTTATCATGCCTTCATCGAGCTCAACATGAGATCCTTCAAATAGCAATCCTACTATCTCGTCATTTCGCAAATTCATGAAACTGATGATACACTCGACTGAGTCAAAATCATCAGTTTTTTGGACGTGATCATTCAAAATTTCATTAGATTGTAGCTTTAAGAGAGCCTGCCCACTAGTTACTATATCCTTCATCTCTATCTCTGCATCTACTAAGGCTATTGAGGAGCAATTAACGATCCAACTTAACAAATTAGTCAACAATATGTTATCCTCTGTTGAAATCACATTAATGAATAAATCAATCGTTGATTTAGGATATCTATTCAACATTAATGTAGGTAATAAAGAAGTTTCGACATAATTGGAAACCTTTTGCTCAACATTTGTAAAACTAGAGTTATGTGTCTTTCCTGAAGTTCCCAGCTGTTCGCCATTAAATACAGATTCTTCAGGTTGTGGTAGATAGGGCAAAAATTTAGTCTCCACCGAAAATGAAGCCCTTTCAACAAAGGAGCCCTTTATAGGCCTAGGTCCATAAACTGAAACTTCAATAATAGTCTTTCCAATTTCTAAGTATGCAGATCCATTTGCATTTTCAATAAATCCTCTTTTCAAAAACATTTTCCTTTCTTTATCATTTGGCCCCGTTTTGATAGCTTCAGCCTTTCCGTCTGAAGATATACCCAACGAAGGAAATGAAATGTTTCCCGGAGCCAAAACTCTTCTCCTATCTGTTACATTCATTGCTCAAAGTTCTTGAAACGGTAGTTTACTTATTTTGCACACTATTTACTTACAATTCGATGAGATCAATATCGATATTATGTGCAGACCACGGTCGAACCGAAAATCGTTCTCAAGTAAGTTAATCAAGTACATACAGGATTAAGAGTGAAAATTATAATTCTTAATTATGTCATTGTGGTTATAAATATCAAATACAGTAGCGTTAGTAAGAATTAGAGTTAGGCATCATTAATATTGAGATTCGTCTGATTTCTGGTGGATTGTTTCAATCACATCGAAAAGATTTGACTCTCCAATCAGCGAAAAGTCCAAATCACCAATATTTAACTGATGAAAATCAGCAGTCTCTGGTGTGACCATTTGAGCCTGAGAGTCATTATTATTTCCCGTAAAGCGTTTAACGTTCTCCTCAAGCATGTAAGGGGGTAATATACGACCAAATATCTGTGTATCTAATTTGTCCATTACACCTGGAACATAAGTCTCTGCTGGGGCTGATGATTCATTGGAAAATTGTTGGTTCGGTACTTGCGACAAGCCATCAAATGTTTCATTCTTCAAAAAATAGTCCTCATTTTCTGATAACTTTGAGGCAGAATCATTCGACCCTTGAGTTTCGCCAGTCTCATAAGCGGGACCAGAATCGTATGATTTCACTCCCCCAGACTCGTTCGTCAGGAAATTATTGATGTTATCAAAATTCAGAAAAGTGGCCTGCACATCTTGAGCTGGAAATCTTGGAATGGGTATATTGTTACCATTCGTCTCACTAGTGCCAATCCTTGCTGTTCTCCTATTCAACAACTCAAATAAATTGTTCAAAATGTTATAGATTCTGAGAGATGCACTCGAACTATTCTTCAACAGATCAAGAACTCTTTTACCGATCTCAATATCGTGTTTAATCATATCAATGTTAAGATCGTCGTCAAATAAAACACCGGCATAATTTGCTCCACTCAGGTTGCTATTTTTATAATTAGCAAAATGGAAATAGTAAACCAAGCATGCAATTGAGAAGAAAATAGTGTACGTTGAGAACCAATAAGTCCCGATTAATAAATCTTGATTGATCATTTTGTTTGCCAACTTCACGACCATCCTTGCCACCTTTATACAGTTTCGTCCTCTTATTAAAGATCTGGAATCAGTAGACTGAAAACTAGAATCTCCGCTAATTGAATGAATAAAGGGTCTATAAAGTATGATTTGGCAATTCAAAAATGACAAGTGAAGATAATAATTGGCCAAAACAAATTTTTCGGGAATTGTCTTGGTTGAAGATTCATCAGATGGATTAGTTGGTTTTAATTCTGCTGGTAAGGAGTCAATCCAGTTCTTCAATTTCAACTCTAATTCAGATACCTTATTATGTAACAGATCTGGGGAGTATGGGGTTTGCTTCACTTTGATTGGATAAAGCTCCTTGATAACTTTAGAAAGTATAAGCATTAACTTCGTATGAAAATTTGCACAACCTGCCGAAGACAACTTGTTACCTTGATTTTCAAAAAGATATCTCTCTCTGGTAATGTTCTCATCATCAAGGTCTGGTGGAATCTCCTGATCCAAATCATCTTCATCTAAAGAGAGTGGAAGTCCAAGCAATGAATTGATGTAAATATCCATCTTGTAAATAGTATAAAATAATCTTTTTCTGGTGTCAGCTTCTATAACATCAAATTTCCTTTGTTGGTTTTGGAATATAGATAAATCACGATGTAAACCTTCCTTAATGGCACTTCTGAGAGCGATCCCAATATATAAATAACAAGTCGATAATCTGGCAGAACATTGTAAATAAATAGTCATCATAACGGTAGTTTGAATTGAAGTGATATCACCTACATTGGTGATATCTATTAATCTTCTTGCTTCCAAGAAATATCTGAACCCTTTTTCTTCAAGACTCTCGTTGTCCGATTTTTCAGCAGACTTTGAGAAAAGAGATCCGCATGCTAAGATAGAATATAAGAACGGCAAGAACTTCTGTTGCCTATCTGTGTAATGGGAAGGATCGAGAGAGTATAGCAAGTCGATCTCCTGTAATAAAGAGGGCCTGTGATAAAATCTGAATAATACACAAGCTTTATTCCACGTCGTATAGACCAAACTCAAAGCCTCCTCCTTTGAAGGTAAAACCAATCTCACTTCCCGGACTGAGTCATCTATTGGACTTATAGTCGAATGTATATCGCTCAGAACACTTGCTGGCGATGATCCATCCTGAAACATATCTTGTATCTCATTCAAGTTTACCGGTCCTCGAGATTGAGCTGACTTGATCATCTTTTGGAGTCTTTGAAAGTCAAAAGACAGCTTGTTGTCAATCACGTTAATATTCAACTTTGGCAAAAGAAGATTTATGATATTTTGGGCCATATTAGTATTGGGCAGAGCGCTTTCGTGTTTTCCTTGTACATTGTTATGATTTGATGCCACAGAGGGTGATGAGACTTTATGATGTCTCTTATTCCTTATATGGGGTTGATCGTATGTACAAGTGTACGAATATACCGTGCAATGTATACATGGCTGCTTTCCATCACATTTAACCTTTTTCTGACGGCAGTTATCACAAGCTCTTGTAACCCGTCTTTTTTTCTGTTCGGGCCCCGAGAGCTGTTTACTCTCAGAGTAAGGAAATATTACCTGTGGTGGAGTATTCTCCATTTGTAAACTCTTAGTATCGTTTGGAGAGTCTATTTTAGTCATGTTTACTCCCTTTAAGAGGTATATTATTGTGTGTCAGACTTTTTCACTAAAGGCGTCGTAAACTTTTATGAGGCTACACTAATGTACCTGAAAGTGAGGGTGAACGTTTAAACAGATCTGGCAGACAATAAAGGGAAAAAAAAAAAAAGAAAGATTGTAAGAACTACCAAATGCGAAAATCCTTATTATTATTGACAGGTAGATATAGTTTTAGAAGTATAATTCATTTCGGTTTAAATTTAAAGGTCACAATTGACGTATTTACTAGAGTTTAAAATTTTTAATACCGATTATATCGTAATAGGCTTTTCAAGTAAGTGGCCCATTCTCTCGACTTTGGTGCGCAAATAGCCTTCAATTTCTTTCGATTTGATACCATTCTCTGTGGTCCAAGCCAATGGGATCATGGGGACTCTCTCTATGACCTTCACTTCTCTATGTTTACCCTCTACTGCAGCAATCTTATCAGGGTTATTTGTAAGCAAATTGACATGTGTGAGACCTAAATCAACTAAAATAGCAGTGGCTAACGAGAAAGACCTGCCATCAGCAGGATGCCTTAACATAAGATTGGCCTGAACCGTATCAGCACCCAAGTCCTGCAAGTTATATGCTTTCAACTTCTCACCCAAACCAATGCCTCTTCCTTCTTGTCTTAAGTAAACGATACAGCCATGACCAACTTCCCCCATTATTCTTCCCGCCTCGTCAAACTGCTCTCCACAATCACAACGAGCAGACCATGCTGTCTCGCCTGTATAACATTCAGAGTGGATTCTTACTAAACAAGAGTCACAAAAACTAGTTTTGGGTTCTATAATAAGATTCCCTTGTTCATCAAATCGTAAAGTATTCTGACCATCACTATCGGCTAGAGTTCTTCCTGGGAAGAGCTTCCCCACGTACGCACCTCTGGTCATCCTGTCCTGCTGGGTCTCATTTGGTCGCCGTGCAAACAACGACTTTGATCTTATATCCTCTCCAAAAACAATAGCTAAATGCTCCTTGCTGTCGATGTTATTCTCATAGAGATGCAAAAATATCTCTGGCCCTTGGGTCGTCGGGATTCTCGCCCTTGCAATGCACTTCACAACAGGTAATTCCGGCAACTTTTCCCTAGCCTTTTCAGAAACTATTGGGGGTGTTTGTGGAATCGAAGTACTTGTCGATGGGGTCAAAGTCGGCGAAAGTAAGGGCAAATGGTTGAAATCTATGTCATCCTTTATTGGAGCTGGATGTTCTATAGCCATGATATTCACTGTTTTAGTAATCAAATTATTTTTACGCTTAAAATCAAATGTCTTTTAAGATCGGCCGTTCTGACTGCAGCTTATACACTCAAATTCAATAGAGCTACTTGAGGGCTATTCTGCTTTATATGTTGATGTCTATTATCTGGTTTGAAGTTATTAAAATTTTTAAGAATGTGCCAGAAAAGACTCTCATTAGTGGTTTATTCTAATCCATTATTAAGGCTTAACCGGAATTCGGTATAAGGCTGAAAAGTAAAAAAAATTGAGGTTGTGGGGCTGGACTTTTCAGCCTATCTCAGATCAAGACATTATTGTAGCGACGTTCTTTAATAAACCGAGTTACATGCAGTTAGGGGAACTCTCAATGCATGTTGTTGTTTAGAGATTTTCTTTGTCTAGATATAGCCCGGACTCTGTTTGATTCATCTCTCGGTGCCGACTATGGAGGAGCTTATATTAGCCAGGAACAAGGAACAAGCTACAAACCTGCGAGAATATAATGGTACTCATAGTTATGTGACACACAGAGTTATGATATCACTACTGAAATTGAGAATTTCTGTCAAATAGCGTCGGATATTCAGACCCTTGTGTCAGAAAAGCTAATGCTAATGCGAACTTTGACATGATTTTTAGCAATCGAAATTTTAAGTTCAAGTACAATTAAAAAATTCAATATGTTATTCATCAGGGCACTGATGCAGAGTTTACCGACAATGAAAAATTGTTCCACGAACCTAATCCTTCGTCGTACGTTCTTTGGAACGTTCTTCAAGGGATGGGGTGGCCAAAGAATTATATATCCACCTGCGCCCGAAGATATTACCACTAATAATAGGCTTTATCCCGTCTATATCAGTAACAGAAATGAATTGCATGATATTATCTTAGCCAAAGAGCCATTGATTTTGAACTTTACTTATGCTGACCCGAAGTCGAATAGAATCTCTCAATCTCTTTTTGATATTCTAGCAGACAAGAATAAGTATCCTTTAGATTTTCCAGTCAACTTGGCCAATATTTGGGCAGATACGCCTGGGGGGAGAGAATTGATGCTCACATATGTTGTAGGAAAGATACCTACACTAGTTTTGTTGAAGAAACAAATCCTTGTAGATTCTTATGTACCTAACAGTGATAATTTCAGAGAGCAAGATTTGAGGGCATGGCTATCCCAAATAAAGCAATAATCTATTCACATTCTCCGTATATACAAATGAAATGTTTTTCTAAATAGGGGGTCGTTATTTACAAGAAATTGTAGGCTTCATCTGCGTCATTATCTAATTTTTATTTTGACGAATCATTGTCCCAACCGTCTTTCCATCTTTGCTTCCATAAGCTACAGTCAAATTTAGGCTTTCCAAGCTTTTTATTCACTTCATTATGTGCGCCACATAACCATTCTCCCAACGAATCCTGACTAGAGACTGAAGGCTCATTATCTGCTATATACTTCTTAAAATCATCTCCGCAATACCAACATGGATAGAAGCCACCAAACAACTTGAGAAACAGTTGCATATCTCTTTGCTCTTTCGAAGAGGGATTCACAGGATATGTAGCCGCGATTGAGTGTAATAGAGTCCATGATGATCTACCCAATTGTTCAACGTCAGCTGGGAGATCTTTTGTATATGAACCTACCTTCTCTGACTTCTTCCTTGGTATGGGGTTGCCCGATTTAGATTCGTCTCCCAGAAGAGCAAATTGAAAGTCTAATAAGGTATTACATGTACGGCAGCTTTATTTACAGCATTAGTAATGTGTGTTTGAGGTGTCATTTAAACTTCAACTTACGGTTTTCCATCTTCATCATAGATGATTTTCTTTCCAGATAGACCAACTTCTGGTCTTGAATTTTTAGTGGCTATGGTACTTTTATCCATTTACCTTACTGTAATTTTTTGTTTAAGTTAAACTATCTTTTAACATTAAATAAAATTCTTCTAGATTAGAAATCGAATTTTTCACCCAAAATTGCAATGGTGCAAAAAAAATGTAAATAGCATTCTCGCTACCTTAAGGAAATAACACCGAATTTAAAACATCTACAGAGTTAGTTCTTTCTTGAACTACATGCATCATTCTATTAAAACTGAGCTACTGAAAAACATATTATATGAGAAGAGATTTAGCCAGACAGATAAATATACTCTAAAGAATAAAGTGGTGCTATGATGAATTTTCGGACTTTGAGATAGGTCCAAGGGCTTCTTCTCTTTGTCTTATAACCTCATCACATAGCTCACCAACCTCTTTTGTGACAATACTAGACCTTGAGAGATAGAATTCCAGTAAATCGTACTTTGTTCCGTAAACTTGCTCGTAATCCCAAGCTTGCTGGATCATTTCAAACTTATCGATATCCTTAACATAGCGAGCTTCGACGCATCTTATTTCCTCGTAATCTAGCCATAAATCGACAATTTCTTTAGAGAAATGACTATTATAAGGTTCAATCAAGGATGCCAAATAATGAATGGTTGCAAGTTCTCTTCTGTGTTTTTCCGCTTTAGTAACGCCACCAAACGGAGTAATATCACCTACAAGTGACTCAGCAATGTCATGTACTACCGCAATTTTGACACATTTATCTAAATTAATATCTTGCCTAGGAATGGCCATCGATATAATCGACATTCTGTACATGTGGTCACTTATACTCTCCACTTTCTCAGAGGGTATTCCTCTGTCAACCCATCCCGTCCTCCTCTGTGTCTTAAGCAACTGAAGTATCTGAATGAAAGCCAAAATATAGTTGATTTTCTTACCTGATGAGCCTGGTATCAACAACTTCTGAATATTTTCAGGAACTACCTTCTCAGGCGTCCACATAGTGCTCAGCTTGTTTTCTATTGATAATGACGGAGACATTTTAAAAATCTTGAAGAACCGCCCAGTGGGAATAAGTAAATGGAGGCGTTTAGCTATCGAATACATGTAAGTGATGGATAAATTAAAAAGGTAAATAGAGAATAACATATCTGCAGGAATCAAATACTCAGTAACATTTTTCAACGCAAAGGATAGAAGGACGTCTGGGTCTTCACATATTCTAATTGACTACAGCTATTTTCTTCAGTATGAACGTAATATTACTTGATTGAAGTTATAAACAATTTTGTACTAATAGTTTAGGCGATTAACTCAACAACACCACCAACAGCTCTGATCTTCTCTTCTGCTAATTTGGAGACAAATCTTGCTTTGACAATGACTGGAACCTCAGGTAATCTTCCCTTACCTAAAACCTTACCGTAGCCATAAGCTAAGGTGTCGATGACTGGAGCAGCAGAGGTAGATGAAGACTTCAAGTAGTTGTCCTTCTTGTCCTCTTCGACCAAGGTCCACAATTTGTCTAAGTTAATTTCTGGTTTCCAGAAGTGGTTTCTTTGTTTGTGGAAGTATCTCATACCGACTTTACCAAAGTAACCAGGATGGTATTTATCCATGTTGGTTCTGTGATGATGTTGACCACCAGCCTTACCACGACCACCGGGATGCTTTCTGTGCTTACCAATTCTACCCTTACCGGCTAAAGAAATGTTAGTAGAGTTCTGAGTATTATCTATCGAGTTTGAGGTGATCTAATAGGCCAAGCCGATTGACATTCAAATATTTAAGTGATATTGACAAATTCTCATACGAATCTTTCTTGTTTCGTACATCTTCTTCCTTATCCTCCTCTCGTATGGCTCTCTAGTAAACTGCTTCTTCGAAAAAATGTCCTTTCACTGATTAATGAGTGTCTATTGAACTATCATCTTAAAATCTCTTTCATCCATCTTTCATCGTTTATTCATCTTTTGAAGTCCAACCATATGCTACTTTCACCTCATTCGGTACTCCCATCATATTACTTACCTGAAACGTGGCCTCTGTGCTTTCTGGTCTTCGTAAATCTAGTAGGCATTGCTAATTTAGATTATCGATATACTTCTATACAACAAGAAAAATTTCAACTATATTTTAAGTAGTTAGAGCGCTCTATTTTTTCATGAATGGGCCGAGAGTAGAATTTGCGTTACACAAAAACTTTTTTTTATTGATCGTACACACTACTTGAGCCCTAGTTTGGATCATGTGATGCAATTGTCGTTAGCTATCAGGCTATATAAAGGAAATATAACTTAAGATTACATACATGTAGATCAGATTTGATCTTGAAAACTTATCATGATTAGTTCCCTTCTTCAGTCCCCCATACCTCATCGTAAGAAGTCTTTCCTTTAGTCTCTGGAATGTAAAACTTTACGAAAAGGTAAGCCACAGCACACATTCCTGTAAAAATAAAGTAAACACTTCCACCTATCCATGAATTCTTTAGAATCGGAAACAAAAATCCAACAATAAAGGTAGCCAACCAATTCATGGTGGTTCCCCAACTTTGGGCAGTTGCTTTTGCCTTTGGTTTTGTAAGCTCTCCAACGAGAAAGAAAGGAATTGGACCCATACCTATGGCGAAAAAGGCAATATATGTGAACATTCCGATAATAGAAAATACAGAGCTTGCACTTATTATACCAATACCCATCAATATAGTAGATACACCCATCATGAATGTTGAACTCAAGAGCAAAGGTTTACGGCCTAGCTTTTCAACTAAAGAAGCGGAAGCAAAAGTTACGACAACGTTAACGATGGATATCAAGCAGTTAACAAATATGGCATGATCAGGAAATATCGAAGTCAATACTGCTACTCCGTAAAATATAATAGAATTAATTCCACAGAACTGCTGAAGCACGAGGATTCCAGTACCAGCTATTCTTGACTTTTTGTGCTCAGGAGATTTTAAGTATGTTTCCAATGTAACTGCTGCTTCACCGGAGCTCACAGATTCACCGTCTTCCCTTAATAGACTTTCACCTTCGACGTCTGAGTTATTATTGCTGTGTTCGTTACTCCAACTATTCACTTCATTCCTTGAATCCGTGTAATCACCTCCTCTCAATTTATGCAAAGAAATATATGCTTGGTTACTATGTCCATTATGGAAGAGCCACATTGGCGATTCATCAACATAGAAGGCCGCTAAAACGAAATCAAGTAGAGCAAGGACGGACCCGCTCAATAATAAAAGCCTCCATCTATTATCAGTACACCACTTCAATGCTAATCCTTGTGTCACCAAAATACCCACATTAACAGAAACCTGGTTCATGGTTCCAAGAAAGCCCTTAAAAGCAACCGGTGCGATTTCTTGAATAAATACAGGGGTTATTACCAATGCAGCACCAGCTCCAAGACCCGCTATGAGCCTTCCTATAAGAATAGAAGCATAGTTGTTACTCAATCCATTTAGTGTGGAACCAACAAAAAAGATCACACAATATAGCAATGTTGTTTTTTTTCTGCCAATTTTGTTTGCAATTGATCCCACATATACAGATCCAATTAACCCCCCTATACTAAAAATTGAAGTGACTAATCCGACTTGCTGAGGATCTAAAGGAATACATTGCTTGAACCCGTGTCTTCCAAAGAAAGAATCGGCATATGGAGTTCTTTCAGGTTTAGAAATCCGGCATGACATTATCAACTCTGGAGAATTCAATTCTGCCATATGATAGCCAAACTGAAAAGCACCAAGACATATGATTATAATGGCAAAAATCAATTTACCTGTAAGATTATCTGAAGATGACATTATCAGAAAATTTAGCTAATCTATTAAAATAAATGCTGATTTTATTGTTTATTATACACTTATCAGCTGATTTTAGACGAGGATGATATCGCACTCTATTTTATGCGATATAATATTAAATGTGTAATATACAAGTCTTAAGTATTCAAACTATAGGTAAAAAGTTGCCAATAATCATCATTGGAATACCAAAAACGTCTCTTTTTAAAGTCCATATGCATCCAGTTCTAATCTTGATATCATTCTTTGGAGTTAAAAGGGTACATTCTGTCATTGTAGCACCCAAAAAATCACCAAAAGCAATTCGCAGAAAGAGCTGGAAATATTCTACCACTGATTTGTCGTCAAGAAGTTCCACTATAAACTTTCGTTCTTTACCCATAAGATCATTCTTGGACCAGCCAGTTAATATGCAAAATTCGGTACCTACGTAAGCTATTTCGCCCGTTCTTCTCCACACAATTGTAGGAGTTCCGCTTACTTTTATGAAGTTGTCGTAGGTCAATAACGTTCTTTGAAAGCACTGTTCCATGAAAATGAGATCTCCCTCCTTTAGTGAATTAGTACATGCTATGAAAGAGGGCCGGTATGCTGCCATTGATTCTGCCATGTGAACTAACATCTCTCTTGGAAATCTTTTTCTCAAGTACGAAATTAAAGAATGATATCCTGGAGTGTACGAGAATGGCTTATTCACTTTAGCATAAATTTCTTCTGGTTCCTTGAATGTATATTCCTGGGGGGTATAATTGCTTTCATCTGTGATGATTCCTATTGTAAACAGCAAAGCCAGTTTCGAAAACCTTTCATGATATACAGCTGGATCTGCGGCCCTCATTGCCTCAATTGCTAGTAAAACATCCGGAAATGTTTGAACATGGTCTGATTCAGAGGGCCCGAGAAAGAATTGATTTATAGTTTCATCACATTTAGGATACGGTGAGCTATCATAAATGCTACCTTTAATTAATCTGTCATTTGGGCCAGAAACATTACCTGATGAGCTGGCCTGATCTGGGAAATAAGATATGGATTTTGATTGATAGTCCAGTTGCTGTGGAATGGATGCATGATGTGACATATTATGAGGAGAGAGCATTGGAGATAGTACTGAATTTGGTGAGGTATCACTAGATGACAAATGATCATTTAAAATATTTGATAATTGTGAGTACTCAAGGTCTGCAGCAGAGGAGAGAAAATTAGTACGTCTGCTTCGAGCACCATTGGTTCCTATATCTGGAGGCGGCGCCTGAGATTGAGCTATAGGTAATTGTCTTGGTTCCTGCGCAATAGTATTCTGAGTCACTGAATCTTGTTGATCGTAGTTCAAAATGCCCGAATTGTTTTGGGGAAAGAAACGATTTATAGAAGGAAAGGGTGCTTGATTCTCCATATTTCTTTCGAAATTCTTGTCATTACTCAAATCGCTTTCTAAATTCTGCAGTGGATTTGATAAAATATTTGTGGGTACATCGGCGAGATATTTCTTTCTTTTCCTTGGAGCGTCTTCACAGGTATCCTGTAAGCCCCTTTGAACACATCTTTTACAAGGTCGTCCAGTATCACATGTCATATGCGCTTTGTGACAGTGATTACATGCTCTCGTGGTTTTCTTTCGTTTCTGTGTTTGTTAGAATGACTAAATCATAACTTTAAAAAAATTGTATATATGTATACTTACTGGCTTGACTGTATTCGATGAATTAGTTTTTGGTGATTCCAGGTACTTATTTACGTTACTCATGATACCACAATCATCAAGAGCACGCTTTTTAAAGACTTCTACTTTTTGATTCTCGATAGACAGGGCCAGGACTTCTCATGGTTTTTCGATCACCACAAAATCGATGCAGGATATGCAAACCAAGATCTCATCAACACTCAACCAAAGGTGAAGTACACAAATAAAGTAAATTCAAGTAGATGTGCCCTCTAATTGTACTCTCAAATCCTTAGGTACCAGAGTAAAGTATTTTTGAAGAGAGAGCTACTCTTTTGAAGAATCATGTAGCGTTTAGTTTGTCCGTTTTGATCAAGAACACCATTCAAACAAAGAGATCAAGGACCCGGGATATCTTCTGAAGAAAACTTGAGACAACTTATGCAGTATGCTCATTTATTTGCTCATTTATTCCCTCGTTTGTGTTGTATAGCCATAATTCAACGGAATGACTGTTATTCTTATTATTGTGTAATAGCTTTTTTATATTTTTTTGCAACTTCCTTCAAAATATTCAGCTCTTATATATACCAGGAGATTTACAAAAAATAAAGTAGGAACATAAAGCCCAGATACGTAGGTCTGATCTAGTATAACCTTGTTACATTGGATTAGTAATTAGTAGCTTTTCTTGCTACTTGGGTTGAATTGACTTTTCAGTTGTACGACTTGGAATGTAGTCGATCATTGAGAATAAATAACAAAAGAAAAGAGAGAAACTTTTCAAAAGAGTAAGACACGTTACACATTCGTTACAAGATTTGGCACATAATCTGCCATGACATCATCAAGGGTTGTCTGCTCTTGAGTTCTCTATTTTAGTCAATTATTTTAAGCACGTGATGATTTTATACATATTTTTTTCAAGCTCCTTTTCCAGCTTTATTGTATGCTCATTATCTGTACTGGTGTAAAAAATTTGAGCTTAAATCAAAGTGATATTAAAGCGATATTATGGCAGACTTTATTGCTAGTTTTAATAAGCTTTCTCTTCAGGAGATAGCTGGAGCTTCGGAAAATTTATTTCCAGATTTGTCCGACGAAGAAAAAGCATTGGGATCACAGGCCCAAACTCTCTCAACGAAATTAGATGAAGAACATGCTGTAATTTCTTTAAATGATCATCTAAGGACTAAGACCTTTGTGTCAGGCAACCGTCCATCAAAATATGATTTGGTAGTTTTTCAAAAGGTGTTACCTGTTGCATCTAAATGGAAATCGCCAGAGGAGTGGGCAAACTTTAGACACATTTTACGTTGGGCAGATTTAGTACAAAATACGTTAGTCGAGGTTTCCCCAAGCGAAGTGTTGCAGATAAACTATGACATAGAAATCCCTAAGGAAGTTAAAGAGAAGAAGAAAGCCACCAAGGAAAACAAAGATGAAGCGCCAGCCATTCCAGCACCGAAATCAAAGAAGGGAGATTTGAATGAAGATGAGAAGAAGGCTATTGCAGAAGCCCAAAAGGCCAAGAAAGCTGCAAAAGCTAAAGCTAGAGCTGAGCAACAGGCGAAGCAGCAAGCAGAAGTTATTCCTCCAAATCCTTCCATGATCGATTTTAGAGTTGGTTTCATTCAGAAGGCCGTCAAGCATCCAAATGCTGATTCTTTGTATATGTCAACAATTGATATGGGAGACTCAGAGGGACCAAGAACAGTTTGCTCTGGTTTAGTCAAATACGTTCCGTTGGAAGATATGCAAGAAAGATATGTGATTTGTGTTGCTAACTTGAAGCCTGTTACCATGAGAGGTGTCAAATCTTGTGCTATGGTTCTATGCGCCTCCAAAGACGACACTATTGAGTTCGTCAATCCCCCAGCAGGATCTAAGCCTGGAGATAAGATCTTCTTTGAGGGTTACGATGGAACACCAGAGAAGCAATTGAACCCAAAGAAGAAAGTTTGGGAAACCCTTCAACCAAGATTTTCCACCACCGAGAACTTTGAAGTCACTTACACCGAAGAAGGTAAGGAGCCAAAGAGATTGGTCAACTCAAAGGGCGAATTATGTAAGAATTCAACCATCGCAAAAGCTGATGTTAAATAATCCTCTTCATGTTCATTTTGTAGCTCTTATAGAAAGTAATTAATGATTATGTAACTCGCGATAAGCATATTTTTGAGAGATGACTTAGTAAAAAGACGAAGAAAGACTGAGGTTTTTCTTATCATATTAAGGATGAAGCTCATCAGCCAGCATTTTGAAAAGGACAAGAGTGGATCAACTACAATTGTACCTGAGGATAAAGAAGATCTCTGGCAGTTGTATAACTTGCTTCAAAAGGGGGATGAAATCAAAATTTCGACTCATCGAAATGTAAAGAAAGTTAGTTCAGTTGGAGGTGGTGGCAAAGACAAAGGGAAGTCTGAGCGGAAGGTAATGACATTACATATGACTGTAGAGGATGTTGACTATATACCCTCTGATGAAGTTATGAGAATTAGAGGAAAGACCACCGAGGCACATGAGTTCGTTCCTCTTCATAGCTACCATACTGCTGAAGTTCAGCTTAACAAACCGCTTACTCTTTATAAAGACGATTGGGATGATATAGCATATGGGATTATAGTAAAAGCCTGCTCAATTGAAGACAAAGCAGAAGTGGGTGCGGTCGTCATGGAGGAAGGTGTTGCTCATTTATGTCTAATCACTGATAACATGACAGTATTGAGAAATAAGATTGAAAAATCGATTCCAAGGAAGAGAAGAGGTGAAGGGGGTGGAGGAGCTCATGACAAAGCTCTCCAAAAATTTTTCCAAATGGTCCTGTCAACATTATTGAGAAATTTTGACTTGATAAAATTGAAAGCAATCATTTTGGCTTCTCCTGGCTTCACGGCTGACTCATTATATAAATTCATACTAGCAGACGCTACCAAGGAAAATAACAAAACTGTCTTCCAAAACAAATCAAAATTTATTGTTGTGCATTCTTCCACAGGTTATCTTCAAGGCTTGGAGGAAGTATTAAAAGACCCCTCAATTCAACGAAAATTGAGTAATACAAAATTTGCTAGAGAAGCAGCAATTTTCGAACAATTTCAATCCGTTTTAAACGAGGATGACGATAGAGCATGGTATGGACCCGAAGAATGTGAAAGGGCGGTCAATCTCGGGGCTGTTAAATATCTCATGATTACTGATACATTATTTAAGAGTGACGATATTGTAGTTAGAAAACACTATATTGCTTTAACAGAAAAGGTGAGAGGACAAGGAGGGGAGGCATTGATATTCTCGAGCTTGCATGAATCCGGTGAACAATTAAACCAACTAACTGGTATTGCAGTTTTGCTTAAGTATCCTGTTCCAGATCTAGACGAGGAGGAAGATTAGATTTGTCTATTAATTAAATTTTTACTATATACACTTTCAATCAAGCTTCCAATTTAGAATCTTCTATTTTCCTTGGGTTTTTAATACCTAACCCATCTAAATACCAAATATGTCCACCTCTGACAAAAATTAATAGATCTTGGGATATCCCGAAACTTAACCCTAAAGCACATCCTTTTTTCATATAGCTTCTCATTTGGGTTCCGCTTAATCCTCGATACAAAGCATATACTGAGGATGAGATCGTTGCAGCAATAGTTGTATTCAAGAAGTCGATGGTGCCGTTTCTCACGTAAGAGTCAATGAACCATTCTAATCCAAAAAAACCAGTAACGGCTGTAGAGAACTTCAAGCCCAGCTTTACGCCCTCTTTACATCCATTTATTATCATAACATAGTTCTTTCTCTTATGATAAAAATACCAACCGCCCACATTTCTAGGTAACCTGTGTCCGTTTTCTGCCAAATATCGTAATGATGAAGTTTTTATGCCTTCGTAGAGGCCCGTCATACCACCAATCAATGCGCTCACACTAGCGACTGCCTTCATACGTTCCGCTGGCCGTAAATGAAACCTATCATTTGTAGAATCTATACTTGTATGATCTTTTGACATGGTATATGACATCTCTTAAGATTTTTTTTTTTCGGTTTTATCACGGTGTCTATATATGTTTTACATGAAGGTGCTCGTGGAGCTAACACTGAAAACTATAAAAAAAAAATTTCAATTCAAACATCTATTTAAAGCCAAACTACATCAAATATAACTTGAGGGTGACATGGATATGTGATCATATCGCTTTCAATTTTGCAGAATATTTTCGTTTCTCTCACACACAATCCTCTGATTTTTCAGTTCATTCCCTAAAATCAAATCAAGTAGTTATAATCCAACTTGAAGCATTACTGATCCAAAATTGATTTAACAAATTCAACATAATCTACATTACCATCTGAAGTGACATTGACTCCTTTCAATAACTCATCGACCTCAGAATCACTTAGTTTTTCACCAATTGAAGTCAAAATGTATCTTAACTCTCCAACCCCAATATATCCTGTCTGATCCTTGTCAAAGACTTGAAAACCTTTAATGTAATCTTCAGGCAAGCCCAATGGCTTAAATCCATCTGGCCTGTTGATGATCTTTTCATAAGTCTCATAATCGAATTCTTTACCTTTAACACCCTCTTGTAATTCAGAAATCTCTGCCAAAGTTGGATTTTGGCCCACAGCTCTAAGCAAATCACCTAAATGCTCTACTGGGATCTTTCCGGTTCCTTTCTTGTCAAAAAGTGCAAATGCGTCTTTATATGTCTTGGTATTTTGAGACTATATAAGGTTAGTATCACGAGTAATATTACGCATACACTGCTTCAAAATTTATTAGATATATAGCAGTAGCATGCTAAAAGACTATATGGCTTTAAATCAAACTTACCATTTTTATGCTTTCCTCTAATATTTCTTAATAACGTGTTCGTTGAGATTCTGTTGATCTGATCTTAAATGTAAACAACAAACAAAGAATACACAAAATCGTTACCCGCAACTATTTATTGATGTATTGATCTCTTCTTTAATTGAAGCTGATATATAAGGTAGTATCTTCACAACTTCAGACTTCTTATTTTAAATGGCGTTCTAGACTTCTCATATGAATTCAATGTCATAACATCAGTCTATCTAATAATATTAAAACAATGCCAGGTTTAGAAGTTGTAGGTGATTTTACAAAATACATACGACCCAGAGAAGATGATGATTCATCCAGTGCAAAGCGACGCCGATGCGACGATGAAAGATTCAAGCCAGGTTTCATTTTAAAGGTAAAGGTTGAGAATTTTACAACTTATACGTTTGCAGAATTTAATTTATCGCCATCATTGAATATGATCATAGGACCAAACGGTACTGGGAAGAGCACTCTTGTAGCCGCTATTTGCATAGGTCTTGGCGGAAAAATCGAGTTGATTAAGCGAAAGAACATCAAATCTATGATAAAGACTGGCCAGACGAGAAGTGTTGTTGAAATAACATTGAAGAATTTTGAAGGCGAGCCACCGGTCACGATACGACGAGAGTTCACGGAAAAAGAGACTAACTGGAGCATTAATGGAGAGAGCACCAACGAGAAGTCTATTCGGGGATTAAGAAGACGATTTAGTATTCAATTGGATAACCTTTGTCATTTTTTACCTCAAGAAAGAGTGGCTGAATTCGCAAGTTTGTCGCCGGAGAAGCTATTGCTAGAGACGGAAAGAACCCTCATGAATGGAGATTTATTAAAAAAGCATGAGGAGTTAATAGACCTAGATGAGTCGAACATAAACTTGAGCTCCAAGATTGGAAAATTGTCAGAGAGACTTGAGTTCTTGAAGAATGAAAGGGATGCCTTAGAAGGAGAGGCTAAAAAGTTTGAAGAATTTCAAGATAAAATGAAAGAGCTCGAACTTCACGAGAAATTAATACCTTACGCACAACTTGAGGACTTAAAATACCAGCGGAAGCACATTAAAAAACAAAGGGATGACTCGAAAAAAGCTTTAGAAAAGTTTTCAACGATGACTCGATCGATATACGAGCAGTTAAAAAAAGCAGAAAAGGAACTAGGAGATCAAGAAGAGAAGTCGAATGGTCTAATTTTGGTACAAAGAGATCTTACCTCGATAATCAATACTGAAAAAAGAGCCCTCTCCGATCATCATGAGAAAATTGAACAATTGCAATCAGCAGCAAGGGCCCTTTCAACACGAAAACTTGACAAAGCTAAGGAGCTTGATGCATTGAAAAAAAACTTGTTAGAGACTATCAAGAAAAAAGATGATTTACCGGTACCAACCGATAGTGACTTCGATAGCATCAAAGAAAAGAGAAACAGTACTCATGAAATTGTGAATAACTTGAAAGATAAGCTCGAACAAGTGAAAGACAAAGCGGTACCAATGAGGTCGGCCCTAAAGAGACTTAATGATCAAATTTCTGAGAAAATGAACGCATTAACAACCACTGACAAGATTTCTGTCTTACAACCAAATCCCAGGTATAAGAGCAAGCTACGCGACGATGCGTATGGCGGACACATAGCATTAAGAAGACAAAAGCACTTTCGTTACTTCGAGGCGCCGGTAATATCTTGCGAAGTTTCAGATAAAAGGTATGCAAAATATCTAGAAAAGGTGATCGACAATAATACTTTATTTGCAATCACTCTTACTTCACAAAATGACTACAAAGATGTCTCTGATTTCATTTTAAAACAGTATAATATTCCGATGAGAGTTATAAATGGAATTTCAAATCCTAGGATAAGCTCAGATAGAGAAGGAGTTAAGAGATTGGGATTTGACGGGCTCTTGTCAGATTTCGTGACAGGGCCAAGTGAAGTCCTAAGCATGCTATACACAAATTCGAAAATTGACTTAATTCCAGTTAGTATGAGTGGTCTTGATGAAAGTCAAATAGCATATTTAACTAAGCCAGACGAACAAGGAAAGATAAGGTTTCGAAGGTTCATTTCTGGTGAAACCTTATTCATTATTCATCAATCGCAGTACGGTTCTAGACAATATTTCTATTCGACAGAAAAAATAAATCCTGTATCATTCTATTTTGGAACTTCTGGACTAAGTCAACAGGCAAAGAATGACTTGGAGCTTCACGTCGAGGAGCTTAAGAGAAAAAAAAATGCAATTAAGGAGGAATACGAAGGTCTTCAGGATACCGCTAACAAAGTCAAGAGCAGTCTTGTAGAAGCATCAAACGAGTTGAATTCATGCAAAGGTTTGCTTGATCAATTTCAGCAGCAGAAAGCTCAAAGAACAAAAATAGAAGCTGTCATCGTTTCAAAAGAAGCGCAGATAGAAAAAGTGGAAACCCAAGCTAAGAAGGACTACACTGAAAAGATCAAGCAAATAGAAAATAAAATTAAAGAAAAATATTCAATCGCACCTTCTATAATGGGTAAATTGACTAATCTCGTTAGCAAACTTTCAAATATAGCCATTGAGTTGGGCCAAGAAAATGTATTGTCAGTACAGTTGAAAAATAGGGTCTTTTCGATCCAACAATTAACTTCTGAGCTTGAAGAGAGAAAGCAAATTTTAATTAATGCATACAATGAAGCGAAAAGAAAGTACGATGAGATTAAATTAAGCGATGCCGCGAACAAGATCAGACAACAGAGCCGGCAGTATTCTGTGGAAGAAAGGGAAGCTTTATCAAATTTAGTCAAGTCTTACATTGAAGAGGGTAGCTTCACTGAGGCTCTAATGAGAGAAAAAATACAACTTCTAGAAGATGAAAAGTCTTTGATGGCCACAGCAGATGGAAGCTCAATCGATAATTTGAGAAAGAAACTAACTGAAATCCAGAGACTTGAAAATGATATGCCAAACTTCATGCGTGAAAAAGCTGAAATTGACAGTCGAATTACCCACGTTAAGAATGAGTGGGAGCCGGAGTTATCAGATCTAGTTGATCGCATATCTTTGGCATTCAACAAAAAATTTACGAAAGTAGCAAGCGATGGAAGAGTTGAGTTAGCAAGGAATGACCGCTTTAAAGATTGGAAGCTACTTATACTAGTCAAATTCAGGCTAGAATCAGAGTTGAAGGTCTTGGACCATCAGTCACAATCTGGAGGTGAAAGGGCTGTATCCATTATATTCTTCATCATGTCCTTACAAGGATTGAGTCAAGCTCCTTTTAGGATAGTGGATGAGATAAATCAAGGAATGGATCCGAAAAATGAGAAGATGGCTCACAGATACTTGGTTCATACGGCATGCTTATCTCAGAGTTCGCAATACTTTTTGGTTACACCGAAGTTGCTAACTGGCCTATATTATCATCCTGATATGGTTGTTCATTGTATTTACACGGGTCCACTTTTAGATCCAGCCAATAAAAATTCACTGGAACCAGATTTTATGGACTTTAATAGATTAATTAGTACATAACTTTATACATTTTCTTAGCCTTTTTTTATACTCTGTTTCGCCTAGGATATTAATTAACAATGGAATAGTTAATCCAGATGCTCCGCCCGTTAATGCGAACCTCACTGATCTAAAAATGTCTTTCTTTTTGATACTAGGCATATCTTGTAAAATCTTAGAAACATTTTCATCAAACGTATCAGAAGGCAACTCCAACATTTTAGAAAGAATCTCCTTCGATTGTGGGAGAAGGAATGATTGGCTATCAGGATAGTCGGTGCCAAATATATAGGAATGGTCCAGCTTGATTTGTTCTAAATTATTCAAGCTTGGTCCCAAAATCTTGACAATTTCCTTCAAATAATCCTTGTCATATGCTCCGTGAGTAAATGATTTAAATTCCGGATAAAAATCCTCCACCAATCGTGTAAGTTTGTTTGGATCTTTAATTCTTTCATTTAAATGAAATTTATTGAAGTAGTGTAATTTGGAGTCATTCACCTTGGCATTACCTTTAGTAAGATTGTCTAGGGAAAATGCTTCAATCAACTCTTCCATCGTCATGGATTCTTGAATACTCACATTTGAAACTGATCTAGAAGGAGACCATCCAAACAAAGCTACAAAATTCACGATAGCTTCAGGCAATAATCCCCTATCTTTCAAGCTTAAGATATCCATGTCTCCTGATCTCTTCGATAGTTTTTTATCCTCTACACTAGTCAACAATGGAATGTGAACATAAATAGGTGGTTCCCAGCCAAAAGCTCTATACAATGCAACATGCTTTGGAGTAGAAGGCAACCATTCCTCCCCCCTAATGACATGTGTTATCTTCATCAAATGATCATCAACGACATTCGCAAAATGGTAGGTGGGTAAACCATCGGACTTCATGATAACGAAGTCATCATATCTTCGATCTTCATAATTGAACTGTGGTTGTAGGTTTAATTCACCATGAAGTAAATCTGTCATTCGCTCATACACGTCAGGAGATTTAAATCTCACTACGCTGCCTGGAGTTGGTGTTGTAGAATTAAAACAAGTTCTGTCATAAGTAACAGTTGTCGGGGGTTTGAGCTGGCTAGCCGTCTCTCTCAAATGATTAAGGCGTTCCTTTGAGCAGCTACAGTAGTATGCATAGCCATTTGAAATCAAAATCTCGGCATATTTCTTATAAATGTCCATTCTTTCGGATTGTCTATACGGTCCGTAGGGACCACCCTTATTGGGACCCTCATCTATGTCAATACCACACCAAGCCAATGTCTCATATATATTAGCTTCCGCACCCTTTACAAGCCGTTTCTGATCCGTGTCTTCAAGTCTTAGAACAAACGTCCCCTTGGTACTTTTTGCCAATAAATAGTTGTAAAGCGCTGTTCTTAAAGATCCTAAATGTAAGAACCCAGTAGGCGATGGCGCAAACCTAGTCCTTGCAGGTTTCACGGGATGAACATGTGTTTTTGTGAGATTTATGCTTTGTTTCCGTTTAAGACTGAATTTCGAAGAATACCACCTTCTTGATGTTACTGATTGTAGTCGTAACATGATGGAGGAATTTGGCAGTAAAAGAAAAAAACCAATTCTTCGCGCCAGATATCCGATATCATTCTAAGCGAAAATTGTTGAAGTCAAAGACAAACCCCAAAATTGACCTATTATCGACAGCTTCATCAAAGATTTAATGAGACATTTCTTTGAAATATCTTGAAAGCTGCTTCTTTCACCTATTCACCCCTGAGTGACTCGTACAGTGTTTGACCATATAGCTTGTCTGTACATGTCGCTACTCTGAGGTTATAGCTGGGCTACACACGTAACTTCTCTCGCCATATGACTTCAATAGTAACAGCAACTACATCATATATATAGTATAACTAAAGGCTAGACTGTTAGAAGACTTTAGCAGTAGGCACAGGTTTCAAAAAGTTGTGCATGCCCATGAACTTACCAGCAGCTGAAAAACACGAGCCTGACGTTTTCATTCACAGCAACACGCTGTTGTCATTGTCAAAAAAGACCACTGCTTTGAAACCAGACAAAGAGTTTGGGCGTCGGCGTCAGAACTATATATATAATGACTTCATCAAAGTAACTTAAGAATGCATCTAACAAAGTGGCATGATACTATTAATTTTTCTAAGTCTCATTGAGTATGGAGCGAAAGATGAGGCCATTGACTCATATGTAGAATACCTCAGCAGCCTTAGACCATAATTGTCCACATGGTTCCGATGTGTTATCTCTTCTCTAAAGGGAACTGTTCCAATGTTCCACGAAATCGGAGCCGCACGCCGCCCTAGAAAATTTCTAGCATGAATGGCAAAACCTATTAAGCAGCCCTTAATAGACTATTTTTCCTTACTGAAGGGAGAGGATTAAGAAGAACTAATTAAAGAAACTTTCCAGTTACTCGTATTCATTGTTATTCGTCATGTGCAGAAGAAAGGGATCTGAGGAGAACAATCAGGAATCAAGGAATGATGATATAGATAAGTTCATAGAGAACTTCAATGAAATGAAGAGTTCCATGACTTCGTTGACTAAGTCTTTAATGAAAGTTGCAAATGAGTCAATGACTGAGGTAAATGAAAGGGCTAAAGATTTTTCTTTAAACTGGTTGTTTGACATTGAAGATAGGTCTGGAAAGACCTTAGATGATTTCAAGGATACAATCAAGTCTACTTTCAGTGGTACTGAATCATCAATTGATCGTTTCTTCCCTAGACCCTACCTGCTGGAGGGTAATTCAGAAGAAGTACAGCCATTTAGTACCTTCAATCCTTGGTTTGGTAGACATAATTTTCATGAGTTATTTAGCGGGTCCATGAGTGCTGGAAGAACCCCATTTGGATACTATATGTATAAAGGACCTCTGGCCAGATACTACAATGATTGTTTGAATAAGGATGGGGAATCAATTTGGGATTCCAAAGGCTACTGGAGGTGTTTGTTTCCAAATAGTGAAATACCTAATGAGTTTTTAAATTACAAAAAGGAGAATCTCTCTGGTCAAATATTGACTAAAGAGGATTTCAACGAAGCTCTTAAGACAGCGAAGTCAGATGCATCCGGAACAATTGATCTAGGAGAGAAGGGAACATATTTCAAGAAATTTGACGATTTCTTGAACTGGAAGAACATTATGTACAATAATGTTAAGCAAGAAAGGGCAAGAAAGCGCGAGAAACTTCGTGAAAGAAAAAACAAGCTGATTTCTTCGAAGACTTCCGAGCTTTCGACTAAAGATGACGTAGCTCAAATCGTTTCAAGTTCCTCACTGTCATCTTTAAATTCGAACCCAGAATCGAACTTGGTGGAATTGAAAGAGGTTATTTCTGAAACTTATAGAGATGGTACCTCATCAACTAAGTACATTACGAAGAGTAAACCCATTGGGGCAAGCGAATGGGTCAATGTCCAAGAGAGAGTTGAGAACGAGCCATATTTTCCAGAGTCCTCCGATTCCAAGAATGCCGGATGGTTTTGGAAGTCAAAGGATTCATGAAACTGAAGGCTGAGCCCTTTTGTTAGGCACAAGGTTGCTTTTTGTTGAAGAATCATGATTAATGTTTTAAGGTGTACATAAGATTCCGGAATTTTTTTTTTTTTTTTTTACATTTTTTCAATTTGAACTCTTTATAGGATATTTTGTTTTAAGTGCTGCCTACATGAGACAGCTTCTCTTCCCTGTTACTTCTTGGTAGTAATAACACGTTATGTAATTTCAGCTCGTATGAAATTTGTCTCTATTTGAGTTATTTTGTGTAACCAAGCTAATCATACATTTTAAAAGGATATGAAATGCGTAGAATAAATTAAGAGCATTAGAGGACCAAATATACTTCAACAAATTGGAATGAATCCGTTGAATAAAATCATCTTCTTGTCTGCCTTTTTGGCGTCAGGATTCCTTTTGATTTTATTGTCTTGTGCATTATACAATAATTATAAACCATTATGGGTCATTTTAATATTCTTGATAGCGCCATTACCGAATATATTCTCACAATCGATAGAGAGCTCAAGGGATAACTTTTTAACATTCAATAATAACAATGAAAATGCCCCCTCTAGTCTAGAAGAGTTTTGTCAATTTTTAACGGGATTTTTGTTAATAAGTGGTATATCATTACCCTTGACGTTCTATCATACAAATTTAATTGAGTTAGGTTCTATGTTAATGAGTATCATTGGAGGCATAATTGTCTACAGCGATATCATAGTGTTCATTTGGTTCTTTAGCGAGGACGAAGAAGATAACGATGACTTCAACTTTTAGCGTTGTCGAAGCATACTTCCGCTTTGTCCATAATACGGATCTATAGAATAGAGTACGAAATTGGGCATACATTACCTCTTTCATATCTAATGATCTACTATACAGAAAAAAATTAACATAACTAACAGAAGCCACGGAAACAAAAGAAAAGAAATACGAATTCGAACACTTCTAATTCAAGACAACCAATAATAGAATTAAAATGACAGTCAAAACAATAATTGTGATCATACTTCCATTCTCCTTACATTTCCTTCTAAAATCATTCAATCTATTAGTGGCTGTATTCAACCTTTGATAGGATCCATCAACTCCTTGCTCAAGATCATTTAGAATTATCAAGTGGTTGTCTAGTTCATTATTTATAGTTAGTCCCATAGAATGCTGTCTTTGTATAGAATCATGTAGAGAGTCCAAGCTTTGATCTTGCTCAAGGAGCCGCTGGGCATGCAGTGCAAACATTTGCTGATTAGATTCATTATCGAATGACTCTGTCTCCGTGTTTTGATCATCGTCATGATACGGTTGAAATGGTTGACTACCCATTAGTTCGCTTTTTAGATCTTCTTCTGGGTGCTCTGGGTTGTCCTTGAACCTGACAGATTTGACCGCATCTTTGGATTTTGGTAGCTCCTTGCGCTCAAATTCATATTCCAGAATATCAATCGTCAGATCATTGGACAACTTTTGAGTCAAATATTGAAAACGAGATACCATATCCTTAAATTCGGCTGTCAATGACGATTCATTTTCTCCTCTCTCTATCAAGCTTATTAAATCATCCTGTAAATATCCCAAATATTTACGAATTCTGCCCAATAGAGTTACTAAGTCATAGTTATCATTTGACGACGGAGTAAGTTTAAGCAGGTTGATCAATCTATCTCTTTCCTCTATGTTCGAATCTAGTTGATCTAAACATATGCTAATTTTGCTTATAGAGGACCTCACGTCTTTGATCCCTCTCATAGTTTCATTAGAATAAATATATGTAGTATTAAGAATTGTAAACCAGAATAATCTGATGTTGCCATCATGTGAGAAACTTATCAGAATTATCAAAAAATCTTGAATCCGATCGAGTGCAAATCGACGTTGGGAAAAGTTAGCTTTACAAAATTGGATAAAAGCGGCTCGCAAGGTAAGACTAAGGCAATGCTCAACAGGCTCAAAAGCTTTTCTGAGGATGTGGCTAAAAGTTTGAATGAATTGGCTGACGTGGATGGACAGACTAAGGTTGATTCGAATACTCGGACACGAAATTCAGTGAATGAATTGAAAGCAAATGCTGAAGTTTTGAAGACGAAAACACCAGATAGCAAGGAGCTAACTCAACCTGAAGATGTAAGTGGCGAAACTGAGATAGACCAGAATATCAAAGAAGCAGATCAAGATCAAAAATTGGTCCTGGAAATTAACTCCGATGAAAACATTGACAAGTTGCCTGCAAAAATAAGATCTAAGTTGAAGAAATTTGCAAAGTACGAAGAGAAATATCCCATTTTACTAGAAGCTTACAAGACCGAGAAGAAGAAGGGAGAGCTAATTTCTCAGTTCGAGAGAGTTCTTCAAGAAAATACACCTATATCAAGTATATCCGATGCCGATCTTTTAATTGAGTATATTGAAGGACTTAACGAGAAAAACACGTTAGTTACTGCCGAATTAAGAAAATTCTCGAAACAGGCTAGTGAATTGACTAGCAGGAACAAAGAATTAGACGAAAAGGTCAAGAAATTCGAATCTGAGATCCAGGGGTTAAAGGACCGATCAGATGCACAGAATGAGCAGAAGGATGCGTCTGTTGAAAATGACCGCTTGATTTTAAAAGATTCCAAAGAAAATGACGAATCAAATGACCAGCGAGAGGGCGGCAATAGCCCTTCAAGTTCGGAGTCAGATGAAACCGTTAGCAAACATCAAGATGAGATAAAAAAACTCAAGGGAGACTTGGATAAACGTAAGACTGAAATCGAAACCTACAAAGAACAAGTATCTGATTACGAAAAGAAAATTCAAAAATTAGAAGAGGAGCAAATATCAGCGAAGGAGGAGTCAAGCTCGTTTCAAAAAAGAATTCTGAATGTTGAAGAACAATTAGCAAATGTAGAATCTGAAAAGAATCTTGTTCAAGAGAAACATCGTATCGATGATGACAATGTCAAGAAATCTGAAGCGGCATTTAAGTCACGTATCAAGATTTTAGAGGATGAGTTAGCCGAATCTGAATCGAAATTAAATGATTTTGAAAAGCGAGCGAAAGAGAACAAAGTTGATGTCACAAATATAGAATCTTTAGTGACTAGAACCAAGGAAGATGAAAATAAAGGTGCCGATCAAAAGAAAAATTCAAAAGAAGAACTAGAGGAGGCTAAGGAAAATCTAAGCTCACTCAAAGAAGATCATGAAAAATTGCTCAAACAATTAAGAGATGTCAAAAATGAGCTTGAACTTAAGGCTGATGATGTCGAAAATTTGAGGGATCTGTTAAGAGAAGTCGGAGATGATTTAGTTGAAACGAGAGATAAGTTGAAATCAGAAAGTGCAAGTGTAAAGGATCTTCAGAAGCAGCTTTCAGACTCACTTAAAGCTAAAAATGATGTCGAAGAATCTTTAAATAGCTCTAAGGAGAAGTCTAAAAGATTCTCAGAATTACAGGAGCGAGCTTATAAGCTTGAGAAGGATTTAGAAGAAAAAAGTAACTTGTATGAATCCATTAGATTAGACCATGAATCTAAAAAGAACGAATTGGACGATGCTTTGACTTTGGTTGAAGAAAAGAAAGAAATTGAGCGGAAATTGAGGAATGATATCAATAGTATCACAAGTCAAGAGAGCGATCTGAATGCGAAGTTAGAGGTAGCATATAGAGAAATTGAAAGCTTAAAGGTTGAAAAAGAAGGCTTAAACAAACGCATTATTGAAATATCGAAGGTCAAAAGTAGCGATGCCTCCTTAAAACTAGAAATAGCTTCCTTAAAATCATCTTTGGCTCATAAAGATGAGTCGATTCAAGAGTTGAAAGGTAAGATTGATATTTTTGAGAAGAGTAAACTCAATTTAGAGGATTCTGTTTCAAAATTGAAGATCATGAATGACGATCTTACAAACTCGAACAAGGCCTTGTTTAACGAAAAGAATGCATTGGTCACAAGGCAGGAGCTGTCAGTTAGTAACACAACTTATTTGACTAATGAGTTGAAAAAGCTCCAGTCGGAGCGTCAAAAGGTAGCCTCTGAGCTCGAATCATTACAAAATCAACATGAATCTCTATTGAGAGAAAAGGCTAAAGCTAAAGATGACATACAATCAAAAACGCAACAGCTTGATGAGCTTTCCATGAAATCAAAGGAATCCACATCTAGGATCGAAGACTTAGAAGATGAATTGACAGAGGCAAGAAACTCTTTACAGGAACGAACCCGTGAAACATTGACCATTAAAAGACTTTTGGTTGACACTGAGGAGCAGCTTAAAAGTAAAGATGCGGAGCATAAGAATGAAACTAATAGGCTAACTGAAGATAGAATGGAAGCCGAAAAGCAGTCGCAAATAAATCTAAAGAAGAAACAAAGAGAATTAGATGAAATTAAACTGATTACAGAGAATTATTTGCTGAAAATAGCAGATCTTGAAAAAAAATGCAAGGCATTGAAAGAGCAGATAGAGTTACTAGGATCAAAGAGCAACAAGCAGAGGCTAGAAGCCACAGAAAATGAATCAGAAGAAGGTGTCCAAGAGATAATAGACACCTTGAGGGAATCATTACAGGCATCCGTTAAAAAAGTGAAGGAATATGAGAATATGAACAATGTCCTTAAAAAATTAAACGAAGAAGCTAATTTGAAGTTTGAGAGGTTAACCAAGAATTATAAATTGCTTGGAAATCTGTATCGAAAGTTGAAAGCCGAGGAGGCTCCATCTTCTGTCAATACGTCAGAGGAAAAATTGCACAAATCTTCCATGGATGAAGCCCCTAAACCAGTAACAACTAACATTGATTATATGAAGAATGTTCTTTTGGGATTTTTTGAACATAAGGACCAGAGAGAAACACTTCTTCCGGTGATGAAAGACATTTTTCATTTCACGTCAGATGATGAAAAAAAGTTTATGTTGGCACTAAAATGAGATGGGATTTTATATATGTAGATATCGAGATCTGAATTTTTCACACTACAAGTTAATAGCTCTTGTATTTTAAACGAAACAATAATACGTAATTGCTGAATCCTAAGGCATGCAAGATCTGTTTGACCAAAAGAAGAATGTAATTCTCAAAGAAATTCTGTCAAGTGGTAGTGATAATCCGGATGCTTCTCCAAAAGGTACCATTGATCAATTTTGCATACCCATCATTGATTTGATAAACTCCAAAAAGGACTTCGTCACTACATCATCGTGTTCCGGAAGATTATCAGTATTCTTGGAAGGTATAAAGATTGGAGATAAAATAGGAGCAAAGGGAAACCAGGGACGATGGATTTTTGTTAGTCATGATCCAAAGGAGATAACGAATTGGTATGATTCAATCGATTTTGAATACTCAGGAGAGAAGCAACTTCATATGCTGGTGAATTCTAGTAGCCGTTATATCTTGTATAAGTTCGAACCATTAATATTGCATATTAAATGCCGTGATTTTGAAAGTGCCAACAAATTGTACCAGTGTGCAATGGGCTGCGGATTCAGAGAATCAGGAATAGGGAGTAACAATGTGGTGGCAATACGTATTTCAATTAGGCTTGATATTCCCATCGGCTACCAAGACAATGATGGTAGGCTTTCGCTTTTCGTTAATAAAGAATACCTTAAGTTCATTACTCAATTGTCGGCAGATAGGTTCAGAGAAAATTTTAAAAAAATGGATCAGCTATATCAAGCAATAGAGAAGCTTGATACAGTGTCTGATACTAGTAGATCATCTGAGTCGAAGGCTGAAAGAAGAGAAAGAAAGATCATAGAAGGTTTAGCACGAAAAGAAGAGCTAAGGCAACTCAAAGAAAGAGCAAAAGAACAAGAAGCCCGCCAATGAAATTATAGAAGGAGGAGCTCTAAACATTACCGAAGCTTTTACTCTTTGCTTAAGAAGTTCAGACTTTCATCTTATTCTGCTAATATTTTATTCTTTATAGACTGATTATATAATCTCGAAATGACTAATTTTATACTGAAAGAATTTTTGATATTCAAAGAACTGAAAAAGTCTTTAATAGATAACTTTAATACAAATAGGGCCACGGTTATTACCTTCAAGATGTCAGAAGAAGCCGAGAAATTGCAAAATTTGAAGCTTGAAGAGCAAAAAATAGAAGAAGAAGGAAAAGCCCAGTCAGAGGAAATTCCGTTGGGAGAGGATGGGTTACCTTTATCCAAGAAAGCTTTGAAAAAGCTCGAAAAGGAGAAGGAAAAAGCTCGTAAGAAGGCCGAAAGAGAAGCACAGCTCGCACAGGAAAAGGCTGAAAGAGAAGCTCAAGCTGCCAACGACCCTGCAAAAGACAATTATGGAAAATTACCTTTAGTCCAATCCACACACAAGACAAATGTTCCCAGAATCAAGATCAGTGGATTGAGCTCGGCAGACGACGGAGAGGAGGTTGTATTTAGAGCAAGAGTTCATAAGACTAGACAGCAAGGTGCTACTATGGTGTTTTTGACTTTGAGACAGCAATCTGACTTAGTTCAGGCTTTGATCAAAACTAATAAAGAAACAGATCATAACGCAATATCAAAGCAACTTGTTAAGTGGGCAGGCTCAATCAATTTAGAATCTATTGTATTAGTCTATGGTACAGTGAGAAAAGTTGAAGAGCTTGTCAAATCAGCAACAGTTCAGGACGTAGAAATTCATGTCTCAAAAATCTTTACTATACAAGAGACACCTGAACAATTGCCAATGTTGATTGAAGATGCTTCAAGATCTGATGCTGAGGCAGAGGCTTTGGGGCTCCCTGTGGTTAACTTGGATACAAGGTTGGATTCTAGAGTTATTGATTTAAGGACACCCACTAATCAAGCAATCTTTAGAATTCAAGCAGGTGTATGTGCTTTGTTCAGAGAATTTTTACTGAAGAAAGGATTCACTGAAATTCATACTCCATGTATTATTCCAGCTGCTTCGGAAGGTGGTTCGAATGTTTTTGAAGTATCATACTTCAAAAGGTCTGCTTACTTAGCTCAGTCTCCACAATTTTACAAAGAACAACTAATTGCTGCGGATTTCGAAAGAGTATTTGAAATTACACCAGTTTTCAGAGCCGAAAACTCTAATACTCATCGTCATATGACTGAATTCACGGGATTGGATATGGAGATGGCATTTGAAGAACACTATGATGAAGTTCTCGAAGTATTGTCTGAGTTGTTTATTTTTATCTTCACCGAATTGAAAAACAGATACAGCAAGGACATTGCCACCGTTCATAAACAGTTCCCAGTTGACGAGTTCAAAGTCCCTGAAAATGGAAAAATGGTTAAAATCTCTTTCGCAGATGGTATTAAAATGTTGAGGGAAGCAGGAAAGGATGTTGATGACTTTGAGGACTTATCAACAGAAAATGAAAAGTTTTTAGGAAAATTGGTCAGAGAAAAATACAACACTGACTTTTACATTTTGGACCAATTTCCCTTGGCCGTCAGACCTTTCTATACAATGCCCAACCCCAAAGACCCAAGATATTCCAATTCATACGATTTCTTTATGAGAGGCGAAGAGATTCTTTCTGGAGCTCAACGTGTTCACGATTCAGAATTGTTGAAAGAACGTTTACATGCCCATGGAATCGATCCAACGGTTCCTGGTTTATCTGATTACGTCGACTCTTTCACGTATGGTTGTCCTCCTCATGGTGGTGGTGGTATTGGTCTTGAGAGAGTTGTTATGTTCTACTTAGATTTGAAGAATATTCGTCGTGCCTCTCTTTTCCCAAGGGACCCAAGACGTTTGAGACCTTAGTAAATATATAGCGTCCCTATCGGTACTGGTTTTTTTTTTTTGTTAATAGAGAAATTGTATATTTTCAAAAATAGACTTTGTGTAAGGCTGATAAAAAAAGCCGAGTCGAGTGTTTATCAGCGATAAGCATCAACACGAATTGTAAGAAGTAAATATTATACCAAGTGCTTGACATCTTATATCATATTAAAGAAAAGTCAATAAGTTACTTGATACTATTTGCTAGAATAATATGGAAGTATCACAAGCACAAAATTCGAAGGAAAGCAATGCTACTATTTTGTTGATGGGTTTAAGACGTAGTGGAAAGTCTTCAATATGTAAAGTTGTATTTCATAATATGCAGCCTTTGGATACCCTCTATCTAGAAAGTACTTCTAAGCCTACTACTGAACAGTTTTCTTCTTTAATAGACTTATCGGTTATGGAGTTGCCGGGACAATTGAACTATTTTGAACCAAATTATGATTCTGAAAGGTTATTTTCTAGTGTTGGAGCTCTAGTTTACGTGATAGACTCACAAGACGAGTATTTGAACGCATTAACAAACTTGTCCATGATCATAGAATATGCCTACAAGGTGAATCCTAAAATAAATATCGAAGTCTTGATTCATAAGATAGATGGCTTGTCGGAGGATTACAGGATTGACGCACAGAGGGACATAATGCAAAGAACTGGAGATGAGTTACTAGACTTGGGTCTAGAGGGAGTGCAGGTATCGTTTTACTTGACGTCTATATTTGATCATTCTATATATGAAGCTTTCTCCAGAATTGTGCAAAAACTCATCCCTGAGTTGCCATCATTAGAAAACATGCTAGACAACTTAGTTCAACACTCATCGATAGATAAAGTGTTTTTGTTTGATATTAATTCAAAGGTGTACGTTGCAACTGACTCGTCGCCTGTGGATATACAAACCTACGAAGTCTGTGCCGAATTTGTTGACATTACTATTGACTTGGATGAGCTTTACATTGAGCACGACAAATCTCCCGAGCAACCAAACCCGAAAGAATTAAGATCCATAAGCCACTTATCCAATGAATCTGTCTTATACTTAAAGCAAATGATAAGGGGACTTGCTTTGGTTGCGTTAATAAGGAATGATCAAGACGATGCCACTTCAGAAAAATCTTTGACCGTTATAGATTACAACGTCAGCCTCTTTAAACAAGCACTAATGAAAATGTGGGAAAGCTCGAGAATCAAGATGCAAGATAATGGGGAATCATAAATTTTTGGAGTAACTACAGTTTAGGTTCTTTAACAAAATCTAACATTGTGATTTACTATGCAGAACGAGAACTATCATTAGAGCCTCATCAGGAAATCATAACTGATGAAAAAATAAAATATATAGTGTACATAGGACTCTTGTTTCAAACGTTTTAATGGTCTATTTGTTTTTCATTTATTTTTTTTTTTGGATTTTTGATTTATATCAGGTTGCATTATTGGCTTTCGAAGACTTTTAATAATGATTTAAATCTTCACCAGCATTCGTAACCACCGTCAACAACCAAATTATGACCAGTAGTGTAGGAAGAAGCAGTTTCACTTGCCAAATACAAAATAGAACCGACAAATTCCTTCGGCTCAGCCATTCTCTTCATTGGAACCTTTGCTTCCCAAGCCTCCTTCATCTCAGTGTGACCAGAGATCACATTTCTAGTCAACGGCGTTAAGATGTAACCTGGTGATAAAGTGTTGACTCTGATATTATATTTAGCCCATTCACAAGCTAAAGACCTAGTCAAGTGAATAACACCAGCTTTAGACATGTTGTACATAGACTGTGGCTGAGGGTCATTAACGATGGTACCAGACATTGATCCGATCAAGATTATTGAACCTTTCTTGTTTTCGGCAATCAATGGTCTAGCAAATGATTGCGAAACATAAAAGGCACCCAAACTGTTGACTTTCATTATACCTTCAGCGTTCGTTGCAGGGTATTCTTCAGCAGGGAAATTTTCACAGTAACCAGCGGAGTTGATCAAAAGATCTGCTACTTTGTTGTGATGTTCATTAATTGCTGCGAATGTCTCTTCTACAGATCTAGCGTCTGCAATATTACAAGACCAAGCACTAACTTCAACAACAGGAGCTTCATGTCTGCCTTTCAAGTGCTCTTGGCCCCATGCTTCAACTTCCTTGGCGGCAGCTTTGGTTCTCTCTAAGTTCATGTCAATAAGTGCAACCTCAGCACCTTGAGCAAGAAGAGCTCTTGAGATCACTGTTGCCAAGCCACCAGAGCCACCAGTAAGGATAGCTAATCTACCATCGAGCCTAAAGTTAGGCATGATACTATCGTATGAATAATCCATTTTATTTAGTGTGATTCTATGTTTGTAATTGTGATTCTCAACCAGATATGTGGTTCGAGATGATTCTCAAATGTATTATTTGAGCTATAATTAATTAAATATGTTGGAACACTAGTTGTTTGTAAAGATCAAAGTTCACTCAGCACAAAAGCTTGTCTTTTTTGTTGCTGTCGTTCTCTCTCTCTTATATACCCCGGATAAGCAGAAAAGAAAAGGCGACCCCAGTCATTTTCCCGAGTATCGATAAGATGAGCTAGAAAAAGTTCCGCGAAAACTGCCGACGGTGTCGGGAGGCAGTTAGCTAAGAAGTTACCTCATTTCAGCGGCTTGATTACGTAAAAAATACATATTACGAGGGGGGATCACGCAGCCATTACTAGCAACAAGATCGTATTACGGTCGAAGAAAAGAAAAGTAAGTAAGAAAAAGAAAAGTGACAAAAGAAAAAGGTTAGAGAAAGGAGCACGGAGCCATCGCAACGGTAACGCAAGAGGAACGTTGTTGCTGAAATTTATGGACGGTTCTATGAAAACGGAAGGCTGAGCACCACAGTGTTGTTTGCCCTTAAATTGGTCCAACCGAAGTTAAATGGTGATTTATAATTTAATGTGACGCTAGTTGGAGGTGAACATGAGGGTGTTGTCACTAAAGGACTAATGAAAGAGTATTGATCGGAGTAAAAATAGAGCTTGACAATATGCCGGCCGTCACCTAGAAGCGAACATCAGGATCGGGATCGGAGAGGTCGGAGATTCCGGATTTAAGAATCTACAACCTACCGGAGCAAATCATTAAGTGGTCCGACGTAACTGTGCAGCTCTTCTTCATTGGAAATGAAAACTTAAAACTGGGAATGTTGTGTCGTTTGAATTCTTTTCATTACGAACAAAAATTCTGCCAATCACAATGGAGCCAGGGGCAATTGCGGTAGAATTACATAGTCTCGGGTCTAATTCGAATGAGGTATAGCGTACGACGGAGCGAACGAACTCCGGGACATAACGTCATTAACACACATATGGTGTTGCAACCATGGATAAGACCCCGGGAGAGCTTGCGGACAATCAAAGCTGAATTACATTTTTACAGGGTGCTGCATACCTTAGAAAAAACAGAACAGACAGTTCTATAGTAGCCATCACCATGTGCTAATACTGTAATCTTATTAGAATTGAGAACAGTGGAGGAATTTGTGATGAGTTTTATTGTGTTCATAATCTATACAGTCAACAAGGTGGGACTGGGTAGTCACAATGCGTTCTCTTCTTTTATTTAATTGATTCACATATAATGCAAATTATATTATTTTAGACTTCTAAATAATTACAAGTAATTAATTTGCTCATAAAATCTTGCTGGGTAACCTTTGAAACCTTTATGTAAAGCCTCAGCCTTAGTACTATAATATTCAACACAAATATGCCATGTTTCACCATTATCAAATTGAAAGGCACCATTGGTAGCCTTGTAAGTGCGTGCTCTATGCACAGCTTCTTCAGAAGCCTTTTCAATTAATCTGCCTTGTGGTTTTGTATGACAATTAGATCCTGTGTTTCTAGTTGTGACCTGAATGTGTGTATCTGCCTCCCAGAAACTATATTGACCACACCAGTGACCTACTGGAGCATTCAGCTGTTCATTCAGAATTCTATGCCATATAGGTTTGACAATGTTATTCCAAACATTACCACCTGTAAACACAATATCATTTGCTATTGAAGTAATATGATGTAATACTTCAATACCATGTAATCTCTTATAACTTTGATTTGGAGAAGGGTCATCACGCGTAACTAAATTAGGTACGACCGTGAGAGCTGCATAGTCGGTCGAATCAACGTCAATGAGTCAGCTTTAAATGAGAGCATGAAGACAAATGATGTTTACTATTGTAAACAAGAAGTGAGAGTAAAAACTATAATGCAATATAATAAAATAGTTATGCTGTCTATTATTCATATATTATTCAGGTTGAACTTTCAGCCAGAAAAGCCTCATCTTCTTTTGTAAGATTCTGCTCTTGGAGTCTTTGAAACTTTTTTGCATCCTTTCTTGCTTGCTCTCTATCCATGCGTCTATTGGCCCATCCTCTTAACCTTTCTCCATATATTAAGCAGAAAATTGGGAATGGTATTCCTAAAGCCAAGCCAATAAAAGCACATAGTGTATTACCCCAACCATAGTTTAGCGTGTCATACATCTCTTTGGCAAATAAAGGAAATGCGAATCCAAACAAAGATCTGAAAACAGCAGCAGCAGCCACTGAACTAGCAGCAAATCTGTTGTTCATATCGATCAAATAATTTTGAATGGTCTGAAATACCGCAATGAATACAAAAGCAAAGATTCCTGCACCAATGCAGGGCATGATCCAAGGCAAATGGTGTTGAGCTGACCAGCCATACCAAATCAAACCGATTGGCAATCCAATCCCAGAGATGCATAAACATGGTAGTCGATATTCTGGTTTAGGTACGCCCCCATTTCTCTTGGTTAAATAATTGTAGAACCAGTTTATAATATAAGTGCAAATGATAGTTCCTAAAATGTAACCTATTCCCATCGAAATAAACATTAAACCTGAAATCCCAGTATTAAATCCATACGTTCCTTCCCAAACATCAGGAAAAGTCACCACCATCAAATACATGAATCCATATGTAAATGCCATAAAGGATCCTAAACCGATCACCATAGGATGGGTAAAAAGTAGCTTAATTGGCCTTGATATAGATGTTACCGTCTGGTCCCACACGGTGTCCCCATTTGCAATTTCATAAATGGTATGCAAATGCTCGTTTCCGGTTTCTTTTCTTAACTTTTGAGCTTTAGTCTTTAATAATCTTGGCGAGTAAGTTTCTTTAAAAAATATAGTTCCAAATACTGCCACCACCCCATTAAATATTGCTAGTACCCAAAAAACCCAATGCCAGGAAGCATTCTCTACTATGAATCCTGATATTATTGGTGACAACACTGGCCCTAAGGTAGGACAAATTGAGTAAAATGCCATTGCAACCAATCTTTGATCATTCGAGTACAAGTCACTTAATGTACCAGCTCCTACATTTAAAGGAGCGCAGCCGCCTAGCCCACCGAGGAATCTAAAAATACACAATTGGGCTGGTGTTTTTGCAAATCCACAAGCTAAGTTGAACACAAATATAATCCATATTGAAATATTCAAAACTGGACGCCTTCCAACTCTATCACTTTCACTCAAAGGTGCAATTATTAAGGGGCCAATGGCCCATGCTAAAATCATAATGGAGACGCTGAACGACTGAATGAAGTTTCCGTGCATGCCTAGGTCTTTGGCAATCTCAGGCATAGCTGAAGAAGGAACAGATGATGACATCGGTGAAACTAATGTGTATATTGCAGTGATTCCCGTTTGAAATGCTTTTTGACCAAGAGACCAATTCCGGGGATAAAACTCATCTTGCTCTCCATCCCAAGTGACAAGTTCGGGATCAATTGAGCTAAACTCTCCGCCAAAGTCCTTAGCTGGAACGGAAACATCAGGTTGATTTTCATAAAAGCTAGTACCATCCTTGTCGACCTTCTGTTCTCCTTTCGACTCCTCATCCTCTGCACGAGTACCAACTTTTTGAACTCTGTCCGATAATTGATTAAGTATAGTCGATTTAGTTGTTGTTCTTCTTAAACGAATATCATCAGGTGCCATATCACCGTATATATCCTTTACTGAATAAGTGGTGGCATACCTGCTTAGTCTTGATGCATCCGCTGAAGAACTTCGGGATAATGACCTTCGCATAGCCTGTAGTATATCGTTTGCGGATGTAAAACTTGTTCCCGACAGACTGGACAATTTTCGTTCTTTCAGTGGTAATTTTTCATCTACTTCCTCTTCGTAAGGATGGGGTTGGACTCCAGCATACTGAGACGACTCGATTGAGGATTGGAGGGAATGGTTAGAGTCAGACGGGGAGATGCTCAGCCCATCAAGATCGCCACTATCACCCGTCGACATCCCTTTATTCCCTTTATTGTCTGAAGGCATAACTATTTAACTCCTGACTCACTTAAAGCTTGATAAAGTTGCGATGCCTTAATGTTACCTGATAGGGATAAGGGAACCGACTTTGTACCCCAATAAAATAATACTATTCGATTTTTAAAGCAATTCAACCTGAGGCAGAAAATATATGGAAATGCTTCAAGTTTGATTATATACGATTACAACACATCCAACTTTAGCGTAATATCGATTGCTGTAGCTCTCAGAGTTATTTCTTCCAATGATCTGCAGGGTGTGAGCTAAGTATTATAGTCAGATTGCACCCACTATTTTGCGATAGATATTAATCTTGCTTTATTGAAGGGGATTTTTGTGCAATTTGTGGTCAGATTCACCTTCAACCTTGTAAAAAAAAAGTGGTTTGCCAACTCCGCTATTTATTTGTCATCGGGAAAGAGTAGATTTCGCCGACTTGACCGGCTGAACCTTTTCCCGTCACATGAAACTAAAGGTGAACAGAGTTGTACGAAAGTCCAACTCTTATCCTGTATAACAATATATCATGAAGCTTCTTAGTTTCCCTTAGATCAACATAACTTCAGCTTCATTAAAGATACAATTCTTTCAGAAGTCTATGGTGTTCAGGCTCTTATCTAATAAAACCTGCATGGTTCACGTATAAGCAGGCCACTTATTTAAGGTTGAATTCTATTTGTTAAGCATTGTGTCATCTTTTATGTCGTAGAACCAAATTGAATTCGTTGAGAACTTTGTCGTTAAAATGCTGCGACTTGCTCGTTCCCGTCGTTTACACAAAGGTGTTTCATCGTTTAGCGCTTCGCGTTTCTTTTAACGAGGCGATATAAGAGTATCGTTTGCATCGCCAGATAGATTTTTTTTATCTTCATCGACAATTAAAATGTTGGAAAGGTAAGTTCATATTACAGGAGTATCCTTAAAGCAATTCAGTTGTGGATGTTTTCTGATCATACTCGATAGGCGACGGGGGTGTCTCCTTGGTACCGCATAATTATTAGAACACTACTAACACAGCCATTAGAAGCGCAGTTTATCATGATTACTCCGGCTTTTCAGATGTAAGGACCTTTTCAGATTCTTTGCATAACTTCCAGAAGCTTCATGACTTGAATTTCGTTGAACAATTATGGGGCGCATATTATTACTACATGGGTAACGATTTATTTGCAACAGGACTCTTAATTTTCGTTTTACATGAAGCTATGTACTTCGGAAGATGTGTACCTTGGATGATAATAGACCAAATTCCTTACTTCAGGAAGTACAAAATCCAGGATACGAAACTTCCATCTAACAAGGAGCAGTGGGAATGTATGAAATCAGTATTGGTATCGCATTTTCTTGTTGAAGCTTTTCCAATCTGGTTTTTTCATCCTTTGTGCAAACAAATTGGTATATCATATGATGTACCATTCCCTTCAGTAACAGAAATTTGCATTCAATTGGCTGTTTTCTTCGTTTTGGAGGATGCATGGCATTATTGGCTCCATAGAGGTTTACATCACGGTGTGTTTTACAAGTACATTCACAAACAGCATCATAGATATGCAGCACCATTTGGTTTAACAGCAGAGTATGCTCATCCTATCGAAGTTATGTTGCTTGGTTTCGGAACCGTCGGTATTCCAATCTTATGGTGCATGATAACTAAGAAGTTGCATTTGTTCACGACATGTCTTTGGATCACTCTCAGATTGTTTCAAGCAGTTGATTCACATTCAGGATACGAATTCCCCTTTTCTTTACATCACTTCTTACCATTTTGGGCAGGCGCCGATCACCACGATGAACATCACCACTATTTCGTCGGTGGCTATTCTTCTTCATTCAGATGGTGGGATTATTTCTTAAATACCGAGGCCGGGCCAAAAGGTAAAAAAGGTAGAGAGAATGCCGTTAAAGAAAAGGCAGAAAAAGTCCATAAAAAAGATTGAGCTTTATCAAAACTAGTTCGAAAGCTTGAGAATATTCAGACAAAATTTAGATGTCGTCTGTACCATATGACTTACATATAACTATAGGGTTTACATACATATATAATTGCTTAAACAAATAATATTAGTCTTTCAGATTTATCCATTCGGTGAATTGATGTCTTTTTTCGTGGATGTCAATGAAGTCTAGCCTTGTAATGTATTGTTGATAATCGTTTATACCTAGTTTTTCAAAATCTTTTACTGCATGTGTCATTTCAATAGGTCGTAAGTATTTGGTATCAGGATTCGTCTTCTTGTTCTTAATTGAATAGAACGACGAATTCTCGATTGATGCAATAGCTCCATAGCCGATAACGGCAATGCTCATGAGGGTTTCGATTATGATATCGACTGGAAAGTCAGCTCTCAAACCACTAGTTTTAACCAAATGATTGAATTCGAATGAGGAATAGCCCGCGTGAGCAAGAAGAAGAATTCCAAAAGTATAAGCAATCAACGATAATGTCATCCTAGCCTGTCCCTATGTTTCTTTAGAAGCTCTTAAAATACCAGAAGAGCTATAATAATAAGCAAATATGACGTATGCTAAAGATCAAAAAGTATATCTCAATGATAATTTTAGTTTGTCCGAGCAACGACTTAGAACGAAAAACTTCACTGCATACACAATCGGCAAGTCCAAACTTTCATAAGCTTTTAGTGAAGGAGATTCAAAAGTAAGGCGGGCTGGATGATTCATATTTCAATACCGCATCCATCAATAAGGGATCGAATTGGCAAATTGAATCGATCGCAACAGCCTAGAAATAGTTGCAGCCAATTTTTCATCTTGATTAAAGCACCTTTGTTGTATTATTATACAGCGATGTAGATAGATATTGTAAAACGATGCCATCAGTCGGTTCAAAGTTATAGAGGTTAGGGAGCTCTTTCCTCTAAGCACATGTATTGATAAAAGAAGATGACAAATTTGCACATTCAGTTGATGTTGGATTTTATCTTGCCCTATCATCTCTAAACGAAAGTATCATTCTAAGAGATCAACCAGCAAAAATAACAAAAGATAGTCTATTGGAACAGAAACTTTGCATATTGTCTTCGGGCGAAATGTCATTTCCAAGGGTCACTCTTAGTGAGCTCTGTGGTAAATGGAAATAATTGGCGAGCACATTTTTTGCATTTGTGAACGAGAGGCTTTTAAACTATAAATGAGCAGTCTTCTGTAACTATTCGAATACACAAGAATATTTACCTTCAATTGCACTCCAAAAGAGTTTGCTTAAGTCTTATTTATATCTAATTTTATGAGTTTTTGGAAAGTTGCTTTTCTTCTATTGGTGATTTACATTGCGGTCTTGTAGTTACAAGAGATTTATTTATTGACATTTGATAACAGAATAATTAAGAGCCTTTTTTCTTGTGGACATGAAGACACATATTATACCCTTATTGGTTCTTCCATTAATATCACAGTGCCACTACATCCCTATTGACGTACCCAGCATGCATTTTGGAGGAATCCTTCAACTGATATTTTCACTTACCTCCTTATCAGCACTTGAATCAGTCGCGATTAAAGATAATCCTGATGCTCCTGAGAATTCTGACTTGGAAAGTTGGATTGAAGGTGAGAGGGAATCAGCTCTCAAGGGAATCTTGAATAACTTTTTTGGACCAAGTGATTGGATGCATGAACCTGAGGTTGCTAAGGGAGCAGTTATCGCTTCGCCTTCTAGAGAGCAGCCTAATTATTTTTTTCAATGGGTTAGAGACGCTGCATTAACAGTTAAGACCTTAGTTCTTTATCTAGATGATTCTAATTTCCTGGATGAAAAGCTTGGACCTCTAATTGAAACATTTATTGAAAGTCAGTATCATATCCAAAGGTTGACTAACAAATCTGGTAAATTTGATGACGAGTGTCGATCTGGATTAGGGGAACCTAAGTTTATGCCTGATGCGACTCCATTTCAAGATTCATGGGGTAGACCTCAGAGAGATGGACCAAGTTTGAGAGCTATAACGATTATGATGTACTTAAATTTATTGAAGAAGCATGACAAATCATTATCTAATGAGTTTTTAAAGAGCCCCGAATTCATTTACTATGAAATTATCAAGCCAGACTTATTTTATGCAACGAAGAACTGGAAAAAGGAAGGATTCGATTTGTGGGAAGAGATTGAAGGATTCCATTTATTTACATCTTTAACACAGTTAAGATCTTTGAGGGATGGGATTGAATTTGCCGAACAAATTGGCGATCAGGATCTTGAATTTATTGGTGAAATGAAGCTGGCATTCGATGATCTCAAGAACTTCATTGAGAATGATTCGGGTTACAGCCCGGAATTCAAGTCCCACCTTGTTGAAAGTCCTAAGTACGTAGCGTCTGGAGATAGATCTGGCTTAGATGCTGCCATTCTTTTAGCCAGTATTCATTCTCATAATCTCGACTATGGTGATTACAGTGAAATCCCGTATGATGCCGATAGCTATAAATTATTGAACACTTTGAATGCAATGGTCGCAGATATGAAAGTCAGATACCCAGTCAATAGATTGAGCTACCATGAAGGTGGCGGCACTGGTTTGGGAAGATATCCAGAGGATATCTATGATGGTTATGAACGGTCGGAAGGTAATCCTTGGTTCATTGCAACTGCTTCAGCGGCTGAGGTTGTCTACAAGTTTATTTTTAAGTTAATTTCAAACAAACAGGACGTGGTAATCAATGAGCATAACATTGACTTCCTCAAACAATTTGTTGACTTAGGATTATCAAAATCTGTAACAATAGAATACGGTTCACCTAAGTTCGATGACATGGTTAAGCTGTTGTTTACGTTTTCAGATTCATTTTTAGAAGTTGTTAAGGAACACACAGATAAAGATGGTCACATGTCTGAGCAATTCAATAGATATCATGGCTATATGCAAGGTGCAAAGGACTTGAGTTGGAGCTATAGCGCAGCTTGGAATGCCTTTAGGTGGAGAACAAAGACAGTGGAACTTTTTAATAATTAGACTATATTTATTTTTCAATTCCTTTTCTAGTGATATTTAAATTATTCTTCCACTTGAGTTGACTATAACAAGGTTGGAATGCATTCAGATGGAGAACAAAGTCGATGCATGTTCTCAATAATTAGTCTATATTTATTTTTTAATTCTCTATTTTAATGATAATGCTTAAGTTATCCTTATGTAATTTCTCTCTTAAATGTAAATAAGAGAAATGGTGCAGTTAGGAAGCTGAATCGTTCTGTTACAGGTTCACTTCTTACCGAAAATGATGAATAAACTAACTAACGACATTTTCACATCATATGCTATCATTACTGCCAGAGCTGTCGAAAACGGATATATCAGTAAGTGTGTCATCAACGAAGCCTCTCTCGTAACATTTTTGGGATCTATCGAGAAGCTCTTGGATTTCTGCGTTACTCAATATATTATTGTCGTGGACCGTTTTTAAGTCCGAATAGTCATAGTTTATGCTAGCCTCTCGACTGTCATCCTGCTGAAATTTCTTAAGGTTCTTCGTGAAATCGAGAATTTCTCTCAAGTGTGGTTCTTTTTTGTTAAAGATTCCTTGTAGTTGACTGTACTTAAATTCTCCTAATTGAATCACAAGCTTTTCTAAAACTCTCTTCGATGCACTTTTACTTATCAAGATTTCCTCAATAGAGCACTTGACAATAAATCGAAAAATTTTTACTGGCTTTGTTTGACCAATTCTATGGACTCTATTGATAGCTTGTAAATCAACTTGTGGATTCCAATCATTATCAAAAATTATTACGGTATCTGCTGCGATCAAGTTGACACCCAATCCCCCAGCTCTGGTGGATAATAAAAACACTTGTTTTTTCTTATTCAGACTGAATTGCTTCATCTGTTCTTCCCTCTCCTCTTGACCAGTGGATCCGTCTAGCCTACAGACATCTACCCCTTCATAAGTGAACCAATCCTGTAACAAATCTAGAACTCTTGTGAATTGGGAGAAGATCAAGATCTTATGGTTTTGTGGAAGCAACTTTTTACATAACTGATCCAATAACCTAAATTTAGTAGAATTATGAAGTAGTGCTTTCATAAATTTCTCAGTAACTTCTGGAGTATCAACGATAGGAAATGGCTCATAGAATATGTAAGGTGAATTACAGATATTCCTCAATTGCATAACAGGGTTTCGTAACGACAAGTTTCTAATCTCATGACATCCTTCTTCAAAGTAGAACTCCAAGATCTTTTGTTTCTTTCTTGCTATAGATAGTCCCTTTAAGTTTAGCCTTTCTTCTAACAAGGTTTTCTTTTTCGGTATAACATTTTCAACGGCATTGTCAATAATCTCAGTATCTATATCCAAATTTCTATCTCCTAATTCTTTTGTCTTGTATTGTGCAGCAAGGAAGTCTTCGACTAAAGATATGTCCTCTGGAAAATTGAACACATCTCTATAATTAAAATTAATATACTCTCGTACGAATGCTTCTACCAAAGAGCGGTATGTCTTTCCATCTAATATGTCATTGTAGATTTTTCTTTGAAGGTGAGATAAAGGAATATGAATTAAATACTCTTTCTTCGGTGGTAAGTCAATCATTACATCTTTTTTCATCCTTCTCAAAATAAACGGTTTCAATATGGTATGTAAATTATGAACCAAATTCTCTTGAATCTTAATTTCGATTGCACGGTTCATCTCATCGTCTTCCTCCCCTTGACCGTTGTTGTCATTTTCAAAATTGGTCAATTCATCGAAATTGAACCATTGCTGAAATAGTTCAAGATCTTGAAAAATATCAGGTAAAATGAAATTAAGTAATGACCAGAGTTCATCTAGGTTATTTTGAAGAGGCGTGCCGGTTATTAATAAACGATTGTTGATATTTAGTTTTTTCAAAAAGCGTATTAAGACACAATTCATGTTCTTTAGCCTATGTCCTTCATCAACAACGAGATATCTCCATTCTATCGAGTTCAATCTATTAAAATCTTTAATTGCCAATTCATAAGATGTTAAAACCACATTTTCTTTCTGATTTAACTTGATTTTATGTCTCTCAGGTTTTGATCCGGTATATTTGAGAACAGATATAGAAGGAGCAAACCTCTTTATCTCTTGAAACCAGTTCCCTATTGTCGATAGAGGTGCCACTACCAAGAATGGGCCCTTGATTCCATTTTCTATTAAAAAGCAAAAGAAGGAAATACACTGCAACGTTTTTCCCAAGCCCATCTCGTCCGCCAAGATCCCATTTAATCCATTCTCATATAATGTGGTCAACCATTGTAGTCCATCTAGTTGATAATCTTTCATCACCCCGCCTGTCACCATTCGTGGTTGATTTTGAGTATGAGCTGTCTGTGACTCTTCGATCTTCTGCTTCTTAGATTTGGCATTATCTGACAGCCCTTTCGAAAGTAGCTGCGTGATATCTGCTTTAGAGCGAGTAGGTGATTTGACTTTTTTTGAATTGCGCGAAGGCGTGGAACAAGAACCATTCGAACTGCCTTTAGAATTATTATTTGCATTCTTGAAAGCTCCTTCCAATATGTTTTCGGAGATGATTTTTGAGTAGACTTTGGACCTTTCTATTAACGTGTTGAGTCTTTCTAACTTCTTATTTCTCGACAACCTATTGAATTGAGCTTGTTCCTCAGATGGATGATCTTGAGGGAGCAATTCCCTGAGATTCTCTTCTTCAGGACTGTATGTCATGTACTGTTTGATCTTTCACGTTATCAAATTATCTACTCTACTTGACCTCTTGCGGCCTACCGCGTAAATCGAGACTGATACCATACACGCTTTTTGTGTAATTTGCATAATGTCCTTAAGACATCAATTGAGAGCACCCAACAAAGCGATATATTCTAGGCTAGGTCAAAGTGAAGTGGTATTCTTACTTAAGAATGGACCCACATGGTTACTATGGTGCATTCGACGGACGCTTTGACAGTACGAAAATTTTTCTCTACGTTTAGCAGCTTCAACAGAAGCTATTCAACATATAGAGTGACGAGAATTACATTACGTATGTCAGATTGCGTTAATGTTCCAGCAAGAATTGTAGTCTTGAAGACAAACACTAAAAAAAAATTTTAAAAAAAAAAAAAATCAGCCTCTATTGTGCTTTAAGCAGGTCGTGTTTTCGACTTGACAGCTTCGTACATTCTCAAATTAGCTCTCTCTAATAATAATGACCAAATGAAGGATATCTATCATCATGACCCTTTTTAAGTTAAAGCTTGGAACTTAGGATCCATTTTATAGTGTGTGTAATAATTGTTTTAATACTTAGTTACCTGTTTGCGCATGATATTGCAAAATCATAACTGAGATGCCCCTGTGCACAACGTTCCTTGTGATAGAAAATTTTGTTGATAGCCTGCAGTTAAAGCGATTACGTAGTATGTGATGCATTCGTTGGGTGAGCGGTTATATTAAGCCGGGAGTGGCATCAATATGTGGAAGGAAGGTGTTTATTAATGAGAAGTATCTTGAAAGTTCCAAGACGACTATTAAATACCAGCTCTATAAATATGGGAAGGGATAATATTTTGAAGCATTTGAAAGAAAAGGGTGAAGTAAATGGTGATTCGGAGCTTGAGATCCCCCAGTCATCACCTCCTTTATCAACTAGTGTCTTTGCTAACAACAAGTCGTCCAATTTCCCATTTACATTGAGTAAGGAATCAACTATTCAGGATTACTTAAATAATAACAAGTACTTTGTCGATTCTATTAAGCACAATTACGACACTAAGATCTTTGACATCAATAAACAGGGACAATCGCCTCATACTTTGTGGATCGGATGTTCTGATTCTAGGGCAAGTGAGGGATGTCTTGCGACCTTACCTGGAGAGATCTTTGTGCACAGAAATATTGCCAACATAGTGAATGCAAATGACATTTCATGCCAGGGGGTTATTCAGTACGCAATAGATGTCTTGAAGGTTAAAAAAGTGATCATTTGTGGCCACACCGATTGTGGTGGCGTTTGGGCTTCTTTATCGTCAAAGAAAATTGGTGGAGTCTTGGATCTTTGGTTAAATCCCATCAGACATATCAGAGCTGCTAATTTGAAATACTTACACGAATTCAACCATGATCCTCATTTAAGGGCAAGAAAGTTGGTGGAGTTGAACATTATATCTAGTGTCACTGCTTTAAAAAGACATCCATCAGCTTCTATGGCATTAAAGAATGGCGACATTGAAGTATGGGGTATGCTTTACGACGTTGGCACTGGTTACTTGCAAGAAGTCGAAGTACCTAACGATGAATTCGAGGATCTATTTCACATACATGATGAAGTATAACATGCATAAACTACATACTTTTTAGAATCTTTAGATACTTTCTAATATATTTATATTAATTTTAGTTCAATACTTAAGTTGAGCTCCAGTTCAAGTTAAATCTTCCCTCTGGTATTTTGAAGTTCTCAATTGCTTCAAAGACTTCATCAACTGTATGAGCAACCTTGATAATATCACCATTCTTGACACTCACAAACTCATTGTCAATAGATTCTTGGATAAATTTCAAAAAGCTGTCGTAAAAGCCATCAATGTTAAATAAAACAATAGGTTTATTATGAATATTCAATTGGAACCAAGTAACCACTTCCATTAACTCTTCCATAGTACCATAGCCACCTGGCAAAGCAACGAAGGCATCTGACTCTTGACCCATTAATCGCTTTCTCGTGTGCATGTCCTTTACTAAGGTTGTTTTACCATACTCATTTGAATCTGGGATCGGCGTGGATCCATCGTGATTATCAATTGATTCCTTCAACTTATCATTAAGAGTTTCCTCATCTGTTCTCTCTCTTGCGATAAGTGCTTCCGGAATGATTCCATGAACATAGCCACCGTTAGTTGCACACCCTCTAGCAACGGCTCCCATCACACCGGTGGATCCACCACCATAGACCAAACCCCAGTTTCTATCTGCGAGCTTCTTTCCTAATTCCGTCGCACTATTAGCATAGATATCCTTGCTTCCAAAAGAGGAGCCACAGAAGACGCAAACCTTAGCTTTAGTATCGATATTGGATGAAGTCATTTTCTCAGTGTAACGTATAATATAAAACTTATAATAATAGTTATTAGTGTTATTTGTACTATAATATAGTGCTTTGATTTCAGAAAATGTTTGCCAAAATCAAAAGTACTTGTAATAGATTAATGCAGTTAACTAGTTGTTTCCTTTTTAATATTAGTAAAGACTACCTATACGTTTGAAGAATGCACTAAATATATAAGGTATCAGAAGTTCGAGAAATTAGATGATTATGATGGTTTCCGCGGACAGTCCGCACTCAAAATATAAAGCTGCTCGCTTTCAGACGAGGAAGTTTAGGCACATGAATATGAAAACCAAATCTTCGGCCAAGTATCGGAATTAAAGGTTTGAAGTGACGGAGAGAAGCGAAACACTTAGGCTTAGAGCTAAAAGTCCCTGCTATACTCTATACCAAGAGAAATAGGTTCCCGGCCATGTGACATGTAGGACACGGACGAGTCTGATGAAGAAGAATTACCGGAGAGAGAAAATCATGCGAGCTAAAGAATAAGAATAATATAGATTACATTATTCAGCCTTTTTTGTTCACTTTAGTGGTAACCAAGTACCCTGACTTTTTAGCCATCACAAATCAGCAGTGCCGTTTTCTAACTCTTTAATTACTAGCGTAAACCATGAAGGCGAGAAATATATCACGTGATGGTTCACAGTGGAAACTTTGATTCCTTATCTAATGTAGGGGCCCTTACTTTCCAAAATAACAAGAACCCAGCTTCTATTGTAATGACAGCTCGATTTGACGAATCTACATATATTTATTTACAAAATATAAGATAATAGAGCCGTCTAATATTGCAGCAAAATATCGCAGAATTGTTTTAGTATCAAAAATAGCATCGGAACAATACTGCTCGTCAATAATATTCAGATCACTCACGACCACTCCGACGTGTTAAACACCTCTTCTATGAGCTCTAAATTTTTACAAGCATGATCGAAAGTGTATTTGCCGGCTTGATCGGATATTATTTTTAGAGAGTAAGGGGTCCTCCTCAAGGCTTTTTGGTCTCCATTTGCCTGTTTTTGTCTTTAATTCGCATCGTTTTGAAGTGATTTTTATGAAAAGTTTCGTGATTTATTGATGCAGCTTTTTTTCGCGCCCTTTCTCTTTTCTAACATATTCAGATCCCAGGGACATTGACCTTATGGAACCAGGAACAAATAAACACTACAGCTTTTCCACTGCACCTTAAGTCAAACACAAATATCACTAGAAAAGCAGCACCAGAATCTGAAGTTGTGAAGCGAAGAAGAATTGCGAAGTAGCAAATCAATGCTCTGAGCTTTTATTAGTGTTTGAGGAAGGTTTCAAGTTTTAAGCTTAAATATATTGACATAGGACCATAATTAGATCCGATTTATACGTTCGACGATTACTTGCTATTCGTAGCATTAGAGAGAAGAAGTAATCACCTAATAAATTGGTGTTTAATATGGTTAAACTGCTGATATTTGAACAGCTTGACAGTCTCGTTCTTTCTCTGGAAGATTCTGAATTTGGGTTTGATAGCGAGCAGGAAGGTAGCCAAATAACAGATGCTACATCGTTGGTCTCAGAAACAAACTCGCTATATGAGCTAGAATTAAAAGCGAAAGATACGGTACCGAAAAGTTACTTAAAAGACGAAGTAAATCATCAAAAATTGCATCATAAACTTCAAGAGAAGTTTTCAAATTTACAAAACGTTATGGATTGCTTGATGGACATGGTGACACACGAGACATTTCAAATTGAAGAAGCTATAGAGAAGTGCTTATCAGATATCAATAGCAGTAAAGCAATGAATACATATATGGTACCTATTTTGCAGTCGCCCTCACAAAGGCGGCACAATTCATGCAAGATGGGTAGGCAAAATTGCAGTAAACAAAGCAAAGACAATTCTTTGTCTTAGAAGCATACATAAAAGCAATGAGGCACATTCATTTCTTGAACTTTTCTGATTCAATTCTATTGAAACTATGAATCAATTAATCGTACATTAGTGATCCAATTCTTGAATTAATTTATTTTTATTATATACCATAAATGTGCACATTACTTTTTATTAAATTCGAAAGGGTAGACTTCCCAAGGATGGCTTTTGGAGTTTAGAGCTATGAGTGGAACTGCTACTACCTGTATTGGACAGAGTTGTTTCTCTTGGTTCAAGATTCAAAGATATTTGATATTGTTCCGGAATTGAAGGGCATTTATCCATCCAGGAGCCTAAGTAGAACTGAATGTCCAGAACCTCTAACAAATTATATGCCGTGGTCTTGAATCTGTCTAAACTTTCAATAATTTCAAAAGTTTTAGCTCTCTTAGCGAAATTAATCATTCGTGTTCGATTCATTAAGAAATTTGGATTTCCATGAAAAACGAAAGTAAGATCACTTAAATAAACTCCAAAGAAAGGTATACAAGGCTCGGACCCAATAAACTTCAAAACATCTCTATACTCATTGAAATTCCTTGATGAATTCATTAACTTATTCATGTTTTGTAGTTTTGACAAACTTTCTGAACTAACAAATTTCCATGTTTTCTTCAACCGATGTATAGGAGACGAGTAGAGAGCAGAAATAATTGCCGTCATAGACGAAAAATTATTATACTGACGGCACTTCTCTGCGACTTGAACAAAATATCTGATTATCTGGACTCTTTTCTTTATATCAGCTTTTCTTAATATCATATAAGCAACAAAATTAGTCAATTGATTAGATTCCTTGATAAAGTTGGTAATGTCTTCAATACTTTCGTTTAAGCCTGACTTTTTCCCCCAAACTTTAGTTAAGCAGGCAAACCTTGTAATTTTAGAATACAATTTGAATTCTCTTATCGTGAGTTGCCGTGCAAGTTCTATATTATCAATGTCCAATAATCTAACCATCTTCTTCTTTATAAACGTTTTCATCAAAGGAGCCGGAGGTTTACCTTGAGGTTGCGATGGAACTCTCTCAAAGCAAACTATCTCCCCATTAATAACCTTACGCAAATCAGTAACAAGGAGCTTTCCAATAGAGTAAGATTGAACTTGACTAGACTGGGTAAATGTTAGCCATCTTGTCAAAACATTGTAATTTTTGTAAGAGTTACACCAATGCTTTTCAAGTAAGAGCTTCATTGTATTTAATACTCTCAACCGAATTGTGCTTTGTTTCTTTGAGATCCATATATTATATTCCTCAAAACTCAAACCTTCTGGAGGTTCTATTTCGAACCTGGCGATAAGGAGTTCAATCAATTCACCAATTGACATCATCGTAGAAAACGTTAACAAGAAAGCTGCCACGAAATTACTATCGTACGAATCATGATGAGTCAAGTGGCACACGAGAGCTTCTTTAGTACCACCTTTAACATTTCCTTTGATGTCTAATAATAAGTCATACTCCTCATCACCTTCTAAGTACCACGGCACACTATTAGAGCGGGTCTGTCCTCCATAAAAGGAATTTCCCTCATCAGACTTCTCTGACAAAAGAGTATTATTTCTTTCCATAAGCAACAATTGAACATTCATATCAACATGCATTACCCTTGTTGCATAATTGAGAATAGTATCACGTTCATCAATTAGCAGCTGCGTTACTGAAAGAACCACATCAAAAAAATTGATTCCATTTTTCATTCTTCTTAATAATATGGTGTCTGGATTCATTAATATAGAACCACTGCTATTTTCATTCAATTCATCAATTAAAATATTCGTTAAAAGCAAAGCTTCTTTTTCAGAGTCTTGTTTGATGATACTTCTATTATAAAAAATCGGGTTTTCGTCATTAATTCCTTTAAAAACGTCTGGATCTTCAAGAGTTAGCGATTGTGCAGACATAACTATTCTTGCGATTAAATTGTGAAAAGCTTGCTTTATTTGAAAGAATTCCAAAATGATAGGATAATCAAACATGAGTCCCGCATCGGAAGTAAACTTCTCAGATTCACCAGAAGACTTTGGTAACTCGTTAGTGATTGAATACTTTTTGACAAATGGGAAAACGGTAAAATCAAAAGATTCCATGATGTCAATTGCAGTACTAGCATGGAACATGAATTTGTAGACTAGTCGAAGAATCTGATTATTTCGCTCACTCTTGATGGTATCATTATAATAAAGATGCTGCTTATCAGGGTCCAAATAATCAAGCACTTCACTGCTCGTAGTTTTCATTTGATCAATGAGAGCCTTCAAAGTGCCAAACGTATCATTATCAAGAATCAATTTTGAATGTGATTTGTTCTTCAAATCATCGCCACTTGCATTAAGAACAGGGTTATTGGAAGATAAGAAAAGATTACACCAGTTTCCACCATTGAATTCATCGCTTAAAAACCTTGGATAGAGCTCAGGTAAAATATTGTACCTATCTTCGCCAACCTCAGTATCTGAAGCGTCAGAGCCATCAGATCCTGTATAGTCAGACATCTTAACCCTCTTAGTTCTAGTAATTTTCAAGAATAATTTTGTTAAGGAACTAATACTCTCTTTCAAGGAATGAATTTCATACTCTATCCTGTCATGGTATTCTGCATATTCATTCTTATCTTCAACTAAATGCGATTTTGCTAGATTTTCAGCCAAGAAGTCTTTATCTGTTATCGTTGCCATTGAGTCAACAGATTGGCTTTTATGATAATCAATTGCTGACGCCTTGTTTAGCATAGTTATATCATTCCCAAATAATTCAACCCCAGAAGTCTGTTGAGGATAAAACATTATGCTTAAATGTAAAAACCCAGTGATATAAAGCTGCGAAAAAGATGATGCTATTCGTCTCAATTTCCGTCTCACCGAACTTTCATATTTTGAGCCAACAAAATCATTGTGAATTAATCTAGTTGCGCTAAATATATAATTGACGATTTCAGTCAATTTGAAAACGTAGGTGGCAAACAACTGTCTGTTGTTTTCTTTTAATGCAATATGAGTTAAATCCAATAAATATGTAAATTCATCTCTCATTTCGGTCCAGTGAGCGAAGTCAGATGTTTGTGAGTAGAATAATCCTTCCATCGAGAAGAACGGTTCTGCAAAGTGATGATAGGACGCCCCAAGAGATTGTGAATTATTTGAGGAATTAGATTCCCTCTTCAATGGGTCAAATGAAGAGCCTGAATCAGATCTATGGCCCAAAATGTTACTCGTATCATTCAACCCACGAGAAACCAACTTGTTACTGCTCAAAGTCTCTTTCTTTGGTACCTCGATAACAGGGAAATCTTCAGCAATCTTATAAGTCGTTAATGGAATCGTGTCGCAGTAAACCCTCAATTGATCACTATAAAATGCAATGTTGCCATCAGTTGTATACCTTGGCACCCACGAAGGAGTTTTTCCATTTTCTCGTTTGTAATCCTCTACTAAATTTTCAACATCATCAATATCCATAAAATCAGGACCCGAAGGCGAACCGCCATCTATTGAGGAACTATGAGGCTCATCGTGTGTTAATTGTACGTCAATTTCAGCTTGCTCAGGATCATGTGGTATCTGAGACAACTTCAGAGTAAGGGATTGCGGTTGATATGAGGACTGTGATACTCTTGAGTCTGAAGGAAGACTAGTCTCTGAACTAGCAAAACTGACTACCGAATTCTTTCGGGTGCTATCAGAATGTCCATTTTTATTATCTGCTAGACTCTTTTGCAACAAATTTGTAAAAGAGGGAATCAAGACATTGGCAGCTGTGTTAGCTGCAGTTATCGAATCTATCTCCTTGTCGTTCTTTAATTTTTTCATAACTGGCTGTACATAGTTCACAGATCTAACGTAAGTGTTCGGGAACCAGCCTCTGACTATTTCCCCATTTAAGTTCCTCACGATGCCATCTAACCAACCAGTATCTGATTTAGATAGCACATTTATAGTGTCTCCTAACTTCAAAGACAAGTGTGATGCTTGTGTCCCTGGGAAGTCATATAATGCAATTACCGTGTCCAAGTGTTTCACTTCGTTACCCAGAAGGCTCTTATTGTCATAATTAGAAGAAGTATCATCAGGAGCGACTTCATCAATATATGACGACATTATAAGTCACTACTTCCTTAGTAGCCTCTAACACGTCTGTTACTATGTACCTTGATAATTTATAAAAGGCCAAAAATAGCACTTCTGATTTCCTGAGTTTATCGTTGTCATCTAGATTATGTGAGCATTTTATTACCTTATTCCGGACTTAAAGTAAAATTGTAACCTGTAAATAAATAAATGAGATGTTACATGTTTCGTTTATTTAATAACTCACAATAATTCCGACTAACTGCTAGTTTATGTAGAGTAATATTGGACAGTCTTAGTTAGGGCAACAATAGAGCTTACTCGAACTCTTTCTTTTCGAATACCTGGCTTATGTTTTTCTTTACTGACGATTTAGTTATAGTTGTAATTGGCCTGTATATTAAATAATAGGATTGTAAGTATGTAGGACGATCATTATCTACATATGCTAATAAAATTATAGTTTACAACCAAGTTGAATATTCTCATTCGATAATTTCATAGCTCAATTGGCCATTCTATATTTTTTTCGGTGGTAATAATTCGGCCAAGGAGCGTTTGATTGATTTGCTACTCTCTATACTCAAGTATGTCGATATTCTTCAAAGCTCCACTAGACATCGAGATAAAGCTAGAGAATGAAGATAGTAGGAAACACATAGAATTGAAAACCCCACAAGGTCGAATCGAAAAGCTCCCCATCTACAAAGATGGTGAGTCCGTCAAGGGAAGTGTTACAGTGAGGACGAAAGAAGGTAGGAAAGTAGATCACATGGGTGTTAAAGTGCAGTTATTAGGAGTCATTGATATAAATACAGACGGCTCGGTAAGTGACGAATTTTTATCTATGGCTACTGAATTGGCTGCACCATCGCAATTAACACATCCAGAAACTTATCCTTTTGAATTTAAAAATGTCGAAAAGCAGTATGAAAGTTATAGAGGCAAAAACGTAAGGTTGAGATATTATATTAGAGTAATTGTATCAAGAAAATCTGCATCTGAGATCTTAAGAGAGAAGGAGCTATGGGTTTACCAATTAGCATCTCCACCAATTTCGAACAAAGACGCACCAACGGTGAAAATGGACGTAGGGATTGCTGACTGTCTACATATTGAATTTGAATACCTGAAGTCTAGATTCTCATTAAAGGATGTCATTGTCGGTAGGATCTATTTTTTGTTGGTCAGATTAAAAATAAAACATATGGAGTTATCATTGGTTAGGAGGGAAACAGTAGGTGCACCCCCGAACCAGATAACTGATAGTGAGACAGTTGTAAGATTCGAGATAATGGATGGTGCTCCTGTCAAAGGGGAGACGATACCGATTAGATTATTTTTAGGAGGATATAACCTTACTCCAACTTACAAGGACGTCAACAAAAAATTTTCCACCAGGACTTATTTATCTCTAGTGTTGATTGACGAAGATGCAAGAAGGTACTTCAAACAGAGTGAGGTAATTCTATACAGAGATTCGTAAACTATCAGTTACGTTCTTGATACCTATCAATCTCCAATATTTTACTCTCTGCTAGCACTAAGATTTCAGATCTTGACTGTATGCAGTAAATACATTTAAGTAATACATGACATTTAAAACTAGATATACCTTTTGAAATAGACAGACGGTAGAAAAAGATATCTTAGACATATTTATTACTCAAGGGAAAGAGAAGATAGAAATATTGTGACTTCAACACTTGGTAGGGTGAAATATCGGGTGAAATGAGAGATAAGCACAATGCGCCACTTTTTTGGTCTCCAATATTGAGCGATTCGACTTTTAATGATTCAGCACTTATACCACCTTCAACATCGTTCAAAACAGGATCATCGGGACAGTCAAAAAACAGCAATCAAACTGTTTCTGCATCTGCAGCAGGTATGCGTGCTATAGTGTATCAGCTACAAGCATTATATTTACGTACCCCAGTAAAATTATTTCGACCGTCTAGATTTGACTACTTGGCTTACGTACGAGAATTAGCAGACAAACACGATAATATTAAATTGAAGCCTTACAAATTTCGTACTCATTCTTCGGTTGGCATGCTTATCAGCGTTTTGAGGAAAGAAGGATGGCGATTTATACCTGATCAGGTTTTGCCCCCATTAATAGCAAATTCTGCTACTGGTTTAATTTTATATGCAACATACTTAAGTGCTCTAGATAAAGTTGGCTTCAATTCTTACCTTAATGTTTGGAAAGCGGGCCTTATCGCAGGTGCTGCTCAGTCCTTAGCAGCTGCACCTGTTGATGCAATATACACTCGACTGTCTGCTGCTGAAATGTTGAATGGGAATCATCAAAATTTGTGGGTATATGGCTTGAAAAAGTTGAAGGAAATTGGCTTGGTTGGAGTATTTGCAGGGTACGGATTTTCATTGATTAAAGAAAGCTTAGGTTTTGCGTTTTATTTTTCTACTTTTGAATTGGTGAAGACGAAAGGTTATAACTTAACTTACAAAATGATCAGATCTTATCGACTGATCAAGAGTTCCTTTCGAAAGAAACTTGCATTTATTATGAATAAACCACCACTGATCGATGAGAAACTGATGAAATTAGCGGAGACGAAACTGACTAAGATCTTGAAATCATCCTTTATTTTATTGGCAGGTGCTTCTGCAGCACTAACACTAATTACCGTACAATACCCGCTAAGCAAAGTGCAAAAGGTTCATCTCTCTAGGTTGGAAGCTTTAGATGTGTACAATGCATATCATGAGACATCTCGACCCTTTGTTAAGCTTTATTATAATTCTTATATCGACACATATCACCATATTATGAAGATGAAGGCAAAGTCCAAACTTCCTTGGTTTCAATTTGCGTACAAGGGGTTCGTTAGAAATGCTTTGACAACAATTCCGGCGACTTCTATTGGGTTATTAGTGTTTGAAATCATGCGGACAAAGTTAGCAGACTCTATGGACGAGGAATACTTGAAATAATAGACTTATAAACTACTCTTGTATATACCTTTTATTTATTTACAATACACATGTAGACTAGTGAATTTTGTTAGACTCTATTTTCTTCAAATACGCTGCCCATCCAGCATCTCTATATCTCTTCCCTTCGACCTCTGGGTCCCTACCTTTCCCAAAAAGTCCTCTTCCTACAATTATTATATCAGTTCCCGTCGAAATCACTTCATCTACCGTTCTATATTGTTGGCCAAGGTTATCACCCTTGTCATCTAACCCAACACCTGGAGTCATTATAATCCAATCAAATCCTGGAGCGGTCACTTCTCTTTGAGCAATAAAGCCTATGACAAACTCGTTATCAGTTTTCGCAATTTCAATTGTCTGATCAGTGTATTCGCCATAAGCTAGTGATCCCTTCGAAGAGAGTTCTGCCAACATGAGAAGTCCCCTTGGTTTATCAGTGCAATCTTTTGCAGCCTCCTTCAATCCACCAACTATTCCCGCTCCCGTGACCCCATGTGCATTTGTAATATCTGCCCAATTTGCAATCTTAAAGATCCCTCCAGCATATTGTGCTTTTACGGTATTTCCAATATCTGCAAATTTTCGATCCTCAAATATTAAAAAATTATGCTTTTCAGATAGCTTCAATAAAGGTATAATGGTACCATCATACGTAAAATCGTCAATGATATCAATATGAGTCTTCAAAAGGCATATATAAGGGCCTAACTTCTCAACCAAGGCAAGAAGTTCTTCCGTTGTTCTCACATCTACAGAAGCGCACAAGTTGGACTTTTTATCCTCTATCACCTTAAAAAGGCGCCTGGCAACATGAGAGTTATGTGATTCAGATCTCTGTTCATAAGTTTGAATTCCACCCATTTTTTTATATATGTTCATTAAAGTCACTAGTAGTGAAATTTAGACGATGCCATGCAAAAGTAGCTATAGAGTGAAAAATTACTTAACTATCTTATATACACAACGTAACTTGAGTCTATATCTTTATAATTTAGTCGCGTGGGAATATGCCGTACCTTAGGCCGCATCATCACCCTGCACTTCTCCCAAAGAATCATCTGGTGCCTCAAATTTAGTATCTGAAATCTTAGGCATTTCGTTTTCGACAGTTACAATCAATTCTGATTTCAACGTAGGATAAAGTAAGTCAATTTTACTCCAAGTAGAATCCCACAAATCCGTGTTCTCTTTGAGGATATCTCCGTTCTGTAGCACCAAGATCATGTTCTTCAAAATTTCAGAGCCTGACTCTTTTAGCTTGCCATTATACTTTTCACTAAGATCATTGAATGTAATAAAATAATTCAAAATTTCTAGCCAAACATCATCTATTTCCCCTTCTTTAAAAAAAGCACTAAATTTCAAAAACACCTTGCTAATGAGCGATAGAGCGGCAATATGTGTCTCCATGAAGCCTTCAGTATCGCTTTCAAGAACTTCATTCTTGGAGAGCTCAGTGAGCAAAGGAAACAAAACGTATTCAAATGTCCCTTGTGGAGTTAATTCATCATTCAGCTCAAGTGATAATGCAGTTACTTGTAACATACTCAAAGCGTAAGATCGAACTGCTCTGCATGGGTTAAAACATTGATGTGCTAATGCTTGCATTAAGGAATAAAAAAAATCTTTACCGTAAAAGTCAGATTTTCTTGATAAAGGTGCCAAATCTGCCGTCAACGTTATCGACGATTTTGATATTTTGACTAAGCTGACATAAAATGACATTTTAGCGTCGTCCTTATCATCTTTAGCATCATCTTTAGTATTATTTTGAGAATCATCTTTAGCTTCACTTTTCGATTCGCTTTTCGTGTCACTTTCTTGTTCCCACTGTGATGCCATTGCCCCTAAAGACGAAATTTCATCTAATAAACCCAATATCAGCATATAGTTATTAATATTTACTTCATTGCTTGATTGCTTTATAAGACTTTCAACGAATAATAAAACTTCAGAAGCATGAAGTTGTAAGGAGCCGAAAATGCGTAACACCTTCCAATAGTTCTCATCGTTTAAAAGTTTTTTAGAACACCAAGAATCATCATCAACTAAAGATATGAAAGGTTGAACTAACTGGCTACCATTCTTTGTCAATGTATCTTTGTCTAGTGTAATTATCTCCGTGATTATACTGTCAACGTCAGTTTCGCATTTTCTAGCTAAAAGTAATTTATAAGTTATAACCCTGAGTTGCCCTTTCCTGGAAAGATCTTGCGTTGATAACCTACTTAAAACCAACTGTTTGGTTTCTAAGTCGTTCAACAATAAACAAAAGCATACGCAGCTTTCAAGCAAGAAAAGAGTCTCTGACTCAAAATACCTCTTTTTATCTTCAGAATATTTTGGCAATGCATCCAAAAGCAATTCAACGAACTTGTTTAAATCTTTGGATCTTGATATACTAGTAAATATGCTAGCTATATTTATAGATGCAATGCAATCCATAGTGGACAAAGTCGATTCAATCTCTTGATCTGATGGCTCTGGCGGGTCATCAGAATAACCTTTGAGGAAAGATGAAAATGTCGAAAATATACCTGCATTTGTCAACTTTGATCTTGTTATAATATATCGAGGTTTGACTTTAGGAAGAGGACTGAGTTTGAGTTTCCCCTGAAAGTCGAGAAACAAATTCGGATTAACCAAGCAGTTTTCAAATAAAGATAGTATAATTCTAATCACCTTTTCCCATGCTGATGTAATCCTACACTCGGATTTCTTTATAAGTCTGAAAAGAACAACAATTGACAATTGGGCCTTAAAATCTTTACCAAACCAGACTGCAAGCTCGCTAACTGTAACAGCTTCTTCCTTCTTTTCAATCTTAATTTGAGTAATTGAAATCTTGTCACGGCTATCCTCTGTAGAATTTCTGCTCTTCAAATCCGTTAAAGAGGTTAGATCTGCTAAGAGACCAATGAGTTTGTCAAGTGACGTGCTCATGCTATGATAAATGCAAATATTCGCGCACTTATCGATTGTAGACATCAATCTTGTAATTATATGATCATCAGTTGCTTCCTTGAAGACTCGAACCAATGTTTCGATTATGTTTTCAATCACAGACTCAAATAGTACCTTATCAAACTGACATAATTGGATAGCTGTAAATGCAGTTTCATTTTGAATTGCAGAGGGAGTGGAAGATATCATGTTATGCCATGCGTCATCAAACCATTTATTGGTACCGTGATGTTCTTCCGGCATAATTATTTCTCTGTCTTTAATTGACAGGTATATTTTCGCCAAGTACCACTCAGGAAAATCCTTACCATTGTAAACACCACGCAAGTTTCGTTTATAATCATCTAAAAGCATCTGTCTTTTGACTTGAGGGTTATGCAAATCAGTATTCAACAAAATTATGGAGTATGACAAAACGAAAACTGAATCACGATCTGGTCTGACGATTTCAGGATCCGCCTTTTCAGAATCACCTTGAGTAGAGTTTTGGCAACTCACATATCTTTCGGCGAACAATTCCACTACACGTTCAATCTGCTGCGACTCTCCTGGTAGCCTAAACGTTCTTAACAATATCCTAAGTGCTTCATCAACTCTCAAGTCAGTGAAATCAAATAAAGCAATAAAAGATCTTAACAATTCTGAATTTTTTGGTTTTGCTAGAAACTCTCCCAAGACTTTCTTATTCAACCGACCAGATTTTGTAAAGAAGAATTTAGCTAACTCAGAAATATCTTCATTATTTGAGATAAAACCTTTATCAGCCAAAGCTTTAATACCTTCTTTAGGGTTCTCATTTAGTATTTTGGTACATTCTATAAAAATAGTTTTCTGGTTTCTGTTTTTAATTAAATCTGGTAGAGGAACACTGTTCAAATCTAGGTTTATTGATTTAATCCTATCGTTAACACCACTGATAAATGAAAGGATGCCTTCAAGGCAAATTGGAGGAACGTTGTCTGTGGTTATCAATGCAGATTCTGGCAAAGATAACTGACACAAGAACTGTAATGTTTTTGTAGATAAGTCTGATCTGTCAAAGTCACAATCGTAATCAATGAATAAATGAGTGAAAAAAACAGGTGATCTGGTCCATAATAATGACAACGATTCTAATAACATTTCCTTGGAGGCAGAGATTCTGGTCGTAACTAGCTCACCGCTAATCATATCATTTTGTGCTTTCTTAGATTCAGGTAGGATTGATTTAAATAATAACGTAAAAGTTAATTCTACCTGAGACTTGAGTTGCCTTCCCAAAACTATAGCTATGGTAGAAAACAATTGTAAAGAAGCTTGCAATAATGCGGGAGAATCTGTCGTCGTTATAGTTTGCAAGACATGTTTTGAGACAGGATCAGCAACCAAACTCATTAAAGATGAATGTTTCGGAATGTCAAGTCCAGAAACTTCAATCGCAGTATTGATAAGCGCGAAAGCGAAAACTCTGGTACTCTCCATATGCTGATATTGATTCGAGGGTGATATCATGGAAATAAGAATACCCAAATAGTCATTAATGCAAATTATACCAAATGGCTCCTCCGCTTTCTCGTTTGTATTTACATTCTCATCATTGCTTATTTGTGTTGACACATCCTCTTCACTGTTTCTTCCTGGAGTTGGTACAACTGATGGGTGACTCTCAGTTCCACCAATGACATCTTCCGGTAATTGAGTGTCTTGGAAATTCACCCGCAAGTCTTCAATTGGTTCGGGTTCGATAGACCTTAACTGGCTAAAAAGACGGACTGTAATAGAAGACATTGCCATTTCTGCAGCTCTTCTTAATACCTCACTTCTTCTTTTATTACAAGCTAACGGTAAGAGGCACGTCAGAATAACCTCAAATATTACTTCATTGGGAAGGAAGTTCGATAATGGACTAGTTATAATGGACTCTAGCAACCTCAAGACTTTCAACAAAACTGAATCATCAGAGTCCTGGTCAGCAGCTTCGAATCTGCAGTGTGTCAAAGATGAAATGATTTGCACTAATGTACTTTGGATATTTTTTGATCTCAACGAAATAATGTCATAATCCAAAAACTTGGAGATTGCATTTAATGAAAGAGCAGTAATGTGACCTGATATCGAGGAGGATTTGACAACTAATAAAAATGGCTGTAACAAGGTGAGGCTGTCCAACTCATACAAATCTTGTGCCTCGGTTAAAATGGTTCTCAATTGTAAAAAACTCGAAAGTAATGGATTATCGTTATCAGGCCTACTGTTATTCGAAAGGTTTGAAGCCAAGTTATTAATGGGATCATCTTCTCCAAAAAAGTCACCGGCGCCTAATATTGCTGCCACGCCACTCTGCGACCATCTTGTCATTTTGCGCATGGCTGATGATATAGTCATACATTCATTTATCATTAATGTAATTGGGTCAATTGCAACCCTTGGCTCGTTCTTTGGTGATAGTGTTCTATTTGAAAGCGATGCTCTCTCTATAGAGTAAACTGGCACATGATACGCCATTCTCTTGAATTAGTGAACTCGTGTTTGATCTGGTATCAGGATTAATCAATAGGAATATATATGCCTCTCTAGGTCACTAATCAAACCAGTCAATTATTGATCTACCTAATTTTTATTTCAACTTGTAATACAGTCAGCCAACAACGCACAATAATTTAAATTTAGACTAAGCCGATAATGGGCCCTTGTCGTATTTTAAGTCAAGACTCTGTCAACATATAAAATGTTTCTTTACGTGTTGGTACTCACACGACGCTTTTTTGTTACTTAGCGTGTTTCATTGTGGTTCCGTATATACAAATATTAAATGGAATATTTACACGAAGAGAGGAGGATCTCTTCTTTCAAATCCTTCTGAAGTGATAGTTCTTGTAAGATGTCCAAGCTAGCCTCCATTCTTTTTGTTGTAGCTTAGGATGCATAACATCGAAATCATACTTCTCAAGTTTCTGGAGGTATAAAGAAGTTGGTATAGACACCATGAACGGGGTGAATATTGCATCTGGAATATTTCTTCTCCAACGCCTTGCATGTCTCTGTAAGTACTGATCGTCACTGTGGAATTCAACAGTGTTTTTTATCTCGCTTTGAACCTGAGATAGCTTGCTCCTTGCAGATATAATATGATCATTTGCCGTAGTAGCTGTCTCGTACACAACGTTTTTCAATTTCTCTCTAAAATCACTAATTTCATCTTCGTTTTTACTATGACCTTGGGTGATACTTAACAAAGATTCTTGAGAAAGATCATATTTCGTCATGATGGAAATTGGTAAAGTTACTTGATTTCTTGTCGTTGAATAATACTTTATGCCTAGAATCATTGAAGCTATAGCAGTTGCTTGACCAATGTGTGCCGCAATATCGCTCACTAATGATTGCAATGACTCAGAATATTCTAAAACATTAATTGCAGATGGTGAAATTGAAGGTGATAATAGTAGGGACTGCGTCAAATAATTAAGCTGAGAGTAGGTACCCTCGCCATAAGAACATATATCATCAACTGTATTGAAATATTTGTTTTTTAGAAAATGGCTCCTAGTTTGTAGAAACTGGTGGAAGTAAGATATATCCATGTTCAAGTCATTCTTAATGGCTTCCCTAAGAAGAATTGCAATTGGCTCGCCGATGTCTTTATCAGAATATGGATCAGCAAATATTCTAGCAAGCATATCGCTCCAGAATTTAAATTTCATATCTGCTGTCGTCACCCCCATCGTAGATTTCAATTGATTTGAAGCTTGAGCAGAAACTGATCCTTTATTTTTACCTCCATCATTAATCTTATTGATTTCCAAATTAAATCCTCGTATTGCTAAGAAGGCATCCCTGGCGGGTTCAGGAACATATTGAGCCAATATATAAGATGATCTATCTTGTTGCTCTAACAAAACATTTATATTTTCTCTTGCGCTGAGGTACTTTTGGTCATGTTGAGTTACCGAGGCATACATACGTCTGCCTACCGGAGAGCATCTTGTTCTTGACGCTTGACGGCAAAACATATGTCGAATAATATATGGCTCTTGATTAAAAAAGTGTTTATCTTAGCAAGACAATTTTTTGTGTAAGTTCGTCCTAAAGCGATCTTGATTATTCATGAAGACTTTTTGCAATGAGTAACATATTTCTACAATGAAAGTTGAGATCGTCAGAAAGCGTGCTTACTTAGATATTTCTATAGGCGGACTGAAAACTGGGAGAATCGTTCTAGAACTCTACGACGATTTGGCACCTAAAGCATCGAGAAATTTTATTGACCTATGTACAAGTACTTCAACTCGTTGTTATAAAGGAACATGCTTCCACAGAGTCATTAAAAACTTTATGGTCCAATCTGGAGATTGGATGTACGGAAAGGATTTACAGAATTACCCCAATGATAAACTTGGTAGCCTATATGAATCGTTTGATGGTAGTTTGTTTGAAGGTGAAAATTTAGAAGAACCTATCAATGAACCATTTAAATTATGTATGGCTAATAATGGAGATAAAAACTGTAACGGGTCTCAATTCTTCATAAATACGTTTCCTCAGCCACATTTGAACGGAAAACACACTGTTTTTGGAAGAGTCTTACATGGTAAATCGGTAGTGCGTGAGATGGAGAGAGTTAATACAGACTCTAATAATTTTCCTGTGAGGGAAGAGATTATCTTGATTGAAGATTGTGGCGAATGGGAGGAGGGAATGGATGTTCCTATATACAATGCAAGCTATGACCAAATTGGGGGAGACATCTTCGAAGAGTACCCAGATGACGATACTCATATTGACAAAGAAAGCTCTGAATCGGTTTACAAGGCTGCAGTCAAGATAAAGGAAAGTGGAAATTTATTACTAAAAGGTGGTGATAAGATAAATGCCTACTTTAAATATCGCAAATGTCTAAGATATGTCATGGAATATATTCCTGATGAAGATCAAGAACCCGAGTGGTTTCGCTCCTATTCGGAGTTGAAGAAAAAAATCTACTTGAACTTATCATTAGTTTGTTTGCAATTAAAAAATTATAAGAAGGGAATTGATTATTCCACATTTCTACTTGAAACAGATGGCATATCTGAGCAAGAGAGTGCCAAGGCATACTTCAGAAGAGGATCATGCAATTTACAAATGAGAAAGTATGAGAATGCCATTGAAGACTTGAAGAATGCCCAAAAATTCGCCAATGGAGATCACAACATAGAAGAGAGTCTTAAAAGGGCACAAAAGTCTTTAGAGGAACGTAATCAGAAAGAAAAATCAAGATATGCTAAGTTTTTTCAATGACTTCAACGTTTATTGTATCCTATAATGTTGCCAACCAAGATAAAAGGCACAAGATAATTATATATATATATATTAATTTTCAAATGACAATATGAAATGCATCTATATTAATCCTAAACTTACCTTTCCGCAGTATTATCATGATTGCTGGAATCTATTTCATCATCCACGTACCCTTGATTGTTGTTAGTGATTGTAGTGTTTTCGTTCTCATTACTTGTATTGCCGGTATTGCTATTAAGATCATTAGTTGATGTATTTTCGTCATTACCATCGACCAAGTTTCTTAAATTCATAAAATCTAACGTATTAGAATCATTTCTATCAGTCAGATTAGTTTCAACTCCTTGACTTGTTCGCCTACTTGCGACTGCAGTTGGGAACAAAGCTTCACTACTAGCATTCAGTTGTGGTCTCCTAAGATATGTTAATAGGTGTGAAATAACGCTACCTTGTCTGTTATTTCCATTCGTTACACTAGAATCAGGTCGAGAATTATTAACGGATGTATGAACGTCATCGGCGAACAAATTATTTCTTGCAACATCTCGCAAACCATTTCCTGATCTAAGGACACGGCGCAATGCACTCGAATCGTCGTCAGTGTTACCACCTTCAGCATTTACATTGTGAAGAACCTCTGAGAAGTTTTCAGGCCTGTCCACCACCGTAAAATTTTGAAGAAAATTTGAAGACCCATTAGCATTATTGGTGTCATTAAGACCAACGATAGTTGGTCCAGGTCTCCGAATGTTATTATTACCATCTTGTTGAGTTTGTGGTTCGCTTACAGAACCCCTACATAACGGGCAAGTGCTATGATTCTTCAACCACTCAAACAAACAAGATTTTCCAAATACATGACCACAGGGCATTGCAACAGGTACGTGCTCAAAATGTCCCTTGAAATCGCATAGATATTCTTTCTCTGTGTTTGCATTTGCTGGTCGAATTTCTTCTCCTGACATTTCACCGCTATCTGCAGCGCTAGATGGATTTGTCTCTGTGCTGTTCAGTTTACCACAATTCAACTTCTGCCTTTTGCTGATACCTGATTTTACGCCTAACTCTTTGTCCACTTCACTTCTTGCCCTCGGGTATGAGTCTTCTTTCTTATCTAAAAACTTGAATTTTTCGAAACAAATTGAACAATTCTTTGAATCTTTGAGTTCATCCTCACTCTTGATTGGGAAAGAATTAAACTTATCTAATGTAATGCCTTTTTCCTTGTGTAAACCGTTTATGATTGTTGAATATGCCATCTGGGTAGCAAGCCTAATGAATTCTTGTATTACACGAGGATCTCTATTCGAGGGATTATTTGGAAGCGTCATGATCAACGAACCAGACCTATTTGGTACTTGTGGATTGTTCTCATCAGAAAACACATAGTTCACCGTAATGATAATAGCCCCACTGCTATTAGTGTTAGCTCCAGGTGTATTTGCAGTTGTCGAGGTAGTGGTAGAAGTAGCCGTCGCAGTTGTAGGCATTGCTCCTTCCACATTACTAAGCACGCTCGCTTCGGTAGGAAGTCCGACAGTAATAGATGGTTCAGCTTCTGTTGTACTTCTCGTGTTGTTTAAATCTCCTGGTCCCACCTCGGGAATTTCCACTCGGGAAGATGATTCGCCAGTGCCTCTATTTCGATTCACTCCTAGAACATTGTCCATGAATCTTTCAAAAATGCCTATTTCCTGTCTGTTTGAGGTCCCGTCGGGAGCTATGTCACCTTCTTGGTGATTCTGTTCTTCATTACGCTCCAGTAGAGGTCTGTCGTCTCTCCTATTTCGCTGGTCGCCGTCATTCGAGCTACTCATGTTTGTTGTATCTGTTATTTAATTCCTAGCTTATTAATTAGATTTTAATTAGAAGTTCCCATAATATGTCACTTGATCTGGCGCTTCTATTCGTACCTAGCAAAACCTTATAAATTTTGATAAAAGGTCACGCTACTATACTTAAACAACTTTTAGTTCTAGAAAAGTCTTTTGTTACTAAATCTAATTCAAAGCGATTAATTAAGATTTAGCAATTTTGTGAGATCCTTTTTTTTTGCGAATCACCCTGTTAGTATCGCTAAGAGAATTCAGAATACGATACAATATCTTCTTTTTGGTACAATTAACTAAATACAGATATGCTTTATTACTCTGTACAAGAACAAGAACTAGTTAAAAATATTACTTGAGTACACGTAATTTACCTAAACGGGTCCAAGCGAATGGATAATGTAGAAACAGTGAAGTTTTGTCACCGAGTAACATTTATAATATGATTGAAGCAGCAAAACCGCCTGCAAGAATTACAAGGTATAATGAATAGGAATTGATACTTGCTGGATTTCTGTTAGATCCACCGCTTCCACTACTGCCACTGCTAGTGGGACGTGAGCCCAGTCCTGAAATTGTACCGACACCAATGTTAGCGCCAGATACAGTAAGTTCACCTGTGGAGTAACTGACCGTTTGGGTTGCACGGCCCTCGCTATAGCTTGAAGCGATACCGCTTGTTGATGAGTAGTCTTGTGCACTCGAAGCACTAGGAATGGAACTCGAAATGATCTCAATATCTTCGTCACTACTATATTTGATCTGTGCCAAGGAGATTTGGTGATCTTCTAAGTCGAAAACCACGTAGGCACTCCTTAAAAAGTTATCACCTAATAATATATAGCTGCTACTGGACTGGCCGATGAATCCTAAAAAGCATGTTGAGCCACTTTTGAGTAACATGTTAGAGTATGGAACTTCTATTTTCTTTCCGCTGAAGTTAAAGACGAAGCTGTATGAATCATCATTTGTGCAATCCACTATGTAGGTACCTATCAGACTTGACCAGCTTCCGCCTAACATTTCACCAAGCTTGTCCAAAAGGTTGAGTGGAAGATAACTCAACGTTGATCCACTGTCTAAAAGAGTAGAGTACTTGTTGCTTGTCACAGTTACTTGAGAACCATCGTCGTCAAATGCAAGCGAGTCAAGTGCAATTTCCAATCTGAGGGGATCACTACTAACACTTGCATACCTATTAATTATTGGAACGGTGGTTAAAGTGCCACTATATTTCGCATGATCGACCGCCCCAAACAAAATTGTACCAGTAGTAGCATCCAGTTCTCCTAAGTACAATGAATAGGCAGCTTTATTGATAGTGCCTTGTGCTTTTAATTTCAACGGTAAATTCTCATACTGGTACATGTCTGAAGAAGAGGCAGCATTAGCATATGTAACTTCTAAGCCTGGTAATCCAATTCCAAGGACCCCCACATTGGAGGTAGTCTCGTTTGCAATAGCAAACGACAAGGATTTCACAGTCGCATTCCCTATTTTAACATCATCTCTACCCCAAGTTCCAATAGCATTAGAGTTATCAGCATATTGAATTTCAAAAGCTGGGGCTGAACTGTTTCTTCTAAAAGTGTCAGAATTACCAGTATTGAATGATCCATACTGAGTACATGTTCTTGCAGTTGATCCAGTAAATGCAGTTGTCTCCCACAGACCATCGCCACCAGCGCCAGTAGTAAACCCTGGGTAGTCACTTCCTCCAAAACTGTAAGTGATAGTTGTATAGAATTCAGAATCTGCAAGTTTTGTGACATTTGATTTCAAAGTAGGAGTTGATGCAGCTTTTTTCTCTTTTTTTCCTTCAACCACTAAATCTTTCTCCATTTGCTCTTCTGTCACGTCAAAAAGTACATCATTACCCAGACTACTACTACTGCTCGACAGTTCGCACTTCAAGTCATGAGACATCACCCACAAGTCCGACGAGCCAGTATCCAAGAGAACAGAAACATTATCTTTATTGGATCCAATCAAGAGATCTGCCATGTAAAATGTCCTCATGTTTCTAAGCTCAACTGAAACAGACCCATCTTCGTCTCTCTTGTGTATCACCATTTGATCATCTTGTGACATACTTCCCTTATCATTTCCTCTGTGTACATTAAAACCAATCTTGAACACTCCAGAACCCTCGTTCTCTCCTTTGCAAACTAGCAACAAGGTGAGAAGGAATATGAAACAAGAGAAACTCTTCCTCATTTTTATCAATGCCAATTTAGACTTTCTGATTCTTACCTTTCTGATGGTAAGTCTTGATGCTTGTTTTCGAGGAATCTATGAGCCAATGGCGACTTTTTTCTTTTGGTGCAGAAGTCTATACTATATTTAAAACGGATTTGAAGTTACTTCTCTTGGCTATATTTCTTCCCACTTTTCGATCAGGCTTTTCAAACTTTGCACTGCCAGGTTTTAAGCAATTTATTGTGAACTGCATTTTAGGTTTCTCGGTAATCGGGCCACTTTTGACATAAAGACACACTCGGGGCCAAGAAACCAAGACAAGCTTGAGAGATGTATATTGTTGAGCGCTCCGAAAGCAAGTGAGTGAGGGTAGATGATTCTACTTGTCTGCAGCTTGCAGCTTGTCTAGATCACGAGAGATGAGAGCTGTATTGCTTAATACATTGAACCATCGGAGTAACAGAAAAGAACCGAACTTTTTCTCAGTAATTAATTGCCACGCTGCTGTACAATAACGTAGGTGGTCACAGTGGTCGTGACATTAACAACTGTATCAGGATCCCTAAAGCCCGGAAATGGTAATAAAACGTTACTATGTACCTACATGTATAATCTTAATAGCTTCATAAGAGCATAAGTTGACCTATAATTACAAAATACGACAGTGAGTTACAGAAGGAATAAAGTTTATAGAATATAAGCTAAAGTTGCAAGTTGGGCTCCACTATATCAGAAACGTAATCCGAGATCAAGGATTTTGAAAAACGAAATCCTGAGAGTGAATTTTCATTGGCCACTACCATACACATGTTAAAGTTTTTTGTGCTTGTGATAGGTATGCCATTGGGCAGCTTCCATGTCTTAACAAAAGTTAATAATTCGCATACTTTTTCAATGTATAGCGCCATGCTATCCTGAGAGCCGAACCAGTTGTTAACGAAGAAGCTCAATAAAGGAGATGGTAGCTTGCTTCGAATATATTCAGTTAGATCAATAGGCAGTGAAAAGTTACACTTTGGTGAGTGTAACAAATGAGTCAACTCAGTGATCAAATCGATTGACATATGGTAAAATGGCACATCTTCATACAAATCTGAATGCATTGGGTCATGGACAAAGCATTCAAAGGTCGAATCAAAACGATGTAAAATTAGCTTGAAAATGTAGTTTAGGTCAATCACACCTTTGTGGTCGTCGTATATACATTTCAAACACATTCCAAAAATTCCTTGACGAACCATACATTCATAAAATATTTCAAGAGCATGAATCCCCCGTTGTTCGACGAACAATTGCAAGAATGTCTTTGAAGAATCGGAGCTTTCAACGGCTCCTTTTAAACCACTGAAGTGGTTAAACATGCATATAACCGTAAACAAATGTGACAAAAATATAATCGACGGGAAGTATCCTGATTCAAGCTTCATGAGCGTAATATTTTTGCATTGGTCGGAAAGTACCTTCTGATTCTTTTGTAACAAGAGAAAATCATCAGCATATTTAAATTTGGGGCGAGATATCCTCTCGGAGAAATCTTTCAATGCCACCTCTAATAGATCGCCAATTTCAATGATCAATGTTAAATAAGAGTGAATAATACTAATAGCAGAAGAAGCAAATGGTACTCTATTGAAGTGCAAGGAACAAACTTGAAGCTGAAATTCGAAGAAAGGTTCCATGAATATTTGGCTCTTATCATTGACAATCTTTAATACCTCTTTATTTGGTGAAAGAAGATATTCCATTTGGTTAAGTCCTTTGGCTCGAAAAAAAGGCGTAGCCATTTCTTTGACTTTTAGTTGCAAAACATTGTGAGCTAGCTTTTTCGAAGAAAGATTTAACGCAAATATGTTTGATCTTCTTTCAACAAAAGGAAATCCTTCTTTGCTATTGATCAAGTTATGTAGCAAATTGTTGTATTCGTAATAACTATAATGAATCTTTGAGGAAAATTTATAATACAAATCTATCAAAAAATAGAAATTCATCAAATATAATAAATCTGTTACGCCGTTGAGTGACTCTATTTTCGAACGTAACATTGTCGCAACATCTATTAAATTCTCCATTATTTCAAGTTTGGTCGGCCATTTTGAACTAGTAATCCATTTTAAATTTTCGAAATTTCCAAAAAGCACTGCGTTTGCTAAAATCAAGAAGCATAAGCTCAAGCCTCTCATTTCATTAACGCTCAAGAAAACCGAGTGATGACCATTGTTTGCAGCCATTAGTTGATAAAAGTTCTTACAATCGTTATAGATCTCATCTAAGTTCACAAATTGATTAGTATAAAACCCAAAGGATTGTTTTGAAGAATAAAGTAAATTCTTAGTCACTTCAATACTGACGTGATCTAATGTCCGCATCTGAACTAATTCGAAAGAAGTCAACTCAACTACATTTTCACTGTCACTTAAGTTGGTAACATCCGATTTTTGTGAACCTTGAACCTTAGAGGGTAATGTTATTAGGGCGGAATCTCTAACTTGCAGTTGAAGTTGCAACTGTGTATCATCGGTTGATTTTTCCACGTTTTCTGATTTTCTACGTTGAACTCGTAGTTGTCTCTGTTTTATTTTTTCAATTCGTCGCCCGAAGGCGGATGGGGAGGTTCCTGAAAACAACTTTCCCCTCTGTTCGCCTTTTTGCAAGAAGAACATGGTAGCTCCAAGTCGCATTTGATCTTGTATCTCTTACAGGCACCGCAGCTATATGATCTCCTTTGTCTCTTCGCTTTCTGAGCAATACTCATGAAGTGATATATGATCCACTAGTAGTTTTCAGCTATGTGTGATCGGTGCTAGAAACTGGTCCGTTACGTCATTTCTTTTAAAAACAACTTATTATAACTACCCGAGCAATTTTCTCGAATTTACTGTTCACTAAGAGATATTATGTATAATAATCTTTCTTAAATAAATATAAGACTACTCTTTTGACGTTAATTGTTGACTTTTAACCTTGAGCTACCTAGTATGTTGCTTTGTATGTATCTCATGTGACCTCATTGATATGTTACACAATTGCAAATGTCGTGTCTTGGTTGATTTACCTTGTCCAATTGTAAGATACCAATTTTTCATTTGTTATATCTATGCTAAAATATTCAGGAAGATCTCAAATCCATCGAGATAGCAGTACAGACACCAAACAATGTTGAATAGGTCATTTGCGAGAGCAGGTTCGAAAGGATTGGCCATTCCCAGAGGCTCGCTTTGCAAACCGTTGTTTGGCTTGGGAATGATCAGAAAGTTTTCGAAGTCCACCAGACTTTCAAATCAAGAAGAATTACCAGACTTAAATGAATTGCCTAGAAAGTTTTCTAAAGAGATCCACAGACCTTTGGAGAACCCCGCTGATAAATATAAGGAGAAGTCTGAAGAGCTACACAAGTTTGGCAAATATATTATGGGTTGTTTACCCAAATTTATTCAGCAGTTTTCAGTTTGGAAAGACGAATTAACCATTTATGTTGCTCCTTCAGCCTTGAGACCAACAATTCTTTTCTTGAAGAATCATACATCTTCTCAATTTAAGGCATGTATGGATGTAACGGCTGCAGATTATCCTTCTAGAACTAACAGATTCGATGTTGTCTATAATTTATTGTCTGTGAGATACAACTCAAGAATTAGAGTTAAGACATATGCAAGTGAAGTAAGTTCAGTTCCTTCACTTGTACCACTCTTTGAAGGCACCAATTGGTTTGAAAGAGAGGTTTATGACTTGTTTGGGATATTTTTTGAGGGCCATCCTGATTTGAGAAGAATTATGACTGATTATGGATTTGAGGGGCATCCATTAAGAAAGGATTTCCCTACAACTGGTTACACAGAGCTTAGATATGATGAAGAAAAAAAGAGAATTGTATACGAACCGCTAGAATTGACACAAGCATGGAGGAACTTTACTGTTGGTTCTTCCGTCTGGGAACAGGTTGGCGATGGTCAAGACTTCACTCCTGAATCATTTAAATTACCTACACCTGAACCCGAACCAAAGGAAGATGAAGCCCAAAAGAAGCAATGAATTTTAAGGCTTCTTTTTTTTTTCAAAAGTTGGCATGGAAGAACAACTATAGAAGAGAAAGTAAAGAAAGGCAGCACTACATCATTTCTTGCATTATGTACCATTAAAGTCGCTACTAATAGTCGTAGTGTGAACTCAGTTTCTCATTATTCTTATTCGTTTTCTCCCCTTTATTAGATATGATACATCTAAAAATAAGTACATACTTTTAAGTACGCAAAGCTTGTACTTGATCACGTATTTTAGATAATTCTTGAGTTTTTTGATTCAAAAAATCCTCTAGCGTTGTCACTTGAGATTCAATCAATTCGATGTCACCTTTGACATTTACCAAGTCTTTGGACTTGTTTTCATCAGCACTTAAGTTTTTCAATTGACTTTCCTTGAACTTTAATAACTGCTCAAATTCATGCTTTGTTATTGAGCTTTCCATAGTATTATCTTTCTTTGTATCCCTTTGTACTTCGCGTAATAGAGATTCAAGATCATTCAATTCTCTTTTTAATCTAACCACCTCCCAGTCAGTCCCCTCAGTTGCAGAGAAGTCTGTACCTCTTTCTCTGATACTGCTTGATTGCCCAATTTTAGTTAAATAATCATTAGCGAACGATTTTTTGCCATTACTGCTAGTCTTCTGTGGCTGAAGATGAGTGACAGAATTTATGTCATAGCTTGGTTGCTCTTTCGAAAAAGTTGCACGTAACGAGGCAGGAACTCCCCGAGGTATTCTTCTACCATTTTCTCGTTGATTTAATATGTGTAAAAAAACCAATACTTGGTCCTTGTCTATTGCTTCCGATGACTTAGGATTCACTAGATTCCAAGCCGATGATACGTCGCTCTTCGGTACTTTTGATAATGTATCGTATAACTTATCAAGAGAGTCAAATTTCACTCTTCCGTATGAATCACAATTTGCGTTGTAAATAGTTTCGTATGTCAGTCTGTCCGTAGGAGTAATATACCAGTCAAAATCATCGCTAAGTGTTTCATCCTCGTCGTAGTCATCAGTCGATGTATTGAAATTATTTCCATTAGAGGTCACTGCTCTATTGGCTTGAATTAAATGAGCCTTGGAAGACGGAATCAACCAATTGGGGAGTTCCAGAGGAATAGAGGAAATTGATCCGTTGACTAAGTCAAAGATTAATCTCATCGTGATACAAAATTCCTCGAAGTCCAACTTACCGTCTGAATCAATGTCACTTAATTCCCATATCTGAGAAAGCTGATCATCTGTCAATCTGGAGTTCTTAAGGACAGGTGATACTCTATCTCCAGTTACTTTGTTATCAACGGGCTTCAATCCCTGAAAGATCTGCCAGTACTTAGAAATCTCCCAATCCTCCAATCTTGGCATCTTTTCTTCTCACGGCAAATTTGTATCTACGTATTGTTGAATATTTACTAGAAAGTATGTAGTTGGTGTTTAAGGATATGTCGAGTCTGGTCGGTCAATCTCGCCCAATATAGTACAAAACCCAGAATTGCAAAATTATGAACAACCACAGGAAATAGCTATTTAATATAAGCCAACTACTCCTTATTTGACCAAGAAGTGAAGCAGGGTTTCTATGATACACACTGCCTAGTATTTCCTACCTTTTTCCTTTTTCTTCCACTTACTTTGATCTTTCTCATAATTTTCGACCTTAACAGCAGCTCATCAATAATGACGATAAAACGAGCTCGTACCGATCAATTTATAATTATCAAAAACTTTTTTTTTCACCGTAGGCTTGGACAGACCGAGTGTAAAGGCTACATATTTACAATAGTTGAAGATATATTTTATTGTGTTTATCGCTGCTTAGTTGTGCTACGAAAAGAAAATTTCACAAGAGGGCGGTTGGTGTAGTGGTTAACATTTCTGCCTTCCAAGCAGGAGACATGGGTTCGATTCCCGTACCGCTCAAAAAGTTTTTTTTTTTATGGGTTGCATGCGCGCCCTCAGTTTTCTTAGGCATCTTTCTGCAGCATTTCCCAAACTGTATACTTCATAACCAATTCGAGCGTAGTGAGTTATTCAAGAAATAGATCACATCAACTTTAACTTTCAAGAGAAGGCAGAAAAGAATTGTATTTCGGATAAATGAGCTTATTATCATCTTACTGTGACAGTGGCATTTTGAGAGTGGATACCAATAATTCATCCTTATGTCTCTTAATCGCGCTCTTTATTCTCTAATAACGAATTTTTTTCGGAGAATTGCTGGCTATTTTCCAATTACAAAAAGATACTGCATTATGTAGAGCCAGACCATCACTTTTCAAGCCAGAAAACCTTTGCCGGTCATCGTACTCTACTTCTGCTACATGAAATACTGTTCGGCAATAGTTAATGATCACACTTGAGTCGTCTCTGTTTCTCTACCAAAAGGGTAATATGTGTATTTATCTTTCTAATGATAGTTTATGTACAGTAGCGTTGCGGCCTGTATAATTGAAAGGTTGCTGCCTATGTGCCGGACATACTAAATGAATGATGAAGGGGCCCATTTCAGGATAAATTTCATAGTTTCCCATGCCCGGTGTGAGCTCAAGCAATTTTAGAGGTTTTCAATTAAAGTGAACAAACGGATTGTACTGACTCTTTTTTCAGGCTATTGATTAAAACAAAACTAGTTGTTCGTTTCACTAGGTAATACTTGTCAGAGCCATGTCAAACTCAATCTACCAGACAAACGGCAAGCCGTTGTCTCAGCAGGCACTTTACCAACAAAAACTTAAGCAAGGAATTTTTGGTGGCCCAGGTGCCCCATCTATTGGAGTGAATACCAATGCCTCGGATACTGCTGCTCTCTTAGCTGCTTCGGCTGATTTGACAGTGAAGCCTTCCTATGAACGGACCATTGCCCTGGAGGCTCAAACGGCAGCATTAGCTGCTAGAAAGGAGGAAATACGTATATGGACGAGAGACCAAGTTTCACCGTATGCTGATGCTGCAGCCTCGAGCTCATTGAGCAACTCTAAAGCTACTACAACCCTGAAACCTGTCTCTTCATCATCGACGCTCAATATCGAAAAGATTAATCAAGTTGCTAATGCAAATTCCACTAAATCTCTAAACTCTAGATTCAATCCAGAATTGGATTACAGATCTGGCCTTAAGAGACAGAAGCCAGCCGAATTTTTAACTGAGAAGGAGGAACATTTAGCTGAAGAAGGTGCTTTAGCATCTTTAAAACATGGTGCTGGTTACTCTAATCAAGTTTCGTCACAGAGAAGGAGCCAGTCATTTCAAGCCTCAGATATTGTGAATGCGAAGCTTTTAGCCGCTGCAAATAGCAAAGCTAATGAAGCGTTGAAATCCTTTGAGGTCTCTCCTGATGATTTTAAAGCAAAAGCTCAGGTTTACGCTCATGCGTTAGCGGTTGCTCAGAAGAACAGCGAAGAGCGGATAAAAAACAATAAGATAGGCATTATTAATTTGGGAGGTGGCCTAACAATGACCCAATCTGAATTGGATAAAATGGCTACTTTGATCGTACAGCCTGTTTTGAAAGATCTTTCAACAAAAGCTGAAGGACAAAGAGAGTATGAGAAGACGTTCAAGCAGAAATTTGAGGAATTAACTGAGAGATACAATAAATCAAAAGAAGTCGAAGTGCAAAAGAAAAGTCAAGAAAGAGCAGATATTGAACTCGCAAAAATGAGCAGGACCAAAGCTAACGATGACAGGAAGAAAGATCTCGATAAAGAATACTTAGAATTTCAGGATAATAGAAACAATGAAGTTGAGCAGAAGACCGCAGAGTTGAAGGACTTAGAATTGAAATACGCTGAAGAGAAGGAAGAACTTTTAACTGAAAAGCAAGCTGCGCAAAATCGAATTGAAGAAGAGGAAGCCAAACTTATAGATGAACGCAAAACTGAGTTAAAGGAGCTGCAATCGGAAAAGGATGAGATTTTGAGGCCGACGTTGGATAGCTTAAAGGAAGAAAGCGCAAAATTGAAAGAACTAACAGACGCAAGAGACGCACTTCAGAGTGAAGTAACGAAAGGAGAAGATCTCAACAAAGAGTATGAGGCTAACTTGAAAGAGCTCACTGAAAATTTGGAATCGACTAAAGCAGAAATTGAGAAATACACTGCTGACTTAGAGGCTGCGGATAAAGAATACGAGGAAACATCAACTCAGGTTGACGACTTGCATCAGCAGTCATCGGATGAATTACAGAAGGCGAACAATTCTCACAAAGATTTGGATGACAAAATAGCTTTGCTTACAAAAACTAAAGAGGAAAATTTGGCTAAAAAGAATACTCAAAAAGAAGAAATTAAAAATCAAATCGATGAGAAAGTAAAGGAGGAACATAAAATCAACGATGAATTACCTGAACACTTAAGAAAAAATATCGATGAGAAAAAATTGAGAGATACGGGCTCGTTGTTTTCCGTGGAAGAACCATCTGTAAAAGAGGTTCCATTGGTCAACAAGAAAGAAACCGAGGTTCTGAAGCCACAAGAGGATGCTTCCAACCCGAAGTCCACCGCTGCCATTAAATCTGCAACGAAGAGCCCCGCGAAGACTACACCTCTAGCTTCTCCTGATGCTAAAAAGTCGGGACATTTTAAAAGATTTACTAAGTTTTTGAGATCCCCAACAAAAGAAAAGAGTGCTGTTTCTCCGAAGAAGGAAGTGTCGAAGCCAAGCCCGGTTGCTGCTGTGAAAAAGGATACCAAAGAAGCGGTAGCGGTAACCGCTGAACCTTCTAAAGCCGCAGCAACTAAACCTGTGCCCAAAGATGGCTCGAATTCAGAAGTTAGCAATGACTTCGATGATGACATTTCTTTGGCCAAGAGCAAGAATCAAGGCGGTGTATTTAAGGAAGAAATTTAATAATTCGATACACTTATCATTTTTTTTAGAGTTGACCTCTCTGAAACACCTCTCTGTTATTACTATTCTTACCATGTTTTATTCATATTTGACAATTTACATTAATTTGTGTAATTATATTATGTAGTCCATCAATAGTATTATTAATTTCAATCTTAATTACATAGTGAAATTCGTTCTCAGAGTATTACTTAATACGATACTTTTTTGTTCGAAAAAGTGAGAAAATAAGAGCTGATACATTATTTAGAAGAGTTTTAAAAGGCTAATATGGGCGAACCAAACAGTGCATACGGAAGTGCTGATGGACTTCTTCACAAGCTAAACTTTAAAATTGCTAATGCCTCAGATCAATACAAGAGTCGTAGGAAAAGGCAAATGCTACTCTTCGTGTCGTCAGCGGCTTTGACTATTCTTGCATCAAGATTTGCCTACAGATCAACAGTTTCGAGGCAATACGTTCCGACATTATTCCAAGGAAACCATATGCCGCCCTTGAGCTATAATTTCACAACAGATGCTGCCGTCGCGGTCGGAACGGGAACACTCTTGTGTGGGTCTGTTGCCTCCATGATCACATTTGGTGTGTGTTGGATAATTGATGTTTCATCTTTTAAAGAATTTGGCTGGAGGATGCATATGTTAATGGGTGGTTACGAAAAGCAGAAGGCACTTAGTGAGATCCCAATGGACGAAGAGAGTGCTACAATTCAAGATGGCCTCAATGATATCTTAGAAGGAAGGTATGACTTTGACCTGGAACAAGACAAATGAAAATATGAAGTTGACACGCCTATCTAAAACAAAAGATTCTTCGTTAAAATAGTTAATCTACCAGTGAACGTAGTTATTGGTATTCTATTCTTACAGTCCTTTTAAAAAACTCATGAGGAAAAAGCTTCTCTTATGATAAGAGAGCCTTTTCAGTCATCTCGAAAAGCATTAAATGGTTGTTTTCTACATATCTTATAGTGCTTTTAGATTCTTACAAAACTTCCCCTGTAAATAAATAAACGTTACCTTAAATGATTAGTTTTCAGAATTCCAAATGTCCTCATTGAGATGTAAGTGGTCGTGCCTGCATATAGTATGAAACATTTAATGTGCTGGCTATCCATAAAATCTAACGCATTATTAAATGGCATAAATCCATTTCCTATAGTCTAGCTGTTACGAAAACAAACTCTAATGCTTAGATACATTGAGATATCCAGTTTTATCTAAATTTTTTTTTTCGATTGAGCTTAGACGTAGTTACAATATTTTCTTGAAACTGACACATCCAATAGTTGAGACATAATCTCATGGCACGTATATCTACAGGAGGAAGTAGGCCATTGGACTCCTTAACAATATTAAGAAGACAGCGAGAGCGAGAGGAAATCATCAGGAGAGGTAGGAGTGAACAGCGCTCCACCAATGTTTCGAGACAGTCTTCAGCAAGTATAAGGCAAAGAGAAACAGGAATATACAGAAATCAACCTGGTGATCCTCCAGTGAATCCTGCTCATCATACAACGGTAAAACGAAGATATAGGCCGGGTACAAAAGCATTAAGGGAGATTAGACAATACCAGCGATCAACCGATCTTTTATTGCGGAAACTCCCGTTTGCACGTTTAGTAAAAGAAGTTACTGAAAATTATATTGGTGTTGATTACGGTATGAGGTGGCAGTCGAACGCTGTTTTAGCCCTTCAAGAAGCATCGGAAGCATACTTGATTCATTTGCTAGAAGACACTAACTTATGTGCTATTCACGCTAAGAGGGTCACGATAATGCAAAAGGATATACAATTGGCAAGAAGGATCAGAGGTCAGTTATAACTTCAGTTGTCAAGGCTACGTGAATGGTATTCTCCGCCAGCATTGTATATAATAGGACTAGCATTTTTTTTTTTGTACTCTTTTGATAACATGTATTGTATTTTATCCCAAATAGGAAACTTAATGATTATACTACTTCTTATCTCGAATAGAGTAAGATGTCAACAATAAACCAGAGTCATGCCTACGTCGAGCTCATAGAACCTTTTCAGGTCCTGTAATATAGGGCTCTTCACAATGAATACGATCCTTGTATTTTTCACCGGGTGCATCTTACTTCCTATCGTGAAGATTGTTCCTCTACCAAAATTTTTAGTACCGTATTGTCTGTGGCTGTTCCCTATTATTATTTAGCCGAGCTTTCGCAACTGGAATAGTTAAGCAGATCGTCAAACTATTGATATAAGAAAGGAGTTGCTCTGGTAACAATAAATTTGTGTCTTAATCACTATTGCTAACTGTTTACAAAATCACCATTGCTAGCTGTTTATAAAGAGCTAGTTGATAACTGCGGGAACTCACTTACCCAAGTCAAAACTATTTTCATTATAAAAATAAAATAATATAAAATTGGGGAAGGTAAGAGTAGCCTTTTAATCTGATTTTTATTCAGTTGGTATGGCTACTACCACAATTACAGGCAAGAAGAAGCTAGTTTACAAGCAAGATTCTGATGGAGTCTTTCGATTAAAAAGGGCTGATTCCGACAATGATTCAATAAAATCGAAGAAAGGTGTTGACGATTACCTCAACGAGCTAGTAGAGTGCTCCTACAAGGTCCAACATGATGTGGAGCATAATACGGCCGAGGAAGAGCCCACCACAAGCTTCTCTAAGCCAATAGTCGATGACCAAACTCAGAGAGATAACTCGAGTCGGCCTAAGAATTCCAAAATTCCAAATCGAGAATCAAGACAAAAACATCAACAGTCGGACGACCTGAGTTTTAAAACAAAAATTCTAACACTAGGAGGAATAACGGATGCACTAAATTTCAAGACAGAACATATGCAGGGCTTCAGCTTACCTAGTTTTATATTTGGGTTTGCCTTAGCTTTTGTAGCTCAGACTTTTCAACCTTTATTGATACATTATGCTTTTATATTGATGAATATTTTAAAAGCGGGATTACTATGTGGAGCAATTATAGGAAGTATTTTATGGTATTCTGGATTCTTAAAGCCTGAAGATCTCAAAAATTTTATAAGTGAACTCAGAGAAAGAGTAAGTGGTACTATCAGTAGTGAGCAAGAACAAGATGATGTCCTGGAACAGGTTCCCAATGTACATGAGGAGATACATAATTTAGAGAGACAAAGATTTAGCAGACGTGAGCGATCTGTGTCGCCTTCGAAGGGGAAGAGAAATGTCCTAACAAGAGTAGCACCCTTTAGGCCACTGGTTGTTCGCTCGGAGCAGAAATATAAAAGTACATCTGACTTACCAGGAGATAATAGGATGCATATGGCACCGAAGCTCAGTAGAGTACAAACCGATTTTAGGAATTATACAAGACGGGGATCTTCATTCTTGTCGGATAGACGACATTCGAATAGTTCTGGTGACTCTGTAGGAAATTCTTCTAGTCTTAACCTGTTAGAATCAGTGAACAAAAAACTACCTCCAAACCCATCGGAACTCGAAGAGCTACCGTTTATTAATGAAATCAAACTTATGAATAGCGACGACATGGACACACTAGATGAATTGCCCAGATTTTCGAACGATCTTAAAAGAAACACGAGCATTATGAGTAAAAAATCAGTTCTAGGAACAAGAGCAAACTATAGTAAGTTTCTTGCTAATGCCAGCGGAGAAGATTGAACTCAAAAGAGAACTCGTCTTCAGGTATCAAATATATGTTTATAATTTTGCATTTCTAATCATCACTTTCACGAAGAAAAAGAAACTTCATCTAAACCCACTAAAATGTATAACTTTCATTCAAGATCATTATCCTCTATTGTAAAGTACATAGGAGAAGCCTTAATTGATAGTTAGAGTATAGTATAATGAATCTTGGAGTCGTGCATGCATGTCGAAAAATGATATTTATGTCGAAATATCACTGTGTTTACTCAAGTAGTTTGCAGAATATACACCAAAAGAGAAGATGCCCTTGTTTCGAGAAGAAAACTTCCTTGTGGTACATCCTGGATCAGAGAACACCTTATTTTCATTTGGATTACGCGATTCTTTATCCCCCCCGCAGTATAAAATACCCTCAATCGTGTATCAAGATCCATCATCAAAGGAATACAAGGCTAAGAAAGAAGACAACTTTATCGAAATCAGACCTATAAAACAAAGTAAGATCGTTGATTTGGAAGCATTTAATGCACTATTAAAGGTCATATTGCTGAGTGTAATTTCAAACAATCCAATAATTACCATAAATCAGATTCCTTTGTTACTTTTGGTTCCATCTTCTACTTGGTCTAGGGCAGAAATTGAGTATATAACGAAATATGTATTTGAGACCTTAGAATTGACTGCTTTCAACATATTGGACATTGCCATTGCATCAAATTTTGGAATTGGTACGTCAACAAGCTCATTGGTAGTTAATCTTGGGTCAACCTCGACTGAAATTACACCAGTTATAAATCATCAGAGTATTAAATTTGCTTCTAAATACTTACCTGGAGTGGGGGGTGCAATGATAAACGAACAGTTGAAGAAGTTATTACCTACTCTCAATGACCAGCAAATCGAGGATTTAAAAACATCAGGTATTTATGAAGTCTTGAATAATCATGATGGGACTTTCTACTCTTTTGATTTGAACAATAATTCAGGCGACGACTCTTTTGATGTTGCAAAGCTTGTTACAGAAAGCAATGGGGATGTAAAGGCTCTTGAGAAGAAGATTGAGGAAGAAGAGGAAAAAGAAAAAGAAACAGCACCTAAGAAAAATAGTGAATTAGATAAAAACTTCTTCGTGGATTCAAAAACAAAGGAAAAGATAATGGTAGGAAAGGAAAGGTTCAGCGGGAGTTCTGTATTAGTCTCCGAGTTATCTGAAGCAATTTATAATGCTCTTTTGTATATACCTGATTTGGAAAAACGACAAGAGTGCTACGATAATTTAATCTTTGTTGGGTCTACCTTCAAGATTCCTGGTCTCAAGGATGCCGTTATAATAAAACTAGCTAACGACCATTTAGTTAGGCCAAATAATGAGGATGACGCTCTGAAGTCGATCAATTCTGCAATTGCAGCATATCAGAGAGCAGATGAAGTCTCAGATGGAAACGAACTGGGCTTGGTCACCCAAGTACCCTCTTCTATAAGAGCCTCAAAGTATCCTGAATATTTCCCTGAATGGAAGAACCCAAAGGAGAGAGGAGGTTCTTGGGAGGATTTGTACTTCTTAGGAGGCTCTATATACTCAAAGCAGATATTCGGTGCTAATTCGAATCATGGTCGTGAAATGTTCATTGATACCGAGATATACGAAGAATATGGTCCTCAAGGTATATGGAACGTATCTATTTAGTCTTTGAAAAATATATTTTATTGAAGATTGCACTTAGATTCAATCGAAATAACAAGCAGCTGATAGATTTGACGACCTTTACTTACATAACTATTAAATAATAAACTGTATCAGTATATCTTAAGAAATATAGAAATAATAAAATCTGTTTTAGAACGAAGCATTATCGCGATACTTTAGAAAAACGCGGTGAGATTATTAGAGAGCTAATGAGTTCTAAATCAAAATAAAGGAACTTATGTTAATAAGGGTCTTAGCTAAAATTTACCCAATCAAATATCCGGCTACTTTCACTCACTCATTTACTACAAAGATGCCTCAACAGCAATCTATAGCCAGATTCTTTGGTGGCTCACCAGCTTTGAGCAAAAGAAAGGCAGATAATCATGAAGCGCCTTCTAAGCGACCAAATACTGCAACTACTCCAGAAATTGATGTAAAGAAGGCTGAGATTCCTGAATTTAAGAATGAACATAACCAATCACAAATTAAAAAAGAGCCTAAGATTGATTATAAAGAATGGGAGAAAGACCGAGAAGAGGAAGTTAAAGAATCTCAAATTGAGGAGGCAAAGGAACTTATCGCTGCTACTAAAGATAATCGTGATGTACCACACTTGGATGTGGTGTCAGATAAGATACCTTATGCCAAATTGACCGAAATTTTTGAAACCATAGAGCTGGAGTCTTCACGTTTGAAGATAACTTCTACCATATCGCGTTTCTTCTTCGAAATATTGGAGCACTCAAGTCCCCAGAAACTAGTTAAAGTGGTTTATTTGTTCATTAATAGACTTGGACCTGATTATGAACCGGACTTAGAGCTTGGATTAGGTGAAACACTATTAATTAAGGCTATCAGTGAGTGTTATGGAAGGTCTACTACAAAGATAAAAAAAGACTATCATGACGTGGGAGATCTAGGAACAGTAGCTCAAAGCTCAAGATTGGGCCAGCCTACTATGTTCAAGCCTGCTGCTTTGGATGTAGACACTGTTTTTGACACTTTGAAAAAAATTGCAAAATCTACGGGCAAAGACTCTCAAGCAAAGAAAATATCCACTATTAATAGAATGTTAACAGCCTGTAACTCAAAATCAAATGAAGCCAAATATATAATAAGATCACTCGAAGGTAAGTTAAGAATTGGTTTAGCTGAAAAAACAGTTTTAACTGGATTAGCTCAAAGCTTTATTAACTTTGAGATGAAAAAAACTGGTAAGAAAGTTAATCCTGAAATGCTAGCATCTGCTGAAGATATATTTCGAGAGGCATTTTCACAACTACCAAATTACGAGATTTTAATTACTCAAGCTTTTGAGCATGGTGCATTCAATTTATTAAAGCATTGCCAGATTACACCTGGTATTCCATTGAAGCCCATGTTGGCAAAACCTACAAAATCAATTAGCGAAGTTCTTGATAGATTTCAAGGTGAAGAATTTACATGTGAATATAAATATGATGGTGAAAGAGCTCAAGTTCATTTATTATCGAATGGAGATGTTAGAATATACTCGCGTAACTCTGAGGATATGTCTCAGCGATATCCGGATTTAGTTTCAATTGTTAAAGAGTTTCTGTCTAAGCTGGGCGACGATAAACCAAAATCTTTAATCTTGGATTGTGAAGCTGTCGCATGGGATAGGGAAACGAAAAAGATTTTACCATTCCAAGTTTTATCGACTCGAAAGCGTAAAGAAGTAAATGAAGAAGATATTAAAGTTCATATATGCCTTTTTGCATTTGATGTGCTCTTTTACAATGAGCCACTCATAACTAAAACATTTCAAGAAAGAAGGGAAGTATTATATTCTCAATTTAATACAATAGAAGGCAAATTTCAATTTGCTACTGCAAAAAATTCCAATAATATCGATGAATTGCAACATTTCCTTGATCAATCTGTGAAAGACTCATGCGAGGGTTTGATGGTGAAAGTATTGAAAGGGGCTGATTCTTATTATGAGCCTTCGAAACGATCGAGGAACTGGCTTAAGCTCAAAAAAGACTACTTAGCAGGTGTTGGCGACTCTTTGGATCTTGTCGTCATTGGTGCATATATCGGAAAAGGTAAGAGAACAGGCACTTATGGGGGGTTTCTTTTAGCTTCTTATAACCAAGATACTGGTGAATATGAAACTACCTGCAAGATTGGAACTGGTTTCTCTGAAGAGGATTTAGCCTCGCTTTATACAAAACTCAAGCCTACTGAAACGACCCAACCAAAACCTTACTATGTTTATGATACTACGAATTCTAATGCGGTTCCTGATGTTTGGTTTGAACCTAGTACTGTATTTGAAGTTTTGACAGCCGATTTATCGTTGAGTCCAATCTATAAAGCAGCACATCAGGAGTACGGAAGAGGAATTTCATTGCGGTTCCCTAGATTTATTAGGATTAGAGAAGATAAGGGTATTGAAGATGCAACAAGCTCTACAGAGATTGCTGACTTCTACGAACGTCAAGCCAACTTAAATTAAACCAATGAAAAGTTTTATTTGTATATACATAAATAATTAAAATAAGAATGCTATTAATATAGGACAAGAACGGCCGAAAACGATTATGTCTTTCCATAATTCTTTAAAAGTTCAATACAGAAATAAAGAATTCCCTTAAAAATATAGAAAAATAATTAAAATCTTGATCTGTTATGCTATTTATGCATCCTTTTTCCTGTTTTCCATCAATTTGTTCCTAATTTTGTGTGTCAAAGAAGACTTCGATCTGCCTGAAAAGTTAAACTCGAGCTCATTCTCCGACTCTCGTCTTGATAATGGTGTTGGCAATCCCCTTACATCAAAATCGTCCATCATTGATGCAGAAGAGGCAGAACTTGATGGAATAGTGAAGTCTGCATTATTGACATTCTTATGCAAATTATAATCAGAAAACATGGGAATATTAGTGAATGAATTATCAGAATTCATTAGAGAAATTCCATCTGAAATGGATGAAGAATTTCTATCATTCAAAGACAACGCACTGTAAGAATCATTTGTCGCTTCGCCTGTGACAGTAAATGGCGTTGAAGATTTATCCTGCGTAGTTTCGCTAGACTCAGACTCTTGTCTTTGTGCCTTTCTCTCAGCTTTACGCCTTTGTAATCGTCTGTTTCTCAATTCTTGAGTTTTCATTTCTTCTTCGTCATCGCTATTTGGATATTTAGAATCATCTGGAGACCTAAAGTTTTCTTTGAGTTTCAACAAATTAAAATCGTTTACGAATAATTGCGGTCCAAACGTGTTCACCAAATCAGTAATCTCGGCAGCCAACTCACTTCTAAATTCTTTCAACTCATGAATGGACGAACCAGATATAATTGAAAGATAAAGGGGTCTGATGGATTTGAATATATCTACACCTTGCTCGCCGGTAATCAACGCGGAGTAGGTTACCAAGACTCCACATAAGTATAATAATATGAAGTTTGAAACCACATTAGTACCTAAGAACCTGTCGTAATGATAACAATACCACGAACCTATGGTAGCATAAAAAATGTAGACTAATGGTGCAATACCCATTCCAATTAAAATTTTCCACGTCGCAACAACATCATTAGCTTTTATTTTCACGGTTGAATTAGCCAATGCTGATTTCTTCTTCTTCAGAGAAATGAGTTTGGAAGTCAAAAATACAGGAGAAAATAACACTGCTCCAGGCAAAGCCAACAGCATTAGAAAAACCAATTTCAAAACTCTGTAAATTAAAACTGGAATCACACGCAATTTGTGAGATTCGTCACAATCCTCGACGTGATGATCTGGTAAATACAACTGTTTCAATTTTTCATTATATTTCAAGATTTTTTGCTTCACATCTTGAACCCTAGGCTCATCTTTGAAGGTTTGATAACCCAACACCAATCTTCTGTTCATTTCAACAATTAAAGGTAAAGGTAAGGTGTGAGCTAGATTGCCAGCGTACAACCTTCTTGCCGCCTGAATAACCATAAGTGTCTCATAATCTTCACATGTCACGGTGACTGCTTTCAAACCAGTGGTGATTATATCTAAAAGCTCTTTTACAGACTCACGATTGGTTTCAGGGTTATCATATTTTTCAACTAACGTTTTAGGAACCTCAATTGGTTTTCCAAATTCAACTACAGCTCTAGATCTAAATTTATGAGCATTGAAGTAATTCATACCACATGGGACAATCTTTACATTACAATTTGGGTCATAACTCATCGTGCCAAGGGCCATTATTGCAACTCCGGCCTTCAAAGGAAGTAATTCGGTTCTATCATGCGATCCACCTTCTGGAAATATTCCTATGCAATTTCCCGCTGACAAGTGCTTGAAAACAAGACCGAAGACCTGTTTTTGATCGATTCGGTCCGCCTTTTTGAACGAAGTGCCTGATGATAATAGCTTTCTGATCTGATCAGTGTTTTTAAATTCCTTCCGAATCCTTAATTCGGTATCAGATATGATTTCAGTTATCTCAGTTGCACCTAGAGATTTTGGTAACGCAAGCATACCTCTAGCCATGCATTCTTTAGTAAACCTAGTATTTTTACCTATGACGAGAAGTGGGTCAGATTCTAGGTCCACAAAAATTTTCCCTGTTCCTTTAACTAAATTATCTTGTGCTCTGGCAACTGGAATTGACAATTGGCATCTAGACAAGAAACCAATAAACTTCAATTTGTAGGACTTCGCAGCAATCAAGAACAGAATTCTTCTCTGACTCTCTCTTTTCACCTGATTCATTAAGATCATTGGATCCACAAACTGGTTAGCATGAGGCGCAGCAACAAAGATAACGGGCCCCGAGCGAGGAAGCCTAAATGCACCTCGGGGTCTTATCTCTCTGAAAAAGCAATCAATGGTAACGGTAAACAACCAGAGAATTAAATCATAGAGCCAAAGGCGATACCTTTCGGGAGGTTCATAATCGATACCAGAGTAGTCTTTATTAGAGTTATTGCTAACAGTGCTTGTTACTGGTGTAGCATCTATTTCATTTTTGTCTTGTGTAGATTTCGAAATGCTGTCGTTTTCCATCCTTGAACGCCTTAGAAACTCCCAAGCTACTCTTCACGTTAGAGCTTTGATAGTAAGTTCCGGGCCCGAAGTTAATAAACTTTTATACCAAGTCCCAGAGTGGAGCAAGACTAGCACCTTATATCCTGAGCAAAATGTAATCCCAAAAGAAATAGTAAGAAAACTACGTACGGTTATAGTAAAATTCAAAGGTGACACAAGCTAGGGTATCAATACATGTCGTATATTTGCGATATTATGCGACATATTCATTAGATCCTGCATGGCTTCCGATGAGATCTTTTGACTCCACATATTTTTTGTCTGACTTCGTTCGGGTGACAGGAATCAGCATCCGAGGAATGTGGAGGAAAAATCAATTGCACAAAATATAAGGGACAAACATTCGGAGAGCCTACCAACGATGCCACAGAAACTATAGAGATTGCTTCATACTTCATGGAAAATGGTCAGTACAAAACAAGAACAGTTGGTTCTCTTATTAACTTCCTTATGATTTTATCTTATTGAATAATGCCGCATCAATGCATTAATGTTTCGCATCTGTAAGAGAATCAATTAAGTTCGGTTTGTTCGGCCATCAGAAATATGAAACTAAAAAGTGACTGAAGTCTGGGGAAGATTAAGCTTGGGAGTGCGGATGTGATTATATTCATAGCGAGGAGGTCGCGCTATGCGCCCCACTGGTCACTTTATCTAGTAAATTTCTCTTCGGCAGGCTCGCCATTGGGCTCACAAACTTCCCTCGCTAAATATGCAGCGCACACCTCGGTCCTCGCATTCACAAGCAACCTCTTAAGATTCTATCCCACCCCGCAACACAGTTGATATAAACTGGCAATTTTCCAACTTCTAATCTGTGCAAATATTCTGCAAAGTACTCTAAGTAACGAATATGTCAGAATTGAGCTTTAAAGATAAGGTAGTGGTTGTAACTGGTGCTGGTGGTGGATTGGGTAAGCATTACTGTTTGGAGTATGCTAAAAGGGGAGCAAAAGTGGTTGTTAATGATTTAGGTGGCTCCTTAAGCGGACAAGGAGGTGGATCTAAGGCAGCTGACTTAGTGGTGGATGAGATTAAAGCAGCTGGTGGTATTGCAGTCGCTGATTACAATAATGTCTTGGATGGGGATAAGATAATTGATACAGCAGTGAAGAGCTTTGGTACCGTGCATGTTTTAATTAATAATGCTGGTATCTTGAGAGATGCTCAATTTAAGAAAATGACTGAGAAAGATTTCCAATTGGTAATTGACGTTCACGTAAATGGTGCTTATAAAGCTACGAAGGCCGCCTGGCCATACTTCAGGAAGCAGTCATACGGAAGGATAATTAATACCGCTTCCCCAGCTGGTTTATATGGTAATTTCGGTCAAGCAAATTACTCAGCGGCAAAGTTAGGTTTAGCTGGATTTGCTGAGACATTAGCAAAGGAAGGTGAAAAATATAATATTAAAGCTAATGTTATTGCTCCATTGGCCAGATCTAGAATGACTGAGAAAGTATTACCTCCACCAATATTAGAACAGTTATCTCCATCTAAGATTGCTCCATTGGTCTTATATTTAACTCACGATCAAAATAAATTGAATGGTCAAATCTTTGAAGTCGCTGCTGGTTTCTTCGCTCAAATCAGATGGGAAAGATCGGGTGGTGTGTTGTTTAAACCAGATGAATCATTTACTGCTGAAGTAGTAGCAAAGAGATTTGACGAAATCTTAGATTTCGATGACTCAAAGAAACCAGACCTCTTAAAGAATCAGCATCCATTCATGTTGAATGACTATAACTCCTTAGTTGCTGCTGCTGATAAGTTACCCCCAAACGATGCAAGCGGTGCTCCTGCAGTTTCATTGAAGGGTAAGGTTGTCTTGATCACTGGCGCTGGTTCTGGTTTGGGTCGTGACTATGCTTTATGGTTCGCCAAGTATGGTGCTAAAGTCGTTGTGAATGATTTCAAAGATCCATCAAAGGTTGTAGACGAAATTGTAGCTTCTGGTGGTGATGCTCATGGTGATACACATGATGTTGCAAGTGACTCTCAGGCTATTATAGACAACGTTATTAACAAGTATGGAACTATTGATGTTCTTGTTAACAATGCAGGTATTTTAAGGGACAAGTCGTTTGCTAAGATGACTGATGACGAATGGAACATTGTCCAAAGGGTCCATTTATTCGGTACATTTAACTTGACTAGATTGGCTTGGCCTCATTTCTTAGAGAAAAAGGCTGGTAGGGTAATCAACGTTACATCTACGTCTGGAATTTATGGTAACTTCGGTCAGGCTAACTATGCTACAGCAAAAGCGGCAATTTTAGGTTTCTCTAGAACCATCGCCATTGAAGGTGCCAAGAGTAACATTAAAGTCAATGTAGTTGCTCCTCATGCAACTACTGCTATGACTTTAACTATCTTTAGAGAGGAAGATAGAAACCTCTTCCCACCTGATTTAGTCGCTCCTTTATTAGTTTATTTGTCGTCTGACGAGGTTCCTGTTACCGGTGAATTGTTCGAAGTAGGCGGTGGATGGATTGGTAATACTAGATGGCAAAGAGCCAAGGGATCTGTAAGTAGAGAGGAAAATGTCACCCCTGAGTTTGTCAGAAACACGCTAGGTGATATCACTGATTTCAGTACTGGTACTGCTAACCCAAAGAGTACGACTGAATCTTCCATGGCTATTTTGAGTGCTGTTGAGGGCGATGATGATGATGATGATGATGATGAAGATGAAGATGAAGATGATGAGGATGAGCCTTTAGATGATCCTAAATTTACTTTCACTGATAAAGAAGTCATATTATACAATCTCGGACTTGGTGCAACTGCTAAGGAATTGAAATATGTATACGAGAATGATAGTGATTTCCAAGTCATCCCTACGTTTGCTCACTTGCCAACTTTCAATTCAGGTAATTCTCTGTACTCTTTCTCCAAATTGTTGAAGAATTTCAACCCTATGTACTTATTGCATGGGGAGCATTACCTTAAAATAGAAAAATTCCCAATTCCCACTGAGGCAACTATTGAGACCTTCTTCACACCTTTGGAAGTAATTCAGAAGGGATCGAACACAATCGTTGTTCAAGGTTCAAAGTCTGTTGACGTGAATACCAAAGAAACGTTGTTTTCTAATGAAGCAACCTTTTTTATTAGAAAATGTGAAGGTGAGACTAAGAAGTATGCTGAGAGAAATTCCTTTGCTACTTCACAGTTCATATCACCATCTACCGAACCTGACTTCACAACATCTATTAAGATTTCAGAAGACCAAGCAGCATTATACAGATTATCTGGTGACAGAAACCCATTACATATCGATCCAGCTTTCGCTAAAGGTGCTGGATTTGATAAACCAATCTTGCATGGTATGTGTACTTACGGTTTATCTGCGAAGGCTTTGTTAGATCAGTTTGGTCCTTTCACTGAGATTAAGGGTAGATTTACTGGTATTGTTTTCCCAGGTGAAACCTTGAAACTTCTTGCTTGGAAACAAGGCAACACTGTTTTATTCCAGGTTCAAGTGGTGGAGAGGAAGACGATTGCCATTAACAACGCGGCAATCAAGTTACTTAGCAACAAGTCAAATCTTTGATTTCGTTTACTTTTTATGTTTATTTAAAACCATTTTGAATATATTTTTGATCGATTTATCTTACATGAGTAGCTACATTATATTTTCTAACTCAATGTTTGTAACAAAACCGTTTTATTGTATACTTAAGGATGCCGTATAGAAGTAATGCGTAGCTTGCTCGCAATATGCTCTTATTCATTAAAATAGCTTTCTCTACCTGAGGAGAGCAATGATCTGGGACCTGAGTTTAGCTTAACGCTATTAGGATAGGGTACTGAAAAGTCAACAGGAACCTCATTAATTGGATCAATAATAGAAGATTCCTTCCCATTTAAGCATAACTCATTGGTCGCAATAGGTTCCATTGTCGACAACGGAGAACTTATAGTTGGTGAAGTAACTGATATACCCGTAGACTTAGAAATCGTACTTACATTCATTTGGTTTGTACATGACTTGGTGCTTGGAAATTTGAATGACGAAATAGGCGAATTTTTCAGGTTTTGAACGGGAATTAGGGTGCCTTTGCCACCTTTAGAACTTACTGCCAAAGTTTTGCTTCTAGGTAATGCTGGAGGTAAACCGAGAGGTTTCCTTGACATTGGATTCAACACAGATGATTTTATTGGAACATGTCCACAAGATTGATTATTTCCTGATGTTGCTAAGTTTCTCATATAGGCTGTCAAATTTGAAGACTTAATGTCATATTCGTCTGTAGGTGAAATCAAGGAATCAGAAGAGGAGTTGGCCGTGTCAATGCCCACTGAAGATGACGAGTCCATTGAGAATGAGGACGAAGAAGCATCACTTGCATAGGAGTAGAAACCTCTGTGGTCAGGACCAAATGAAGAAAAAGGAGGAACCAAGTCATCCACCGAAGTTGTTGCAGATACATTTTCACTTCCAGGTACGGGTGCATATACATCATTGGACTTGTTAAATATAGATTGATCCGAAGAAATGGATGAGCATTTTAACCTTGAAGAAGAAGCGCCGCTTAAACTCGACTTGTGCCTTTTCAATATCTTCAAATTTTGCGTATGAGAAGTAGTTGTGGAGTAAGAATGTGATCGAACATGTGTATTCGCAAGCGAATGATTATGAAAAAAGTAATTTTGTGATTTGGTCCTCGTTAATTTATTTGCTTGTCTCACTTTATTCATTTCAGATTCACACCTTTCTTGATAATTCACATCATTCATTTCAACATAGCCTTGTGGAATGCAGAACAATTTAAACTTGTCGAAAAACCTTTTATAACCTCCAGAAAGAATGACAATATCTGGATAAGATAATTTAGGATATTCATGACTGTTGATTTGCCTGTCGCACTTTCTTAAGTATTTAGCCATGTTCGGACCTCTAAAACTACTAAATTCGCAATGGAATACAAGTAATTGTTTCTTGTCGTTTATCTTTGACCTTTCAAGGAATTTTGATTCCAATTCTTTCTGACAGGAAATGTTGATGGCACCGTCAATATGCCCTCCTTCAAATTCGTAGCTAAACCTACAATCGACTATGATAACCTCATCAAATTCATGTTTATGATGACCTTTCATAATACTAATCATCTCATCTTCGTCGATCCTTGGAAGTAAATCGTCATCAACTTTAAATGTTTTAATGGACGTTTTGTGCAAGTGACAGTTGTCTTCCATGAAAAATCCTTCCTTTTCCTTAGTTGTTTGAAACAAGGAGTGCGTTCGGCGGAATTCTCTATGTATATTGTTGGACTGCCTAATTTGAGTAGGCGATCCCACGGCGTCATTTTCGACCACATCGCTTTCGTTATCGTCAGGTTTCTCAAAGATATCAAGATTTCTAGCTTCAGTACCTTTGAGCGAACCCTGCTTGGACACAGACTGGCACATATTCCCCAGCCCAGCGCTAACTGTATTTTCTTTGATCAGTTTTTTAGGAGATGCTGCACTGGTAAAGAATTTTGAAGTTTCTGATACCGCCGTCATAGATCTTGTAATACCCTTGGCTGTCCACTTCTTCATACTAGGAAATACCAAGTTGGAAATATTTCTCAATGCTGCTTTGTTCAAGATTGGCGACCCTGCGCTCAATTCGTCGTCTGTTGTCCTGTCACAAGGTGAATCAAAGTAAGAGCTTAGTGGTCTGTCTCTTTTTCTTTGTTCCGCTTCCAATGGCGTTTTTACCCTGAAATCCCCTCTGTACTCTTCATCACTTTTAATCATGATTGTCGTGTTTGTGGTTGAGGTAGTGATGTAGTGTGCGAGTAGCGAATGATGGGCACACTAGTTAGTAAAAATGTATCAAATGAGTGTAAGAGCGGATTACTCCACGTTTCTTTAGGAATTCAAAGTGATTGTTGGCAGGTCTGTGTAAAACTGATCTATGACAACCGCTCACTTAAGCTTTCCTTGAAGTGATAGTTTGGCACTTAATTAGCGAGCGTAGACCGGTGTCTTCCTGCTAAAGTGGTGTCCTGCTGAAGCGTTACGCGGCTGTAGCAGTATCCACTGGAGCTAGGTCAATAAACAAACCAGATTGAAGAATAAGTCTAACAGACAGTTTCTAATATCTACAAAAACATTGACTCCTTGTCAGCAACTTTCTAAGTTAACACATTTATATCAGCAAGTCTCTGTTTCACATCCACTAGTTGTGATTGGAACCAATTCCATCCCGAAGGGACATCGGGTTGCTGTCTGGTGTTATAATACGCGTTGAGCACAAAGCATGTGTTTACCTTTCGGATACAATAGGAAACACCAAACAATGCGAAGGAGAGAAACAAAACGCAAGGACAGAAGAGACATGCACATATACTGCCAAGTGTTGAGGTAAGTTTGCACAAACTTCTGTGATTGGAGTGACCCGCTGCAGAATATGACCGCATAGGATTATTAACTGACTGCAGCTGTAACTATGACAGGAAATCCATCAACTTTGTTTATACGCGGCTGTCCATGTTTTGATGCTTTTCATGTTTCATATATGATTCAGTCGTATTTCTGATCACAATAAGTTACTAGCTACACCTTGATAATGTTGCGGTGGGTTACTATGCCTACTATTGAGCATGAGGGGTTTGATAAATTACTATGGAATTGAAGCGACTCCACGCCAAAAACCTTCATGGGGAAGTGTTATGAGAATCGCGAATAGTACCGAAGATATTTATAGTGACAAATAATTATACATATAGAGGACGTCTCAGTAAACATAGCGGATTTCACTCAAAGCGCCTGGAATTCGGTCTTATGCATAGCGCTGGGCTCATGAAGTAACGTTTCAGAGTGTGCTTATTCACCGCTATTTAAAAGACACGTAACTTTGGCGCAACACCGGACAGCACCAACTAAGTGGTCCTAGGCAGCCATAAACGCTGATCATTACTTAGCAGTGCTTTGTACTTACCGTAGCTCATCTAAATAATCGTGCATGGCTCTGAAATTGCTAACGGTTTCTTCGTCCTGCACTAGAGTATCGTTGGCATTCTCTTCATCTGTGGGTTCATCGCTTTCCGGATACAGCAGTCTTCTTTCTTCTCTAGACTGATCAAGCTTTGATTTGTTTTTGGACACGAGCGAAACATTATCATCCGTAAGATATGCATGAAGGTTAAGAGACGAACTTGAGCTGGCAATTCTTGTTAAAGCATTTGAAGACGACGAAAGCGAGTTTTTGCGTGAGCTTGTGTGAGTGATCTGACTATTCGGCGACAGTAATGGCGTACCACTTCCAAATATAGGTGGGGGTTCTATAAAATCAGTGGAGGCACCTTCTGTCGAATATAGTGATCCAATCGTATGCTGCTTTTCTGCATTCTTATCACGTTGCTTGTTTTTTGCAAAAAATCTCTTCGATGGACTGAAAAACGATTTGATAGATGTCGGAGTACCAGCTCCAATCGTAACTGTTTGGCTGTTGGTTGGAGTACTGGGCGAATTCTTATGAGAGCTGTTCTGAGTGGAAGAGCTTACGCTCTGTGATCTAAGCGCCATGTTATCATGTGGTCGAGTTTCGAGGATCAACGGAGAAGGTTTTAAATTTTTCGCTGACATACTCTTAGTATCAGCTAGAAGACTCGAAGTATCTATGTCTTCAAGTTCTTCACCATAATCGCTCCCAAATGATGAGGAATCGTCCAAATACGAGTCTAGGAGGTCATCAACTTGTTCTAAATCCAATAAGTTACTAGGTTGTGGCGTTGCAGTGTCGGGTTTGCTCTCTTTTCTAGAAGGCAACACTTTTGTAGGACGCGGAGTCTTGGGGTCCTGTTTACCTGTAAAGAAGTGCTTGATTTTGCCTGTTAGTGATGTATCGTAATTGCATTGCTTTGCTATTATTATCTTATTAAAACCCAAGAATTCTTCCCGCTGCTTATCATTCAAATCAAACAGTGTAAACCTATGCTCCTTGATCTCTCTGATTGATAGGCGTTTACTTGGGTTTTTCTCTAACAATCCAGTTATTAAGCTTTTCAAGAATTTTAACTCTAAAATATCACTTTCAGTAGTCCTAGATGCCTTTTTAATTACAGGAAACTTTAGCCTTTCATTGACGATATTTTTAAAAAGATCGAATTCATTGTGGCCATCAAACGGAAGATTATTAAATGCTAGACAGTAAAGAATGACTCCAAGAGACCATATGTCAATCCTGGAATCTATTTTAACTCTGTTATCCATATCTGATATCATAGAGTACCTGTTGTTGACGAACTGGCATAGTTCTGGTGCAAAAAAAGCAGGAGTTCCCATTGTTTTGCCAAGTTCTCTGTCGTCATTTATATTATTTTCAAGAATAAGGCTAACTCCAAAATCTGAAATCTTGATTGTATTATGTTCATCTATCAACAAATTAGAAGGCTTCAAATCTCGATGTATTATCCTCTTAAAGTCATGCAAATATTCTAGGCCATTGATTACATCTCTTAGTATCTTGTTCATTGTCAACCCATTCTTTTTATTGTATTTCTCATTATAATGGTTATATCGCCTCCAATCTATATCTCCAAATTTACAATACTCTAAAATCAATAAAATCTTATCAAATTTTAAATCATCTATAACTTGATGTAGGTTCACAACATTTGGGTGATTACATTCTTTCATAATCTGTATTTCCCTCTTTATTTTTGTAGTGTGACTCAAATAAGTTCTTGTAATCAATCTTGTCTTGTCGATTCTATTAATTGTCTTAATCGCTACGTATTGAGCTTTATTTCTTAAGTCTTCCGCTAACAATACTTTCCCCGATTGCCCCTGCCCTATCTTTCGGACAATTCTATATCTATCATTGATGACTTTTTTAGCAGTTTGGGGATCGCTTGTGATTGAAAGTTGTGATACGTCCATTGGTATCGGTACGAATTGTCTTTCAAAATAGCTCAGAAACTTCTTTTGAACTTTAAAGGAACATATGCATTGAATTAATTAAATAAGACTGTAATTATTGCACTAGCATAAAGAATTTGTTTTACTTTATCTGCTATCTGATAAACCGTAAACTGAATATCGGATCGTCTAGAGAAAAAAAAAATATAAAAAATCATCCTTCTAACAATAGGTAGGCATTATCTATATTACAATATATATTATACATCTATAAGTTCATTATTTCTGGCTTCGTCTTTGACTTTGTTCATCAGTCTAGTTTCGTCGTTCTCCTCATTAAGCTCTTTGATAACATTCTCCTCCTCTTCAGTTAAGCCGGTCAAATCTGGCGGAATTTCATTCATTTGTACAGAAGGTGCATGATTTAGATACCTTAGCTGTTCCAAAATAGTCTGAGTGACGCTTTCCAAGTATTTCTTAGTATTTTTATTGTCAAACCGACCATCTAATTGAGGATGAAGCGAATAATCGGGACCAAACCAGTCATATGTAGGTATGTAGTTTGGAATTTTCGGATCTAGTGTCAAGTCGTTCAAGACGGAAGTTTCATAGCACCATAAGCGTGAAACATTCCTTGGCGTATATCCACCTCCTCCCACTACTAGCATTGGTATATTAAATGATTTCATGAATTTCACACATTCTCCATGCGCTCTTATGTTCAAATTGAAGCATCCTAGCCTGTCAAATCCAAGTGAGTCTGCTCCACATTGTTGTACTATACATGTTGGCCTGAACTTTGTCACCAATGGGTCCATAATTGATTTGAATAGTCTCACGTAAGATTCATCATCTATTCCATCTCTCAAAGGAACATTCACCGCAAAATTCTTACCATCGCCCATTCCAGTCTCATCAACAGATCCAGTTCCAGGAAAAAACTCTCCATTAAACTTATGAAATGAAACAGTCATCACTCTGTCGGTCAAATAAAAGGCTTCCTGAACGCCGTCTCCATGATGTAAATCGATATCAATATACATCACTCTTGGATGAACTCTTAACAAGTTTAATATACTTAACACAATATCATTAACATAACAGAAGCCACTAGGTTCATATTTCTTAGCGTGATGCAATCCACCAGACCAGTTGATCGCAATATCTGACATTCCACTAATTAATTTTCTAGTGGCATCCAAAGAAGCGCCAGCATATATTGAGGAATAGTCATACATCCCATCGAACACTGGACAATCATCTCCAATATTAAACTGAGCTAGTACGCTTCCTTTCAACTTTGCAGCTTTTTCAGGAGTGATTGTTTGTAAAAAGTTGACATAATCCTCAGCATGAAATTCTAATAATTCATCTTTCGTAGCTCTTCGAGGTTGGTAAAGGTCCATTTGTTCATATAACTTGTATGAAATCATCAAATGGTCAGTGAGGAGTAACCTAAATGGTTTCATGGGATGATGAGGTCCAAAATGGTACCTGCTGACCTCTGGATTAAAGTGGTAAGATACATTCTTTAGGTTCCTTTCTGAGTTTAAAAAATATGACGGTGTATTTTTTTCTGTCTTGCTATCCGTTTTGAATGTATCACTTCCATTTATAGGTATGGGCATCTTCCACTAACCCTTCCTATGTATATGTAACCTTTCTGTAAGTCTATTTAGAGTCTTATTTTTTTAACTTATTTTTGTCGTACGAAAGAAAACGACATTGATGAATATTCATTAATGTCGTCCATAACGACATTTTAATATATCTAAATGTTCTTGCCACTCAAGCGCTCTTTTAACACTAACTATAAGATTTAAACATCCAACCAATCCAAAATGTCAAGTATGTATTATTAATAGATTGTTCAGCTTCAGGATTTGGAGTACTAACATATCAGGTTCTGCTGGTTTCGATAGACATATCACAATATTTTCTCCGGAAGGGAGATTATACCAAGTAGAATATGCATTCAAGGCGATCAACGCACCAGCTATCACCTCAATTGGAGTTACTGGTGAAGACTCTGCCGTTTTGATCTCTCAAAAGAAGATACCAGATAAGTTGTTAGACACTAAGACGATCTCGTATATATTTAAAATCACGCCGTCGATAGGAATGGTTGCTACTGGTTCGATCTCCGATGCCAGAGCACAAGCATTAAGGGCTCGTGCCGAAGCCGCAGAGTTTCGTTACAAATACGGGTATGAAATGCCAGTTGAGAGTTTAGCGAAAAGAATTGCAAACTTGTCCCAATTATATACTCAAAGGGCATATATGAGACCTCTAGGAGTTGCTTTGACTTTCTGCCAGGTTGATATCGAAGATGAGAATAGAGGACCCCAGATTTTTAAATGTGATCCAGCTGGATACTTCACTGGCTACAAAGCTGTTGCAACGGGTCCTAAACAGCAAGAGGCTACTACGTACTTGGAAAAGAAATTCAAAAAGATAGACCATGTTAAAGGTGACTGGAAAGCCACTGTAGAATTTGCGATTACAGCTTTGGGTACTGTTCTTGGAACGGAATTTAGAAAAAATGACATTGAAATTGGTGTTGCTACTGAGGAAGGATTCCGTATTTTAACGCCTGACGAAATTGATGAAAGATTGGTTACAATTGCAGAACAAGATTAATAAATAATCTTTCCTATTTTTTCTCATTACTAGAATGAATGTAATCTATTTTTTATAAAGCGTCCTACGTGTAAGGATAAGTGTGAGAATGTAGATATTCTGAAACTTTTTTTTGAGTATGGAAGAAGCATACTAATTCGTTCACCAAACATAAGGAATAAATAAATAGGGACAAGCTTCAAGATACCTATCCCAGTCTTTTCCGTATTTCCTCTTACATTTTCTCATGTCCCTATATGCCCTATGAACTAAGACAATAAAGAAGAAAACAGGAAAAAACCAAGGAAAAGGTGATCCAAAACCACAAATTAATCCCCAGGTTAATGCTTGACAATAATCTGCAGTATAATGCATTTTTCTGGCGTAAACATACCACCCGTCGGTCAACAATAGTGATCCATTCTCACATTTAATATATTTCGGATTAACCAAATCAGAGTATGGTAAATATGGGAAAGTTTTACGAACCTTTGTCATTCCAGCCATTTGCTTTCTAAAAGAGTTCTTTTGACGATTTCCGGTATCGAAGAAATAATATGCAACAGATAAGAAAATGAATAAGAAGATATTGTAGCCGGTGCTCCATTGGTATTCACTTGGATCATGGTAAGCTAGATAAAGAATGCAATGACAATATGTGAAAGGCACTCCTGCAATGTTCCAGAAAAGAAGCATAAATCCAAACTTCTCGTATGCCATATCCCAAGTTGGTACTATCAATTCCTCACCTTTTGCACATGCATTAGCATACAACCAATGAGCATATAATATGAAAATGGCTTGTGGAGAAACATATCCATACTCATCAAATTGTTTCAAAACAAGGGCCAAAGATAAGAAAAACAAAATGAACCAGGGGATGCGTACTTCAAAAAACATCTTAAGGTCCAAGTATTTTCCAATTCTAGGATTCAATGGGGCTCCCATAAATATGTCATAAAAATGATTGCCTGTCATGCGGTGGTAGTCATGGTTGACATACAAACAGTATACGTATAAAGATGCCGATAAGACGATACCGTACGTAATTGCGGTGGTCATTATTTCTCCAAAATGATCTATGATATATGGTAATTTGAATAGACCGGTGAAATGAAGAAAAAGTACTAACACAATTGAAGTGTAAAAGGACCACACGGCATTGCAATAGTAAGGTAATTGTTTGTTGTTCAAGTGAGCCAATGGTTGACCTTTGGTCCAAAAACCAGGCAATGTCAAATAGAAAAAAGCTTGAAGCACGATAAAGAACGTAAACAAGAACCAAGTTTGGAAAGAGGGAATTCCATATTCAACAATGTAACTGAATAATTTCTTGAAAAAGTATGTCCAGCTCTCATTCAATCCAGGAAGAGCTGGATATCCATCGTAAAACTCTGCACTGATCCACATGTACCACATTAAAAGCGGAAATCCAACCATCATTCCAATCGCACCAGCTGGTCCTCCAAACTCATATTCGATATCTTTCTTTGCTAAATATCCTTTAGGTGTCTTGTCTTCCTCGGCCATTACGGGTTCTATGACTTCTTCAACCGAATCAATTTCAATGTAAGGAGTGTTATCTAGTTCCAGTGTCATTTCAAATTAACTTGTAAGAGAAGAAAAAAAAAAAAAACAAACCCTATACGACAGGTGTAGCAAAATCAACTTTCGGATACCCTGTCTCTTTCGCAGTCTCGTATAATTTTTCATTTATTTGAGCTATATGCCGTACGGATAGTACTAATTTGAGTCATGTGACCGGAGGCTGCAAAATCGGTTTGCTCTTGAAACTGTATCAACTCAATTTAATAAACTTAATACTGGAACTTATATACCAATCTATACTAGCTAAAGCATACAATATCGTCAATTTCATCCTTCTCAGGGCCCTTGCTAGAAGTCAAATGTTGTTGGTTATTCAGAAAAGTGGTCTTCGAAGCGAGGTTCTCTTTTGTTTTTTGAAGCATTGATAATACTGAATAAGCACCACCATTTCCAAGCTTTGTAAGGCCCAAAAAGAAAAGCTCTAGTTTCTCAAATTCCAATTCATTGTCTATGAGTCTGGCACATATCTTAAAAGGTGATTGAATCATTACACAGCGAGTATCAAACTCGCTTTCAAGAACGTAATAGTTCTGAGTCTCAACTAAAACGTTGGAGTAGTTATTCTTATAAGATGGGTCTTTATATCTCACGAAGAACAAATAGCTCATAATCCTCCTAGTCAAATCCTTTACCAAAGGGTGGCTCGGTTGAAGATGAAGCATTCCTTTCCCTATCAATAACTTCATATATTGATAGTCAACATGTATCTGCTCAGATATATCATACCATGAATAGTATATGACATTGCCACTAGGTCCAGTGATTTTACCATACGCACTTGCTGGGAGCTCCAACGACCTCTTTGGATTCTCTGGGTGTGCTGGACTACCCTGTGGAATAATAAATGAATTTTTTGAAACGTTAGGAACGATCTCAAATTCCCTTGCTCTGTAAATTAATGCCATTAGTTTAGCAAAGCTATCTACTGATAGCTGCCATTCTTTGTTGCACCTTAAGGAGTCTAGGATTTGCATTAGTTCGTGTGTCAATCGTACGACGTTCATACTATAACCAAGAAATAAGTTAAAGTCTACGGGGCTGGTTATCAATAGTTTCAGTCTTTTGAGTGCAAAATGAAACTGTGGGTTATGCTCCTTAGAAAAATATCCCGTGTCACTAAATATAAGATCGGCATGTCCTCCGTAATTGACATCTGCATCTGTGCTATCTTCGACGCATACATCCTTAACCTTGGTGAGTGTTCCGCCCTTTGTGGAAGTAATTCCTGCGGTGGATTCGATTGCAAAAAACCATGTTTTTGCTAATGCTAACCCACTTGAAACGTGTTGAGTATTCTTAGATTCTGTCAAGGATGAATATCTTATCAACAAGTCTCTAGCCCCTCTAAGATGTGTTTTCCAGGTGACAATATTTGAATTCTTTACTTGATACATTGCAGTGAAATTTGAAGCCAAAACTAGATCAGTAAGTAATAGACTTGTTATTTCATTATCTGAATCCAGAATTAGCTTATCACCGGATGCAAATGCCTCATTTAAAAGCCTCATGCAAATTATGGTACAATTAGACCCGAACAACGCATGATCATCATTTCGAGTTTGATTATAGTGTATAGTTGCCGAGATTGTCAAAAGAGCAGCTAAAAGATACGAGCAATTCCTCAGATGAACTAAAAGCAAGTTCATGACCTCATTTGATTCAATCGAAGATGCAAACGGAAATATGTGATAAGAAATGTTTGTTTTCACAAGTGCGTTTAAATACTTGATGTGTAACTGTGATAGATTATATTGGATCTCAATTTCCTTTAATAAATTCGAATTTGACAGGCTTGACTCATTATCATTTAAATCATCATAGGATTTGAGATCGTTAAATTCAAAATAACCATCATCTTTTATTGGTGAGTAATGATTACCGTCAAATATGTGAGATCCTATATCGGGAGTCTTGAAAAGGTCGCCTAGCACTTCTCCACTGCTATTTACATTCTCAATTTTTTCAGTACCCAATATGTTATTAAGTTCATTAATTAAAAGCATAGCTTCGTCGAAGATACCTTGCATTTCAATGACACCATTCTTGTCAGTGACAGGGTCATTTGAATCATTTCTAATCTCATTATTCAGGCTATTGAAGTTAAAATCGCAATAATTTACTTTTTTCTTTGAGGAGTCGATAAAAGCCGTGTCCATGACCATGTGTCTTGTATGATTAGAGTCTAGGATTACAGGATGTGCAACAATTTGGTCTTCTTTTAAGTTAGATAAATTTTCATTCAAAAATTTTGGCTTGTGATTATCAGTAAAACTCTCTGAAGGCTTATAAAATCTCATTTGAATATCTTTCCCAGGTCCCTTTGAATTTTGGCAATAATCGTTTACATTACCTTGAACATTATCGGATGTCTCCTTAACAATAGTTTCAAACTTGAATTCTTTCACGTTATAGATACATTTCTTAGTTAGCCTGATACAATTTTTGCAGGACGGTTTGCTTTCATCGCATTTCATTTTCCTTCTTTTACATTCCTGACATCCTTTTCGACTATATTTTCTCTTCTTGATCTTGGGCCTATGATCTGCAATTTTTTCTTGAGGCTCATTATTATGCAATATAAAACTTCGTTTTGTCTTACCGTCACATTTCATTACGTCGACATTGCCCATCACTGGGTCTATACTAAGCCTCCAATAGCCTTCACTAATGTTTCTTTAACTCTATTTCTGGCAGCACGAAGGTTATCTTGATTTTGATAATGCGAATCTCACCACTCATTTGATACATGCAGTATTCCATTTTGTGTCACTACTGCAGCAATTGGCTCTGGCATCCAACCTACTAAACGAAATATACATAAATTACTGTACACCTAAATACATGAGATGAATTTTAATCTAATTTAAAAATTCACAGAATGACACTGTTTTCAGGACTTCTAAAGCTAAAATTTAGAGGGCAAACCTCTCTTTGATGTTGAAGTCAAGAAATAAAAAAAAAAACAGAAAGCTCATGGTAGCACTGAGTATCATTCTAGAAAACTTAAGTAGCTCACACAATAGGTTGAAGTTTTGCCATAATTCTTCTCCCATGGGGAGTATTTCTAATGTTGAGTAATAAGGGCAGGAGAGCCTCTGAGAGCCTAGTGGCTTGCGAACCATTTGCAACATCTAAACTTGTTTGAAGCACATAATTTCCAAATGGATCACTTAATAGATCAGAGAATCTATCCTGGTGCTTGAGGAGTTCTTCAATCAAAGTATCAGTGAGCTTTCTTATTCTAAGCGATTTTTCGATAACATTAGATCCAAACTTATGTAACGACAAGGACATTATATTGGCCGTAATCGTTCTGAATATAAGTTCTATGGATTCATCATCACCTTTTGCTAAGACGTACTGTACAACATAGTTACCAAAGGGATCCAACGATAGGCTAGTAACATTCTCTGATACTTTGAGGGATAATTGCTTGCGTTGTAGCTCATTTCCATGGTCCAAACACCTTTGGAGCACGCAACATCCATGTCTGTGGGTAGCTATCTCTTTGCAGTAAGGTGCTGCTGCATCAAAGATGAACTGATTCAGCTTGGACTCCAACTTCTGTAAACATTTTTGAACAACATGGTTTCCATTTAAATCTGTAGATAAAGATACAACATGTGGTGCAAACGAGGCAATTAATATGTCGGATTCTTCATCGGTCGAAATACATTCAATTAACTTTTGCAATGCCCTTGTGCCGTGTGGGTCTAAAGCAATTTTAACGAAGTGTGGAGCCGCATTCTTGACTAATATTGTTCTTTGATCAGATGTAACATTTTCGAACAATTTCTGAACCAAGTAGTTTCCAAATGGGTCAGTCATAAGTTCCACGATTTTTAAATAAATCTCATTGAAAATAAGAGTAGCAGCTACGAGGTCACCTTTAACTTTCCTATTTTCTGAATCCCTGGATATATCGAGCTGTCGTTGTAGAAATCGGCAACCATGCTGGTCTTTGCATAAAGAAAAAATGTTTCCTACGAAGTCTTCCAAAACTGCATTAGCATATCGTGCGCTTTCTTCACCCTTTCTTCTATTACCACCGTGCATCTTACGATTGGAATCTGAGTCGTGGCCATTGCGGCGATGATTATGGTAGCGATGGGACGCAGCACCACCATAATGGGGAGCTGGAGTTCTATTGTTATCATTATAGATCTTCAGACCCTGATTTGTAACTGTCGAAAACATAGCTTGCAGTGGGGGCCTTCCAGAAACGGAATGTTGGTTTTGATTCCATGCATTATTCAATTGAGGTGGTGACATCATGCCTTGGTAAGGGAATGAAAACCCTTCATTCAATAGTTGTCTGTGTACCAATTCTGATGTTGAAATAACATTGTTAGCGTTATTAGGTTTTCCATCGTTACTTCCTCCAATTGTTTGGAAATCAATGGTAGAAGTAGGAGTATTCGAAACAGAAAACGACCTTGATGCAAGGCTCTGATGACCGATAGGAGTACTAATAGCATCAGTTTGAAAAGAGCTGTCAACTTCGCTTTCTGGTGAACTACCGTCAATCTTGTGTTGGGTATCAGAAACAGTACCATAAGGAGAAATCCCAATGGGAATGTGAGATAAGGAGCCTCCAAATCCCAAATTATTGGGCGAAGTGGAAAATTGATGCAAAGACTGCAGTACATCAGGAGTGGCATCTTTCTTCACTCTGTCTTCTGGTAGCTCGAAGGGTTTCACTGAGAGAGCAAAGTCATTGGAGTTCATTTTTGCTTTAGAGTTCGCATTATTCATTCCAGCAGAGTTTGCATTATTATAAGAAAAAGGTGGTGCCGAAGATGGGACATAAGTATTCCTCCATGTTGAGGAAGGGGTATTTCCCTGAATAAATGCAGATTGGCCAAAAGGTCCCGCATTATTTGGAGTTAAAGAACCCTGATGCTGAAGACCATAGGGATAAAACTGTAAATTGAAATCCCCGTACACCAAAGGTTGGTTCTGGAGATGATTCTGATACTGAAGGCTAGTAGTGTCGACCGCATCCTTATCATCAGATGATCCATTGCTTTCTTTGCCGCCATTTGAGACGTCATAATCGTCGTCCAAGTCAAGATTCCCTAAAGCACCTACAAAATCCAAATCAGCTGAAGTCGGGGGATTTGCTGACATGGAAGGAGATAAATCTACTGCACCAGCTACCAAATCACCTGCACTTCCACCACTTACTGATCCAACCGGTGTAGCCTCAGATTTGAAAAAATTCGAAGTATCCTTGTGGAAAAATGAAGAACCTCCAACACTGCCGCCACCACTCATTGACACAGATCTAAGAGGATTCGACTTGCCATCTAACTTAGGAATAGCATGGACTTTGCCTAGCGTCTCGTTTTCTTTAACAGGTGAAGATATTGATGCAGATCGTGTTTGTAAGTTAGAAGTCATGATCTTTCCTTGAGTTTTACCTCTCCTTTATGCATTCAAATATGACTCTTATAGAAAGACAACGAAATGAAACTAAACACACTTAACACAAATCACTAAATAAACCTCGTCTTCTTTTTCTGATACACCAAAAGTATCACGAATTATACGTTATGAACAATATGACAACCAATAAAAAAAATGAACAATGACGAAATGATAACCAATTAATGTACACGGAAAATTCTATTCCTATTAAAACAGAATGCAAGGGTCTATTTGGTCGAGTTATATGGCAATTGTATCGTACCTGACTTACAGATAAGACTTAGTAATATCTGTCTCAGTGTGGTCTTTCGGGCAAAAAAATTGATCTGTTCCCTAGTCTCGATATTTTTTCTTTCATTTTGTGCTCTAGAGAATCTCGTCCTGTTGGGCACGTAACCTTAAAGATAAAACCCCAGGGGACAAACTACCGGGAATGTAACTAGGATGATGGTGTCCTATATAACTCTATACTGGCACCGAAATGCTCAAAGTTACTCGTTAAAAGTTACCTACAATTCGCCCCTATACTCTCCAGACCTAAAACATGCTTTTAGAGAGCCACTTAGTGACGAAAGTAATTCAACAGGAAGTGTATAGAGATAAAATGGCATCTTTTAGAAAGGTAACAAGCAAATGTCAAGTACAATACCCCAAGATTTGTTTGAAGATTGCTGTGCTGACCAAATGCTGCTCTAATATTCTTTTGAGGTGCACCAAGATTTCTTTTCGTTTCTTTTCTATGGTTGCGAGATTGCGACCTCCGCTAAGCTTACCCTTACATCATTACTTCACATTAAGAAGTGTAGACTAAGGCAGATAGACTAAGAGTTGAAACTCTACCATTCAAGCTCCTTCATTCAAAAGAGATAGAAAGATCAAATGTTGACTAGAATTAGGTAGTTCAATTTACTAAAACTTACATAATACTTCCTCTAACAACTTTCGGTTATTATTGCAAAAAAATCACAAATTTACCTTAAACGTGCTCAACCTTTTAATTTCCGACAACTTGCAAAAGCAATTCCACAGCTTTGACTAAATTGCATCGTCATCATATACTGAATCACTTACAACTGATTTTAAATACTATTATCTATTACTTTGACTATAATACGAAATTAAATATTAGAAACTAGACGGAATTGGGAATCAAAATGCGGATAAAAAAAAGAGTTAATAATAAATGAGTGTTTCGGTTGCAGTCAAGGAGCAAAAGCCCTCATTAGGAATAAAAAATCAATTAAAGTAAACTCAAGGCAGTAAGTTAACTTAAGTAGATTTTTCGTGTTGAGTAGATACTCTTTGCATGGAAACCAAGAAATCTTCGAGAGATCTGTGATCTCTAGAGGGAGTTGGTTTTTTACCGTTACAGAAGTTGTCGAAAGCAACGGATTGAGACATTAAGTAGTAAGCACCACCCATGCAACAGAATACACCGAAAGAAAAGATGTAGGTTCTGACAACGGTAACAATGTCAGTCCAGTTTTGTGACCACCAGCCGAATAAGGTGAACATAGTAGCAATGATATCAACAATCAAAACAGCACCAGACAATTGCCAAGATGGAATAGATGACCAGAATGGACCCTGGGCTCTAGTAATGAAAATTAACCAGTTCTCAGTCAAAGAGATTTGCAAGAACAAAACACCATCAATGGAACCGAAGTTTTGGATAATACCACCTCTGCTCATGAACATAGTGGTAAGAGTAATCCATGTACCAACAGCTAAGATGATACCCAAGATAATTGACATACCCCACAATCTTGGTAAGTTCCATTTAACAGGCTTTGGGTCGTATGGAGCGTTATCATAAGCAATAGCTAATGTGGCAACATCAGCGAAAATAGCAATGAAAACAACTAAATCGATATTCAAAGATCTATTCAAAATAGCAATCCACAAACCTAAGAAAATTTCCAAGTGCAATGATAAAGCGATACGGTAAACAACATAAGCGTACATTCTGTGGAAAATCTGTCTTGAGGTCTTCAAAGCATCAATAATAGCAGACAAACCTGGAGCCAAGAAAACAATATCAGCAGCAGAACGAGCAGCATCAGTAGCACCCTCGACAGCAATACCGGTATCAGCCTTTTTCAAAGATGGAGCGTCGTTAACACCATCACCAGTCATGGCAACCAAGAAACCTCTAGATTGTAAAATTTCAACAGCGTTATATTTATGTTGTGGGAAGACTTCAGCGAAACCATCAGCAGCTTCAACGAAATCAGCAATTTCAGAACCAGCCATGTCACCACCACCAGATAAACCTAATCTGTCAGCATCGTAAATGTTGGTACCTAAACCTAATTGACGACAAGTTTCCTTAGCAATACCAACGGCATCACCAGTCAACATCTTGACCTTCAAACCTAATTTCTTAGCTTCATGAACAGTGGCAGCAGTATCATCTCTTGGAGGATCCATACATGGCATAATACCCAAAATTTCCCAGTGACCTTCACCTCTCTTTCTGGCAACACCTAAAGATCTGAAACCTCTGGAAGCAAACTCAGCAACAGTGTTTTGATAGTTTTCGTGGACATCTTCTGGAATTGGGTGGTCATCCTCGACAGTCTTCAAGACGAACAATGGAGCACCCTTGACACAAACAATTCTTTCACCCTCTGGGGATTCCACAATAGCAGTAACCTTTTTTGAGACAGGATCGAAAGGTTGAAACTCAATAACCTTGTATTTAGTCAAAGCAGCCTTGGCTCTTGGGTAGTTAATCAAAGACTTCAAGAAAGCTTTATCAATAGCATCCAAACCCTTCTTCTTTCTAGAAGCAGCCAAACAAGCTGTCAACATCAAGTCATCTGGTTCAACACCTTCAACAGTGTATGGTTCGTGCAAAGACAACTTGTTCTTGGTCAAGGTACCGGTCTTATCGGAACATAAGATCTCAACACCAGCCAAAGATTCAATAGCAGACAATTTTTGAACAATAGCTTGCTTCTTAGCTAAGTAAGCAGCACCAACAGCCATAGTGGTGGTAACGACAGCTGGTAAACCGACTGGAACACCAATAATGGTGATTGCTAAAGTGTATCTCAAAATGGCAACAATTCTAACGGTACGGTACAAACAAGCAACCCAGACAACTAACAAAGTAACAATGACCAAGACCAATAAAATCGTACCAATACCGTTCAAAACTTCAGTGAAATGACCTGTACCACCACCAGCTTTGTTAACCAAAGCAGCAGCTCTACCAACGAAGGTAGAATCACCAGTAGCAGAAACAACCATAAAAGCTTCACCAGTTTTAACGGTAGATGATGAGTAACAAGCGTCAGCGTGTCTCTTGTCAACGGCTAAAGATTCACCGGTGATAGCAGATTGATCAACTTGTAACAAACAGTCCTCAGATACAATAGTACCATCAGCTGGGATAACAGTACCATCTTCTAATTGCAAGATATCACCTGGAACAATTTCATTAGCTCCAACTTCAACTAAAGAACCATTTCTGATAACAAAAGCAGAATTAGCTAAAGTTTTCTTCAATTCATCGACAATGGAACCGGCTTGGTATTCTTGAACGAAACCGACGAAAGCGTTCAACATCAATAAACCACAGATAACACCGAAATCGACCCAATCTTCCAAACCAGCAGCTAAAATAGCGGCACCTTCCATAACGAATTGAATTGGACCGACGAAGAACATGATGAATTTCAAAACCAAATTCTCCTTTTCTTCAGACATTTGATTCAAACCATACTTCTTTCTTCTCTTAGAGACCTCATCATCAGTTAAACCTGTTGCTGGGTCTGTCTTCAACAATTCCTCAGGAACTTGTTTAAAAGAACCAGTACCTTGCTCCTCCTCATCTTCGTCATCATCTGCAAGACCGTGATGAGATTGCAAATCTTCGATCAATTGATCAATGTCCTCATCTTCGTCATCAGAGACATTCTTTTCAGCGTCCTTCTTTTCGACGGTAGGCTGGGTAGCACTCATCTTTATAAAAGTTTTAAAGAGTCAGTTTAAACACTAATCCGCAAAGCAGTATTCCTTGGAACAGCAAATAATGTTGGCTATCTAATGCAAGAGGTAGATAGAACCAATGTTTAACTAACTTCTAATTCCTTTTAGTTCAAAGAGAATCTATTTAGCATGAAATTTTTTACAGTAGGGATATTCCCATTTATATACCTTGATGGCTCTAGTAAGCATGAATTTCGTCCACTTCCCTTTCTTCCAATAAAGATAGCGACTTGAGGGAATTTTTCACCCATTGAGTTTGTATACAAACAAGCGAATTGGGAAACTGCCCATCAAAACAGATGAGGAAAAAGCAAAGTTTCCTGTCTGGAAGCAAAATTATTGTGCGTGCCGATGAGTACCGACAGCAGGCTACAGGAAAATATGTGTCCGGAATGTCCGATAAGACTACCGATATGCAAGTGTTGCATAAAATATAAACAGTGATATCACTAATTGCATTGGGCTGTTAGCAGGGGAGTTACTTATCTTGATACATGTAGTCGTAAGTTCGTGCAAAATACCGGTCGGCGAACTGCCGGAAAAGATTGCCCTCGTAGACATTCTCTTCTTTCACGGAGTGGTCGGCTGGCTAATCCATTTGGTTGGTGGGACCTTTCGTGTCGGGACTCAGGAAGGGAATTCTTTTTAACTATTCATAAAGTGCAGGATATAGAACACGGGAAGTCTTATTTGCGACGATTTTCCTCTTGTATCCGTTCCAGGGAAACCGAAATCTGCTATTCTGCCGATTAAGAAAGGTTGGAGCATTTAACGCCCGCTTTCAGGCACACCATCTTATTACGCTAACTTCTACTCGTCGGAGAGTATGTGCAGGCGAATACCAGCTCCCGTAAATCAGCCGCTAGGCAGCCGCTGGTACTAGGCACTTTTTGTTAGTACTAGCCGGCCGGCCTTGGCTCATAGTCTTTAGGATGAACCCAGCAAACTTGAAAGGCTGGTCCATAAAGTGTGGAGGCGCCTGGGAGTTTAACGGATTTAATGTGTATTATCCGCTAATTTAATGTGCTAGAGTATCCTGCTAGTCTGTCAAATTTCCCTTTTGCTATCAGCAATATAGCTATTCGCTACGCCAGCTACCATCTTGGTAGTCTACAATATATCTACGTGTGGTAGGTTGCCTATTATGGATCCGTTGTTTTGTTTATTATGCTTCTTCCATACATTCGGAGGCTAGTGTATAATATCTACGGCGGAACTATTGAATGGCATTATGTTTAAGTGGATTATATTTGCAATTATTCAAGACAATATACCGTTTGCCGGTGATGCTCGCTCAAGACCCTGGCGTTCGGGTTATATCCCTCGCCTAACGGGCAACGGCAACGGCTGGCTATATGTAGTGAGCGATTAAAATGCGGTGTGTTTCAGCGGAAACTCGACCTATTTCGCGGGAATGTGTAACGGGCTAGCCATGACAGGCTGAAAGCCGACCGATATCAATTAAATTTTTGTTCAAGCCAGTTTCGGTTGCCTAAGTCTCCACTTTAATGGCCGGAACACTTTAAATATCATGTAGAGCGTGCTTCCGATGAACCTAAAGGCTGCTAATCCAGCAACAACCCACAAAATTACTGTTAAAAAGACTGTGGAGTTTCCTCCAATTGATCCGTCTTTATTTTCCAGCGAAAGGCTATCATTAGCCAATGTAGAGACTCCAAAAGTTTCCAAAACTATAGCTATGAGAATGACATTTGTCAAGAGCCATACTAAGACTGTCACCGTTCTTACAAATGCATAATACGCGTCGTCTTTTTCTTTCTTATCGTTGATTCTTGTAGGTTGAACCGGAATAGTTCGCAAGTTTTCCAAGGCATTATTGTACGCATCGTTCAATTCTTGGGCGTCACCCGGAGCCACCATAACCAATTCATCCTTCCGATGGCCAGTAGACCTGGCTGAACCCAAGTCTCTAGGGTTGTCAATTTGCCTGGTACCCCAAGATATATCGTGGATGTTGCAAAATGAGTAGATATTGAGCACATTGATGTAAGACGGGGAGAGAGCAAGATATTGGGCAAAAGACGTGAACATAAAACTCGGCTCACCGTACATGAATGCTCCGATGAAATATAGAAGATAAGTTGAAGCGACAGACACGACTAAGTCTCTGAATTTGTAGTTAGTCATTAGCATGGAGGCGACGAAGTCATTTTCGTGATCTTTTATGACTGAATACATCGTATGGACTGCCAAGTAAATAGTTGCAAATATCATGTATGCCATTAAAATCGCAAAGATCACAGATATCGCCAAATAGAACTTCTTCGTGCCTCGCGGAGTATTACCAAATGCCAAAACAAAAGTGCAGACCAATGATCCTAAGTAGACCCATAGACAGATAACCGAGATGTATTTTCCAGCATCGAAATTCATATCATCCGCTCCAACGTTTGCGGTTAAAATTCTAAAGACAAGAAAAAAAGAAGCCATTGAGAACCAAGACACCAACAAGGTCACTAATTGGTAATAGAATTCTAATTGTAAAAAAAGCTTTCTGAGCAAGGAATGGTTCGATTTCCATATCTTAGTCCAATGCACAACCGCATATGCAGCTGCGAAAAGTGAACCATTGAGCCACCTTCTTCTCTGCAATACAAAATCGTCTATTTTGTTAGGAGCATCAGTTTCAGCTTTAGCCTCATTCACATATCTCAAGACATAGCTATGATGCTTCTTCGCAACAAGTTCAAAACACAAGATTCTGTCTTCCGCTAAATACATATTTGATGCAAAAATTCCTGCTTCATGATAGTTCCTTTCTTTCAACTCTTTTTCATCATCATCATCATCATTTCCAACCTTATTGTCCTGATGCAAAAATTCTCCTTTAAAGTATTTCTCTAATGGCCCTTTTCCATCGACGTTCAAAAGAGCCTCGTATCTATAAGCAGAAAATGCACCTGGAAGAACAGATATGAAGCCAAAAACGGATTCCATAGGCTTATCTAAAATATTAGCAATTTTATATTCGAAATTCTGTGCCGCTACCAAAGGATTTCTAAGCTCTCTCTTGCCTTGACCGAGAGCTATCTGAATTTCCCCACAAGCTCCCGCAACACTGGGGTCACGGAATGATTTCCAAAGATGATAAAATGAGTCGTATGCTGGCATGGTTCCACAATCGAGTAAAATGACAACCCGTGGCTTGATTATAGGTGCAAATGATTGAAAGCACCATCTATGAGAATTGATCTTTCTGCCATTCTTTTCCTTCAAGCAAAAAATGATCTGAACGGGTGAAGAGTTTGAGCATAAATGAACCCTCTCATTGATCCTATCAATCCCAACTGTCGTTGTATATTCATAAATATGTGCCTTCACCTTCTTTTCATTGATCTTTGACTTCGCATAACCATCTTGGTACACTCCCAAGGCAGCAAGCAAATTTTGAGACCTCTCATCAAAAGCTGCTCTACCATCACTAACGATGGTAACAACTACTCTTTTCCATGAATCTTCACCCCAAGTAGGATCCCGTCTTCTAGTAAGATTTTCGATATTATCAAAAATTCCTTTTAAAGTTCTTGCTAATGAGAGCTCATCTTCGTTATACATGGTAACACATACCATTATTTCGGTTTCTCTAGGGGGAGAATATAAACCTTGTCTGAGATTATAACCATAGGTCATGAAGTTGGAAGGACCACATATACATGCAGTGTATCTCAAAAGTGACATTTCTTTTCCGCCGTCTGTAATCAGACCACCATAGTTGTTGAACAATGTTTCAGGAACAGGAGCATCAATGATATAATTACCGTTGACTAACCTTGCCTTTTTGACGGTTTTCGTGTAGCGCAAAGCTGGTTTGTAGTCATCGTCGTCATTATCATCATATGTTTGCTTTTCCTCTATCTTTCCATCTTTACTTTTCTTGGTTCCAGATCTCCTGATGGTAGCACGCCTCACTATATCTTCGCCAGTTTCAGAATACAAAGATGCATCGTCGCCAAACGGGTCCATGTCATCATCGATATCTTCTAACGGATTAATGATATAATCTTCTCCACTATGCGTCAAAGGAGGGCCACAGTCTTGGTACGACTGAGGTCTATATGATGGACCACTATAAGGAGAATATGGAGAGTACAGTGTGTAGTCATTTCTTCTAGGGCTGTAAACATTTTCAGGAAAGTCTAGATCGTTTCGACTATTAGATTTGCTGTTCTGACCTGGTAACGTATTCAACGACAGCGAACCGCAATACTCATAAGCGTGTTCATCATCAAACTTGCTGCTGAATGTGGAGCTTGTTTGATGTCTGTTGTGGGAAAAGGGAGTCTCCAACGTTTCAGCGCTGTTCGCAAAACGTTGAGGTGGAGGAGATGCTAACAGAAACTGCTCTCCCACATATCCACCAGGATAAATTGAATTCCTGGGCACCGGAGTAGTGGAGTGCCTTGGATTAGAGTAAGATGCATACCCTTCATAGCCTACTGGGTTTTGCGGAATTTCACCCAGAAAGAGGTCATCATCGTCACTACCACCATGATCAATTGTGTTCACCATTTTGTTCTGACTTCCTATGAAGATACAGTATTTATTCTGAAGTTGTTATGATATTCGAATCGTTCCTTGAAGACTGTTGAGAAATCTGGAAATGACTTTTGCTTTTGGAACAAAGTATCTCGAAGCGTGGCCCTCTCTCTTAAATGATCTTCAAGTTTCCTGGGAATATGTTGCAATTCTTTTGTCTATTTCTCTGTACCTGAAGACCCTTGAATCAATAGAAGATTCCTAAGCCAACTTCAGTGGTAATCTACGATCCAGGAATACACCGTGCTCTTTACTAATACAGTAGAAATTAGTCTGAAATTTTTCAGATTCTATATTTGGGGCAATTCTACGTGATACTATTTACGTTATGACCGAATTGGGATCGGATATGGAACCTTTCAAATCGAGGCTTGCTGTGTGCAAGACAGCACTGGCCATGCTAGCCACAGGGTTCAAAGAAGAGTAAAAGCTCCTAAGTATGAGTTTGTCCCACATGAGAGGCATAAAATTGAGTTGAGAATCATTGAACGAGCCTTTTGTGTTTGCTATTGAGTTTTAAGAGAAAGTAAACCGCAAAAATCTGGAGCACAGATGGCTGAGTGTGGAACCGGCTCTTTTTATCTACACCGGGTAAATGGTGCATGCCCATGGATTTGAACTCACTATGTGAATCTTATTTATAATGTTATTATACTAGTTACAATGACTACAAGGAGATGAATAGAGTAAAATTATAACCTTTACTTTTTTGCTTCGCATAAAACACAGCTTTTAGATTTCGAGAAACCTAAGTTCTCTAAGCAGCTCAAGTGATAACCATGAGCACATTTGAAAAAAATTAGAGAACAAGTATGATAGCGATTCAGGATATCTAATGGATTTTCATTGTGAATCAACATCCATCGCCTACATTCCCAAGCATCGTAATGCTTGTCGCTAATTTCACTTCCCCATATAATTTTCTCACACGATGCGCAGGTCTTGTTCCTGATATCCCAGCCCCTGATTTCGTCACTTTTCACAACCTCCATGCTTTTGTAGATGCTTTCATCTAGCATTTTTAATGAGATGTCAAGTGATTCGCTCTCGTAGTAGTAAGATAAAAATACATCCTGTAAAATGTCTCTAACGTTTGCCAACAAAGCAGGGCTTTGCGAAGAACCTTCCAAAAACCGATTGAAAACCGTAAGGAATGATTTTTCCTTTTGATCGGCCAAATTGAGCTTTGCATCACTGATTCGCTTGAAACATGAGTGAATGCATTCATTAAAGAACTCTTTGTTGTCGTTAGTTTCACTATTTGCTAATGTAACCAATGCTCGAATCAATTCCAACCACATTGACTCGTTTAAAGATAAACCTTCATCCTCTGTCATAACGTAAGTCTCCGGCTCCTCACAGTCATCCATGGCCAACTCTAACAATCGTCTGATTTTATTTTTTAAGTGAGAAGCAATTTTTACCTCTCGAGACATTTTTTTTATAGCATCAATTAAATTTTTTAAAGCTTCCTCATACTCCAGTTGGTAAATCAAAATCTCATATAAGCCTTCAATCGCGTGTGGGTCTTTTCTCAAAACTTTAGTGACATTGTTAAGCTCTTTTTGGTCCCTAGCAAGGAATTCAAGGAATTTTTTAAGGAATTTTACATTTCTTGGATCGTTTGTGATTGCCCGACATATAAACTTAGGATATTGAGGTTCAAGATCCAGTACAGGCTTGACATCATAGTAGTTTAAAATACACTTTAAGTAGTTTTGGACAACGTCTTCTTCCTTAACATCTAAAATTTTCTCATGTAATATGGGATTGAATTCTGAAATCGTATGTGCAAAAACCTCAGTATCAATTGAGGCCATTTGAGTGAAATTGGATTTAATGAAGGAATCCAAACTTAGTCTTTCAATATTACTAATAGGTTTTTGAAAAGTAGAGCTAAGAACGGATTTGAAAGATTCAACTAGATCCTCATTATGTTCATTACTTGATATTTTCTCTAACCATATTTCTATGGCCTTTGCTCTCCTGCCCTCTGAAGAATATAAACTTATTAAAACATCATAAAATTTGGCAGCTTTCAACATTTCTAGAAATGATGGTGTATCATTATCCTTATCGTAGAAAGGTAATATACACTGTAATGCTAACTCCCGATCTTGTTTATTGTTAATATCGTGATTTTCACACAAAAGACCAACAACCTTTTCAACAACTGATTCAGATAACCTAATAAATTGAGGATATTTGGGATAATTTCTTGCAATAAATATGGCTAGTTGACACCAATCATCATCCGAGAAGTTGGCCTCTTCGAATACGTCTAGTAATGCTTCAGTGATATATTGTCGACTTAAAATCTGATCATCATTTAAGAAACTGTCCTCAAAAAATTCGTTCAATGTAGATAGCATTTCAAAAGAGTTATATTTCAAAAGGTGCCGCAAATAAGGAAAGATACTGTCTCCCACTAAACTTTTCAACCCTTGGTTTGAAGATTCTTTCACAGTATTGCTGAATAACACGTTGCAGATACTTCTCTTACCCATTTCTTCATTTTGAAAATCAATAAAACCATCCGTTGGGTATTGTCTCCCAGTCAATACGAATGACATGTACGTGTACATCTTAGCGCAGTCTTCTATTTTCGTATCAATAAGGGAATCGTTTATGAAATCGATTAACGGCGTTTCATAGTCATTTAATAATTTATTCCAAATGTAAACGAGACAGTCTTTCAAATGATATTTGGAGCACAACAGAATAGTAAAATCTATATCCAATGATCCCAAGTCTAAAATGCAAAGCATTTGTGTTAATATATCTCCTCCTTGCATTTCAACGTAAGAATCTACTAAGCTCTTTAACACTGTTGGGGGAAGAACGGAAATATTACCTGATAAAATATAAGGTTCCAATATTTCAAAAAATAAGGCTGTGTCATTAAAAGCATCGAAGAGCAGCTCGATTATGGCTGAATATTCTTCAGAGGGGAATTCTTTCGATAATGAACTAGTAATATCGAAATACAAAGTCAAAAACTTCTGTTGGTCACTGCTACCGTCAGCGAATAGATGACTAATCGATTCACTCATTATTTGCACCAAATATGGTTTCATTAGTTTACGTCTTAAATGAGATCCTTCTGGTAGTCCAATTAATATATTTTTCCCCTGGCTATTAGAATTGAAATATTCACTTGCAGTTATCATGGCTCCAGAATAATCCCCCTCAGATAAGAGATGTATTAGCCTGTCCGCCCAGTTTAAAGGTCTGCCTATAGATATTCTCTTGTCCAGACCCATTCCCGTCATTAGCATAATTTTATATTTTAAAACCTTGATTACGTTGTCATAATTTAAAGTACTCGAGTTTCCAGAAACTAGGAGACTTTGATGACCATTAATATTAGGAAGACGCTGTTCGCCAATCAATGTCAATGAGTAATCTGCATCCGAAGTAGAATAATGGAGAATGAGTATATGCATATCTTGGTCTTTTTGTACGAAAGCACATAATAAGTAGGAGCTCAACCATTTCACGTTCAAAATAATACCAGTTTCCGGGGGGCAGACCCATGAGCACGTTTTCAGTATAGGTAATTTCGTTACGGCCCTATCTTTGTCTTTGAGTTCCGATATTACAGAGTATAAGTTCTTGGGGAGACAATTGTTCTTCACTTCTAATATCGTTAATACGTTCAGCCATGCGTATGCTAACCTCGCATTGATAAGTCTGCCACTCTTTTCTAAAGCAGGAAACCAATTTAAACACACAGAAAACTTAGAGGCGTCTGAAACCTGTTTAGGTCTTCTAACATTAAAATGGTTAACAATGTTCAAATTTTTTGGATCATTCAAGGATAATAAAGAAAATATTGATAGTGTATTTCCTTTTATAACTGCTAAAAGACAGATTTGATCTGTTATTTGATGAGATGATCCTAACGGAAGTAACTCGCATGCTTTAATCGAGTTCTTGGCATCTTTAGAGTTGATATCGTTTGAACCGAGCACCTTCTGAGATACAAAGTACTTCCGCAAGAACTTTTTGAAGCCATTGCTATAGAGCACTAATCCTGAAACATCAGTTGACAATATTTGAAAATTCAGGGTATTAAGAAAATTAATTGAAGATATTGGTATTCCTATCAAATGACCTTGTAATTTTTCCGTGTATCTCTGCTCTATTGTTATGGGTTTAAGAACAAAATATGGATGCGATGTTTCATTGGTAAGTTCTGAACCAACAGATGATAGGTCCCATATTACTATCTGGCCACTGGTATATCCAGCAGCTACAAAAGAGGAATCACCTGAGATTGCTAAACAAGTAAGCTGCATTCTTTCCTGAGCACTATCCTTTCCATTCTCTTCAGATTTCAAGACAAATTCTATTTCCTGGTGGTAGCTGAAGCCTATCACGTACCCTCTTTCCGTGCCTATAACAATGTGTATTGGTGAAGGCTGAATATATACACAAGGGCCATACTTTCTCAAAAATTCAGGAGAGCTGATTATATTCGATATCAGCTGAGCATCTGTCCACCTAATGAAAGGACCCTCTAGTGAATCACTAGAGTTCGAAATATGGGAACTCTTTATATGAGATCTTTGAGATTTTAAAATTAAGCTAAGTTTTGTCTGAGCTCTGTCATCAAACCTCTGTTTAATTATTGGTGCGGATAACGATTCGCTTGAATCTAAACTTCGTGGAGGTGTCACGATACTATCATTGGTTAACTCAAATAATCTATCACGGCCAGAATTAAGTATCCCGTCTCCTATAGACATAACTGTTGACTCCTATTTAGGCAAAACCTTATCATTTACATTATTTAATTTGAAATACGTACCGACCTGTATAAAAATATTGAAGGGTAGCTAAAGCTGTTTTCAAAAAGATGCTAAAGATAATGCAATATGAAGATGAAGAGTATATCTAGCTATCACTCAAAGTAGAATACTTTATAATTAGTCTACCTTTGTTTTCGAAAATATTCTCAGGAACTTAAATAGTTGATAAATGCCGATCACAAACAAAGCGCCAAGTTGGACAATCAGCCATCTGACAACGCCTTCACATGTCTCTTCAGAAAGATCTCTGAAAGATTCTTCCTTTTGCTTAATAAACTGTTGCTCACTTCTGATGTCGGTGAGCTTATCATTCAAACGCTTCACTTGATCTGTTAATGATTTAACTTTATGTTTATGCTTCACATCGAATATCTGGCCATCACCAACGACAAAATCAATAGATATTCGTGCTTCTTCAAACCTCAGGTCCAATCTTGCCGATTCGTCTTTCTTTGAGTAGCCATACCACGATTTTGATAGAAAGCTTCTTGGTGTCAAACATATTCTATGTTCTCCGTCTTCTAATGCACTATAAACAAATTGACCGCTTGAAGAACCCCTTTGGTGAACCATTCTATGATTTGAGTTAAACACCTCTTCAACGTCAATTAGTATACCCGTGTTGAGCTTATCCCGTGGTGATTGAAATTCGTCGCTATCCGGGTCCCGAATTTCCATCTTAAATCTTCCAATTAGTAAAGTTCCTTGCCTAAGTTCTCTATAGAAGCATCTCCTGGCGCCTGCTTGGGAATAAAAATGTACAAAGCCTTCTATTTCCACGACATAGCATGTTAGCACTATAATCAAGCTTATTAAATGCTTTATTTTAACTTGTAGCTTCATGTAAGTTTTCCAAATATGAGTTGGGACGTAGGAAGTAACTTATAGTTTCTTACGATCCCTTAATTACACTTCAATGTGTATATCTTACGCCTATTGTCTATTAATCATTAAAGGTAAAGAAAAAGATATGAAAACGTCAACATCTCATTACCGCGTTGTCATTTTTATGTTAGAAAGTCATCTTTATGAAGATATCAATTTGATGCTATGAATTTATCGCTACAGGATCCCTTTGCAGTAGCTAAGGAATATCCTGATACCTTGACGAATACTCTACAATATGGACATTCAGTTGTGATTCAGTTTAATCAAAAAGGAGACTATTTGGCATCTGGTTTGAGTGATGGTTCAATTATTATATATGATTTAGCTACGAATGGAGGAGTAATAGCACATTTGTACAAGGGCGGTCATATAAGACCCGTGACATCACTTGGATGGTCCAAATGTGGTCGTTACTTATTATCTTCATCACAAGACTGGACATGCAAATTATGGGATTTGAGTAAAGTAAATCACGACCAGGATTCAGCAGTTATTCGAAATGTGAGATTTGATGGGCCAATATGGATGGCTTCGATTCATCCAACTGATACCTTCAAGTTTACTGCTTCGTTGTTTGATGATTTGCCTGTATTTGTCGATATGACGAACGAGAGCGATATCAAGGTCACTAGGATGACAACAGCACCGAAAGTGGCCCATAGAGAACCAAATGGAGATGCTGTTGAAGACGAAGAGGAGAGTACTAGAAAGAAACGTAAGAAAGATAAGCATATGACATTGGTCTGTATTTTTACACCTAATGATGGCACATATATTTTTTCTGGTACCAATCAAGGATGGATAAATATATTCTTGACTGACACCTTAGAACTCATTCATTCAATCAAAATATGTAATTCAAACATTAAAAATCTAGTGATTTCTTCCAATGGACGGAAGTTGGCAGTCAATTCCTCCGACAGAATTATTCGCCAGATTAATTTACCAGATCTTATCAATATAGAAACACCTGAGCAATGGGATTTTGAAGTTGAACACAAATATCAAGATGTTGTTAATAGGTTACAGTGGAACTCTGTATCATTTAATCATAATGCTGAATTCTTGATTGCCTCTACCTTTGGTCAATCCTCTCATGATCTTTATATGTGGGAAACTTCACTAGGATCACTCATAAAAATCTTAGAGGGAAGTAATGAGGAATTAGTTGATGTGAAATGGAATTATCCTAGATGTACTATAGGATCAGTGGGCCTTGACTCCGGTACAATATACCTTTGGCTGGTACAATTCCCTCCTAAGTGGAGCGCTCTAGCTCCAGATTTCGTTGAAATTGAGGAAAACATAGAGTACGAGGAGAAGGAGGATGAGTTCGACGTTATTGATGAATATGACCTAAACAAAAAAAGACTAGAAGTCGAGGATTTGCTGGTTGATGTCGTAACCAGAGAACCTGTCGATGCGAGAGGTTTTGAAATCACCCTGGAGTCTTTCGTGATTCCAATCAATTACGAAGTTTCATTTTTTGAATGACCAGACTTTGTGTGCAACACCTTCTAATGTAAATATATAGCTACGTGTACTAATAGAACCTAATAGTAATATCATTTCGTTATTGCAACACTTTTACACGTCGTCCTGTATATACTGTCTATTGAATTTAATTAAGCGGATGAAAAAAAAAACCAAAACAAATTTCTCTGTTTTGTAAACAAAAGAGGGTTAAACAACCAAAAGTCAAACGTTACAGACTTATAAGATATTTGGCGACTTATAGTCAATACCGGATCCATAAGCAACGTGAATAAGGAGAAAGTGGGATTTTGGGATCATATCTTGAGGATTATTGCTTAGAATATCAATTGCTAGTCAACGTTGAAGTAATCGTGTTGAGTGAATTTCGCTAATACTTATTGGTATTTACGTCCAAAAAAAAAAAAACGTTATTTAGTACACGAGACGAATATAAGCTTAAGATATTCACTCGTTTTTAGGGTGACTTCCTGAGAGAAAGTGAAGGTGATTAATTTGCTAGTATTACTATTGGTAAAGGAGCCCTTTATCGAAATAAGACATCCGCTACGATCAAAGTCAATTTGCTATTGCATTTAAGCTATTTAACCACTTCAACCAATTAGTTTGACCGCCATGTCAGCCACGCCTCGAAAGCGGAGTATCCATGTGGAAGATGATCTACCGTCATTTGATGATCCCACGGAGATGGTAAACGCTGTAATATCAACCTTACAAAAGCCTGATGATGAAACTAATGTGTCGATGACATATTCTAATGATAAAAATTTGGCAACGGAAGTTCAGGCCTATGCTAAAATTGCCGGGCAAAATTGGACATTTTATGTTAAGTCACTTGCTGTAACCATTGGTAGGAACACAGATAATCAAAATGGCTCCAGTGGCACAGTCGATATTGACTTGGGCCCGGCAAAAGTTGTCTCAAGACAACATGCATCAATCATTTATAATTTGGACTTAAGATGTTGGGAATTGAAAGTGCTTGGTAGAAATGGAGCACGAATTGATGGTCAAAAAACACCAATTGGTGGTTCATCAGCTTCTCCATTACACTCAGGTGCTATTTTGGATATTGGTGGCACTCAAATGATGTTTATTTTACCTGATTCACCTCCAAATATCCTGCAAAAAGTTCTAGCTCAATGCTTGGCCAAATATAAGAAATCTAAAAAGTTTTCCTCCAACTATCCCCAAAATTCAATTCCCAACAATGGTTCTCAAGTTAAGAGCTTTCAAATGTTCGATAAAGCTCAACTTACTCAATCCCCGTCGTCTGCTTCGGCGACCTCTTTGCAAAACAATTTGGACCAGGATTTATCAAAGGAAGATGCGAAAGATATCAAACCTCCCTACTCCTATGCTACAATGATAACTCAGTCTATTTTATCCAATGGTGAGGGCGTAATGTCATTATCAGAAATATATAACTGGATTTCGTCACACTATGCTTATTATAAGTATTCCAAAACCGGTTGGCAAAATTCTATCAGACATAATTTATCCTTGAACAAAGCATTCGAAAAAGTGCCTAGAAGACCGAATGAGCCTGGTAAAGGAATGAAATGGCGAATCAGTGAATCATACAAAGAAGATTTTTTGAATAAAATCCAAAGTGGTTCTCTTCTGAAGACTCGTAGAGGCTCTTCTGTCTCTAGACAGCTTCAACTACATTTAGCGACATACCTGCAGTTACCCGAGTCACAAAGGTACATTAACAAAGAAGAAATTCAAGATTTTGATCATCAAAGGAACAGTTCATTACCAAAATTTGGTCAACTGATTCAATATTCCAATGGTCCTTCTAACTTGCCTCAGGCGAACCCTCTTTCTTACATTTCCAATCAACCAGGAAATGGTTATTTTAATCCTCCTCGTTCGTATGGCTTTCAGCACCCTCAATCTCAGTTAATGTACGGTAATCCGTTAATTCAACAGCAGCAGCAGCAGCAGCAGCAGCCTCAAAGTCAACCTCAAAGTCAACCTCAACCTCAACCTCAACCTCAACCTCAGCAACAGCAACAGCAACAGCACCAACCTCAGCAACATCAACAACAGCAACAGCCTGCATCGCAGCAGCTCTTGGGCTCTTTGGGGGGTAACAAACCAGAGCTCTCTTCGCCAATCAGACAATTAGGCGAATTGAATGGCGCTACCCCTAAGTTGCCTAAGGTTGTTGGTAACCATTTATTCAACTTACCACCGCCGCCACCTGCTCCAAACCATCATATGGGAAATTCTGCACCTCAGGCGCACCATCCTCGCTCAAACTCGCTGATTACTCAAGTAAATGAAAGCAATCAGAACTATTCTTCAGGTAATAACACTCACACTAGTGAATCTGGAAATTCGAATTCTACCGCCCCAAGCACAAATTCTGATATGGTTATGGGATTTACAAGCCCCAAAAAGATAATTCCACTTGAAGCATTCACACCTGAGCGTGGTTCAAAACCTTCGGGCTCAAGTAAATTAAATGTTCCTGGTGGTGTCAATACTAATCAGTCTTCTCCTGCCTTTTGGAACTTTGTACAGTTCAGCACCCCTAATGGCCAGACTCCCTTGAGAAAAAATAGCGATGAGCTGAACGATCATGGTAGTCCTACTTTAAGTAGAAAAGTACATTCGAAAGATGATATTACGAAGGGTTCTCCTCTTCGGCTTCAGAGTGAGGATAAAGAGGCTGATAGCAGTAGCATAGAAATCAGCAGGGAGCGTTCTGAACTAAAGAATGGTGAGGTTGCAAGTTGAGATATGATACCGTCACTTTCGTGACAAAATAAGATTCTTTTCCATCCCTCGCAAGTACTTCCTATCATACTAATCTGGTTTTGAATGGAAATAATACTCATGGAAGAAAGTCAATGGCTGCACCAGTATCTTTTTGTTTTGTTTTATCACCAAAAAATTTTTTTTTTTAAGTTTGGTCGCCACCGAGCCATTCGATCATTCATTCATTCATTCATTATTCACTCATACATTCATTTTTTCATTTATCCATCTATTCATTTATTTATGAACATTCAGTCGTGTGCTCATTTATTTGTTTACTCATCTGGTATATGCACTTTTACATTCAACAGCTTATTCATAAGATTAGGTTTTCAGCATGATATATACATGTGTATCTGATATTTCTATTCACGAAAATTAATTTATTTGAATGCTAATGTAGAATCTATATTCTTAATTAAAAAGAGGATCTGACTCTAAGGTCGGAGATTTTTCGTTCTATATCCTTCGGAGTTCTATCTAACTCGTTCGCAAGCTTTATTTTGATAGATATAGGCAACTGGTAAAATTGTTCAATTAAATCGCCGTCAATTACGTTCTTGACGGGATTATAGTACCCTCTAAACTTCAAATGATCTTTTCCCAATGTATTGTATCCATTGTTGTTCTTATCAAAATCTTGGAAATTGTAATCAAAGTATCGTTTTATCGACAATTCTAAATCAGATAAGAACTCAATCTCTTGCTTGGTGGCTATTGGCACTAATGCACCCACACTACCTTGTATACCAGTATAAATTATAACCTCTGCACCACCAGCACCTAACTGGCTCTTCATTAAAGACGTTGGGACATCTTGAATAAAAAATTCACATAAGTTCCTCACTCTTGAGCCTGATGCATTTAAGAAAGGCTCTTGGTACTTGATCCAGTCTTCATTACTTTGTTCTGAAACTCTTTCCGGTAATCTAGAAACGAAAAAGTTACCGAATTTGTCACCTCCAATTATAGTATCATAATCAAGGGTAGCTAGTGCCGTTATTTTTCTTTTCATAATATCATCAGCAAATGGTATGAATTCATTCTCCTTTGAATCGAATTTTAAAAATGTAGTGGAATAATCAGAATCTCCAACTACAACTCTATCACCACCTTGATGGACTATTTTGACAATATTTTTAAGATGGTCAATAGTTGAAGAACTTTTTCGCAACAACTGCTTCTTTCCTAAGTCATATAGACGCAAATGATTGCCCATTCCTACCAAGACCTTACCTTGAAATGGAATAATAACCTTAGGTAGAATATCAAGGTCCGTCTTATGTTTAAATTGTAGTTTATTATTCTTTTGAACCATAAATGTATAGAAATATGTTTCTTCAAAAGAATTGGATAACACAGTGTACTTCTTTGCCATGCCAATTATAAGATAGCTTTCACTGGAACTGAATTGAACCAATGAAATTGCCATCGCAGTTTCTCCATCAGAAAACTCTATTGATTGTCGAATGTCTTGGTTTACAAAATCAACCACTTGAAGAGATGATGAAGACGAATTTAAAGCTTTGGGATACCCAAAAGCGTCATAGTAATCTTTATCAATCATCGTATCTTCCTGATCAAGGGCATCCAAATTACTAGCCCTGTATGGGCTTTTGGTACCAAATTCTGTTTCGATCACATAAATTAGCTTTCTCTTATCATCGACGACCATCTTGCGTGGACTGTATCTTAATTTGATCTTCTTGATGTGATATTCGTTGTTGAAGTTGAAAGTCTCATCCTGGGAACCAAGCGTAAATATCACTAAATTAAGTCCAAGTAAACCGACAATAGCTGTCCCACCGAGGTCCTCAGACTCGAAAGACGCGCCGCTAAATATTTCAATATCAAGTAATGGTGTTAAATTAAACTCCCCTTTATCAAAATATCCAATCCATGGTTTGGAAGACAATGCTAGTGTTGCAAGACCCACTGGTGTTTTGACAAGGGACAACTTCACTGGCCTAGTCCCTAAATAGCGAACACGAGTGTCTGAAAGCTTTCCTGAGAATTCATCAAGACTTGTTCTAACAAATAGTCCATTTTGCATACCAATAAGAACCGAAGTAGAATTCTGATCTGGCATCATTATAATAGACGTACTTGGCGCAGAAAGAACTTGAAAAGATATGATTTCGAGGCAGTTGTGTTGCTGTAATGAAATAACCTGAATTGTTTCGTCAGAGCATCCAATAATTGCAAATGAACTCAACTTTTGGTCATTAAATACTGCAAGTGCAGTTATTGCACCTGACATTTCGAGTTTATCTTGATACTCTATTAATTGGTCGTCAACGGGGTCAACCGCAAAATAACAGATCTCTCGATTAGATAACGCAATCAAAATTTGCCCATTATTAGAGCAGGCATGTAATATTTTAATACCTGCGGGAGGATACCAGTCAGTCACCTTTTTATCTTTTTCTCCTTCATCCATACTATTGTGCTTAATATGCCTGACGCCGTTAGTATAAACTTGAACTACTGAAGATCTACCCACCTGTTGAACAGCTATAGTTGGCTCGTTATCAACAAACTTAGAATCCATAACCTCCTCCACTACTTCTCCTATAGAAAGGACCAAGGTTTTGTATGCTAAAGTTGATGATATGATCAAGTAATCATCATTTTTAGAGTCTGCATACACTTTCGTGGTTAGCAAATCAGTTGGTTTGAATGGCAAAGGAGAAGAGACAATAGTGCTAGTAGGTATGCCATGAGTTATAGAGCTTAAACTGCATTTGGATGACAATAGAAGCAACTGCTTAAAAGCTTCTGACTTTGAAGTACTGGATTCTATAAATGAACTATCAATGATTGGATCAATAGTTTCCAAGATATCAACTAAAGCTAAATTTTCCAAACCCTTCACATCAAATATCTTTGAAGAATCAGATATTGCTTCCAAGCTCCCATATTCAGGAACGAAGTGCAATGTAGTTTCATTTTCATCATCGCCTAGTTTCTCAAATTGGTAAAACAATTTATTATCATTAATCACATCAGCAAATAAGAATCCACTTTTAAATATATGAAGATCGCTGCTCAAAGGGATAGTATCGAAATAAGTTATTAATATATCCTCGATCGTTTCTAACTCATTGTTGAAGACCACGGTAAGTTTGAATAAATCACCTAAAGAACTTTGTAATAGAACAAAAAAATTCTTATTTTTAAGCTTGTGAACAACACCTTTCACAATAATTGTTTCTCTAGATTCTGATCTGATAGGTAATGGAAGGTATTTTCTCTCCTTTGTTGGGCAGTCGTATATGAGAAACGAGTTACAAGTAATAAGCACCCCACCGATATGCGCAGGTAAGGCTATAAGCTCATTTGATGAGCCAGGAATATCTTCTCTCTTTTCCTTTACTATATGGTTCAATCCCTGATCAAACTTGTAATAATTTAATAATAGGGATGACTTTTCAGGGTCATACTGACTAGTCTCTGAATATTTGCTGTAGTCGCATTCTATGGCGACAAATAATGGGTCCTCGAAATCCGTTTCTAAGGCAGTCATCTTTAATGTCAATGTATGTCTTTCTATAGCTTCAAGAGGAGACGAAAGCTCTAGTTTATTATCATCATTTGCTTGAACTTTGTACATCAACTTGTTTTTTTCTATGGATCCAAGCATAATAGTTCTCCCAAGAGGATCGACGGCTAGATATTCTCCAGGGGAAGTTCTTCGGAGACCATTTTTAGAATGTGGTTCCTGAATTATAGGAATGAAGAACTGCTTTTCAGAATCGAACGACAAAAGAACCAATTTACCAGAATCCGAAGTGACGACAAGAAAATCTCTCAGCGAACCAAAGTCGCTTATCTTGTCTATACACTGGATGATAGCAAATGTATTTTGCTGGCATATCTTTTGTAACTTTCCGGTCGATGGGTCTGGCTTCCATAACTCAAGAAACGATGAGCTTGCAAACACTATCTCTTGTGACTTTTTTTGCCCCATAAATCGACCCACGGTAGATCCAACCGTCAGTGTAGGACACTTGAGAGTTAGATTATATAGGTATAAAGATTCATCGTCTATCAACATCCTTCAATGATGCTACAAGGAATTTAATAGATTCATATTATTTAAGTCTTCGATATCTTTAATCGAGTCCTGCAGATAATATTTATTAGTGAAGAGAGGCTCTACATTGTTTAACTCATATTAGCTATTTATATTAGTTTCTATCCAATTTGAAGATATAGAAAATTCTCTTTCGGTTATAATTTAAAAAAATATACACACAGGTCACCGGGATTTGTCTAAAAAGATAAATTTAAACAATTCTTCCTTCTCCCGAAGCGAGAGCGACCACAGGACTGAACTCTTCTTCCTCCAAAGGATTCTCAGGTACCTCATCAGTATGATCACTTACCATGAAGAAAATAAGAGGAATTCCAATGACCATTGAGCCTGCCACTAACGCCCAAGAACTGGCAAACATACTCATATAAGCTGTACCGTATGCATCAAGTCTCCAAGCAATAGCAGCACCTGCAGATTGTATACCTTTGTAAAATCCTGCATAATAAGCGGTCTTCTTACTACTGTTTGAAAGGGCACCCATGAGCCACAAGCAGTAACTTTGAAACATAGCATCGAAGATTCCGTAGAAAATGTAAAGGAACATTGGTCCAATGTAGTCACCATCTTTGAAGTCCATTGGGGCAAATTTTGTGTTTCCATTTGCATCCGCAGTCACATCTGCTCTGTCAAAGCCTTTTTGAAACTTGTAACCACCACCCCACACAGCAAAGGAGATGACGAATAAAAATACCCAGCCAATCCTTGCACGTACGCTTCTTCTAAAATATTTCAAATCTAAAATTGTACCAATAACAACTGCACCAATCATTTGGAAAAGCCAATAAAGCAAGGAGTTCAATGATCTTGTTCTAATATTAAAACGACCTGCGTTGAATTCATTAAATTGATAGGTGTAAAACCAATTAGAAGCAAAAAACATAGGAAATATTAACAAAATCTTTGGCTCCTTGATCAATAACTTGAAGGATCCAAAAATTTCAGATTTCCAGTCAGGAAGCTTCTTGTCAACAACTCTTGTTCCATCATCTTTCCATACTTTATCTACTGGTAACATGAAAAAAGCTATAACACTACCGCAACCCATTAAAACAATAAAGGCAATATAAGTACCATCCTTTACGGTACTCAGATCCGAATGTAAGTTGTTAGCTAAGGGGATAAGCGAACCAATGACACCACCTAAATTGAAGATAACCCAAAAGACCATAATTCCAGTTCCCTTTTTGTTCTCTGTTGGGTAAGACATAATTATTGAACCCTGTGCTGCCCAAAGACATGATGCACAAATACCGAGGTAGGCACCTGCAAATATAACAAAACCAGCATTCTGATTATGATTGTAGCTTAAAAGCGAACCAGCATAAAGGAGATAACCAGTTCCACCAAACATTAAACAATATCTAGCACCAATCAAATTACAAAAGGTACCAGCGAAGAAACCAAGACCTGCAAAGGTACAGTATAATGCGACTGTAGCGTTATCTTGGGTTTTAACACCATCAGGACCACTGATCGATGCACCAATACCAGTCAAAGCGTTATACATACCAGGTGTCATGAAAACGACGAAAGCAAGCATCACAATTTGGATCATCGCATTTGAGTAGGCTGGAACTTTAGGTATGAACCTTTTGTCATATATCTTTCCACTGCTTTCTATTTCACTCGGTGTATAGTGTTTTATCTCAGGAACATCAGCAGCTCCATTCTCATCTTGTGGTGGTACACCTTCTTTCTTTAAGTCATCGTACGATGAACCTTTACTAGTTTGGACATCAACGTCCGTTAACTTCTCTTCTGCAGACATTTTGTCGGTTCTTGACTATTTATGACTGTATCGCTTTGTAGCAGTTCTTACCTTTGACTGTTCTTTTCAAAGTGGGTAGACTCGCTTCTTTATAAGCCGTCTCTTGTGTGGGTCTTACGGTGCTTTTATCGTAAAATGTAGTTCTATGTAATGATGTTACACTGCAAGCTCCCAACTTGGTATGTTCTCACTTACCCATGATCCCATTATGTCGACTGCCGTTTCTTATCATCCGTTTGGGGTATGCGGGTCTTATCGAAATTTTCACCAAAATGTCCAAAGGTGACATTAAGCTCAAATCCCTCTTTATCGACAGAAAATTACACGAGAAGAGAGCGAAAAGATGATACAACTCACCTCTATGAAATATCAAGTGTATCTACACGTCCTAAGTGTTTAGTCCCTTCCCAAAAGTCTAAAAATTTGAAATGATGTCTAAGGAATTTTAAACAAATTTCTCGATGTAACATTTTACTCCTCGATTACTTAAATTAGTTAAAATGTCCAAATGTTGCATTCTGATCCCCATACAAACTTTCGAGGAGAAATCGGCCGAGAGCATAGTGATGACTTACGACAAGCAGAGAGCGGTCATCAGTGTGGGTGCACCGAAGTGATGCCCGACAGAGAGAGATTCTCAGTAAATGTACACTAAAAATTAGAGAGAGCGCACTGTAGAAGGGAGGCAAGAATGTAATTATTCGCACGTACTGCTTTTGAAAATGTGACATAGCAAGCGCTAGGGCAAATGTGTGAGAAAAGATTGCAACTGTCACACGCGTAATATTTCCTCTCGTTATATTGTAACATTACATTTTTCAAAATAGGTATAAAATTTGGAACATTAGACGTATCAGTCATCTACAAGTAGCAAGTAATTCAAGATATCGGTGGAAGCTACATATCTTTGGCCAGTAATAAGCAAACAAAAAATGGCTTATCTTTTTTAGTGTAAAAGGAACTGTATCAAATTCTATCTAATCGTCGCTAGTTGGACACTCTGTACCGTAGCTATTTCGAATCTAACGCTTGAATAAATAAATGCTACGTACGCGCGTCGTGATTAAACTATGATTTATCTCTCTTCATATAGTCCTTGCCAGATGCAACAATCTCGGCGATCAAATTGTCAATAGTTCTGTCTGACAAAATAGGTGAGTTGAAAACTACTCTGAAGAACTCGCCTCGACTGCCTTCAGTCCAGGGCGGAGGCGAAAAGTCGACTAAATATTTCCCTTTCTTGTGCAACTCTCTCGAAATGAACCTTGTTACATCGGTGAGATCGGTTTCTTCGTATGCGTCGGGTTTATAGTAAAAGCAAACTTGCAAACAGGGTGGTAAATCATCTTTGCTTCCAAATACGAGTGAAAAATTATGGTTTTCACTGATTCTTTCCACGAAGTACTTTCCAATATCGAAGGCATGATCAACTCTTTGAGCTAATCCTTTGGATCCATAATAGAGCCAAGTCATGTAGAATTTGAAAGAATCGGCCCTTCTTCCACAACCCATGGTACCGTCAGCCAAATCAAAGTTCTCATTAACATCGTCATCATCATCATTTTCTCTCCCGTGAAACAAATATGGTGCACTTAAAGACATTGACTTTTGGAACGTCAGAACATGAGGAAGGAGTAAGAAGGAACAAGTATTCGGGACTCCCAACATTTTATGTGGGTTGACTGTGATAGAATCTGCATATTTGATTCCTTTAAGCTTTTGCTTATGCTTCTCAGAAAACACAACATTTCCACCCCAAGACCCATCGACGTGAAGCCAAGTCTTATATCTTTTTGCAATATTTGCAATTTTCTCGAATGGATCAAAGGAACCGAAGACTGTGGTACCTGCTGTTGCATTTATGTACAATGGTGTATACCCTTGTGATTTGGTCTCTATTATCTTTTGTTCTAATGCATATGTATCAATTCTGCCATCTTTTAAAGCAGAAACTTTAAAAACATTAGAGGATCCCAATCCTAACAAAATTGCTGCCTTCTCAATAGAATAGTGAGAATGTGCTGAAGTATAAATGGCGAAGTTGTAGCCTGAATTGCCTTTTACCTTGGTGTCTGGAAACTTGATCGATCTCGCGATGTGTAATGATGTTACGTTTGACCAGGAACCGCCTGGAAAAGTTAAGCCGCCACAGGTATCTTGGTTATCTTCAAAAAATAAAGCTGCATATTTCCTCCCAATGTAATTCTCAAGAACAGATAGAACAGGGGAGACTGTGTATACATGTGAGTTTGTGTTCAATACAGACAAAAGTAAATCAGAAACTAGACCTATGGGATTGTTAGATGCGTACAACTTGTCTAAGAAGCCAGGATTCCAAGTATTTACCGAATACTTCAAAACTTTGTCAATTATTTCGCTAAGCTCTTTTTGGTCTCCCTTGATACCATCCACCATATTCTCATGCAGAAATTCTGCTTTAAGAGAGGAAGGTTCGTGATATTTTCCTAGGGAATCAATTTCATATTTAGTTGAGTCAGGATCCGATTTCTCAATGTATTCAATTATCTTCGGTAAAAGTAATCCCAAAAGCGTTGCTGCCTCTTGATCTTTGTTTGCCTCTAAATCAGATTTCAATGTCATTTTGAAAGTATCCGTGTCGCAATTGTTTATTTTAGAAGTTCTTTTTAAAATCTGTCATTTTGTAATGAGTGAAAAATTTACTGTGGAGTCATATCGTGACTTTTATATAAAACTCTGAATAGTACTTTTAACTTTAATATTGTAATACTTATACAGTCAGGGCAAGTTTTATGATCACAGGGAAAAGAAAGTCTCTTTTGTCACAATTTGCAATCTAGATATACGTATTAAGACATTGCCATACTATATAATTGCGCAACTATTTACAAGGAATTTGCGAGCATCCGATATGCTTTTGCTCTTTGGCCATTCCACGGCTATGGTTCATATTGAGTACAAACCCAACGTACTAATCTTCTTGCTCGAGACTTTTTTGATGTTCTCTTGCTTCTCTTTGTTTCGCCAAGTTTCTATTCAAAACCTCCAACTTCCTCAACTCCTCATGTGCATCAAAGTTACCGGAGGAGAGATTCTCGTAAGTCTCATCATACTTCCCTGTGGACAACGGAGCATTTCCTCTCATTCTTTTTCTCATGTCAAACATTCCAGTTTTGCATTCCATGAATGCTCTGAAATGAGCGGCGCATAGTTCAGGTAATTCTTTCTTCAACAGCGGGTCAGTCAAGCATTCCTTAGGAGTGTGCCTTTCGATCAAGACACAAGGGGATCTTTGTAGGCATATAGCTAGCGCTTTCTTCTGATCCTGACAGCTAGTTTAAGTTAGTTGAAAGGACTCTTATAATTCATGAGAACTTAAGGAGCTAAATCCCTTTATCGATTATGAATATAACATACCTGGCACCCATAGTGACTATCTTCACTCTCTTGAAAATTTCTCTACCTTAGTCACTGTCTAACTGGCGTTCTATTTCAGATAACTATTTTGATCATTTTGATCATTTTGATCATTTTGATGTTTTTATTAAAGTGCAGTCTAACATAAACTCAGCTTTTTACCTTTTGTTACACCGCTTGATTTGATAAACACTTAAAGACAGAATATCCAAGATAGGTATAAATGACCATATCCTTTGTTCCTGGGGAAGTAAATGCTAGTCAAAGCTCCTTGGTTCAATCTGTATGGAAGAATCATCATTTAATTATCTATGGATCGGGCAACAATTTGATAATCTACAGCAATACTAGAAATTTGCAAACTGAGAATATCAGTCAGTATTTACAAACAATATACCTTGAGAATGATCTAATAGCATTGGACTTCAATAAAAATAACGGCCTAATTGGTATTGCTTTGAAGTCAAAAATAAAGATATATAAGCCGGCTAACGCTTTTATGGAAAAGCCTCGATGGAAGGAATGTTTAGACTTTGACAATCACGACAATTCTCTGATCAATGCAATGCAATGGGCAGCAACTGAAAATGAGCTCGCTGTTGCTTCCGATAAATCTTTGTCATTATATCATATTTACGCTGAGTACGGAGACTGGAAATATCAGAAGAGATGGCATTCCATGCAAGCAAATCCTATCAGTCATTTGCGAATCACACATAGTGCCAATCGCATCGTTACATCAAGTGGAAATTTTGATCGACTCATAAAAGTATGGTCTAGGAATTGTTATGGCGATCAAAATACGTCCTTTGAATTGAGCTATTTGGATCACCCTAAAAGAAGCTTTGTTACCCAATTCAAGTGGAAATACAGGCCGACTAGAAATAACCCAGATGAAATAGATGGATCCATGGCCAACATCAAAAATATCAGAGGATACATAGATCAATATGAGGATGACAATGATATATTATACACCTTAACAAATGATTCCATAATTAGAGTTTGGGCATCCTATGAATTTGGGGGACATAGTCATATCCGTTCATGGGCATCACTTGATTTAAATTCTTGTTTTGCAAAAGACGAAATTAGCTCAGTTTGTATTGTGGACAACACATATCTCCAAAAATCACTATTACCTTCTTTGAAAGCCTGCAGCGATGATAATGAGATTGTTTCCTATTTCAAGTCATCTAATCTTAATGGCATGGATCTAATGTTCGTAATAAATGTAAAGGGGCAAGCTGTCTTATATTCCATAACTAATTTGAAGTCTAATCCTCCTAATCAAATCAAATTTGAAAAAGTAGGTAGCCGTCTTCTAGAATTTGAAGCAAGCTGCTTTCCTCAGAATTCTAAAAGAGAGGAAATCACTACTTTCACAAAAAACTTTATCTCATCACCAGCATTCGAGGTTATTTCGAACCCTATTCATATACCTGAGGTGATTTATTTATCAGACAAGGAAACCTCAAATTTGTCCCTTTTGTTACATGACCGAGTCAAGAATACTGTCAGATATGAAGCATTGGACTTTTCTAAATTATTATCAAATCCAAAATCTATGGGAACCATATTACTAGATAAACTTCAAGGACATCCAAAATCGATAAGAAAACTAATCAGATCGAATTCATCAAAAGGAAAAGAAAATATGTTGCTTTCTATTCTGAACTTTCCAGAGCACAACTATATCTGGGAACCATTACATCTAGGAGGCTTGACACATAAAGTAACAGTAGCAAAAAGATTTCAACTCGATGTATCAATGAAAGGGAGTGAAGTTGATCAAGGAATTTGGACTGCCGTTTTGATCAATGACGTTGAACCATCAAACACTGGCAAAAGACGCCACCTTGTTGTTACAGTAGAAAAAAATGGATACATCGGCTTATATGATGCAGATGAATCAAATTACGATGATCGTCCTATTGGATTAAAGCAAAAGTTGCAGATTAGTGAGGAAGGTAATAAATTATATAGTGAAGAGCCCCAGGCTCTTCTTTTCACCGAATTGAAAGAAGAATCTATCGTTGTTGCAATATATCGTGGAAATTTGACAAAAGCTTGGAAAGTATCAGATAGTTTAGAAGCTATCAATATAGATCGATTGCCTTCGATTGAAGAACCTTATAAAGTATCGGATATAGATACTTCAATATCGCAAAGTGAAAAAAATTTAATTTCTGTCATCGATAAATTAGGCTTAGTAAGAATATTCGCTGTGAGGTTTGAAGGTGCTAAGCTTTCTTGGATTGAAACTTTTAGCTTTTATACGAATGTTCCAAATGCTAGCAAGATCTGTGGGTCTTCATCGATTAACAAGTTTGCTGTTGTAGATGGCTCAGGATATAACTTATCTATATGGAACACCAAACTTGGGTTGCTTGAATATGAAGAACGATTTCCACAAGACTTCGGACCAGTTAGAGATTTAGATTGGACATTCATTGACTCTTCAAAAATGAAGCTGACTTCAAATGCGATATTATCGGTAGGTTTTAAAAGATTTGTTTTATTATATACTCAATTGCGTTACGATTATACAAACAAAATTCCTGCTTTTGCCGTCTTAAAAAAGATAGACATATCTGAATATACTTCACATGATATTGGCGATTCTATTTGGTTAGATAATGGATATTTAATTATTGCATGCGGGAATCAATTTTTTATTGATGATAGAAGAGTGAAATTGGGCTCCAATAATTCAATCGATAGTATTATTGAACAACTTACTGTTGGATATATCCAATCAATGGATAGTGACGGTGCAGAAAAAAGCAGAAAAGCAGCGAAAGATATCACTTACGATATTTTAACTTTGGTTAGAATGCTAAATGGCCCGCTTCCAATATACCATCCCCAATTTTTGATCCAAGTTTTGTTTATGGGCCAAATTTCGGTTGTGCGACAAGTGTTATTCAAATTATTTCAACTTTTAAGGATGGACACCTTAGTTGATTGGAATTTATCCTTGACGCTAGAGGAGATTTTGTCGCCTAAAATCAAAAATAATAAAAATGATTCTGAAAATGACTCTGAAATTGATATATTTAACAGTTTCAATGATAATGTAGCGGACATATTGAGTGAATCTTTAATGAAGACATCATTACCCTTGATTACAAGACATCAGCAGATTACATTGTTATCTCTCATTTCAATTGTGAAATCATGGCAAAAGAACGAAAGGTCTCTAGATGAGAATGGGCTAAGATTCTTGACAGGCTTTAAATTATTTCAAAATTCAACCAAACAAGCAAAACTCAGCATTCGAGACATCAATTGGGCACTTCATAGTGATAGCAAAGAAGTTTTATTTGGCTTGGTTCAAGATCATTACAAGAGTCGCCTCAAATGGGAAAACGTTGAACAATGTGGATTGCCTTATTGGATCGACCAGAAAAGGCTTATTGAGGTTGTTGAATCTTGTGCGAGAAATGAATTTAGTGAGTCTAGAGATCCGTCTGGTTTGATTTCACTATTATTTTTGGCCATACACAAGAGACAAATCCTCATTGGGTTATGGAGAACAGTGAGTCATCCGGAACAACAGAAAATGTTGAGATTTTTGAATAATGACTTCAGTGAACCAAGATGGCGGTCAGCAGCATTGAAAAACGCATTTGTTCTATTGGGAAAACATAGACTTATAGATGCTGCTTATTTTTTCCTTTTGGGAGATTCTTTGAAGGATTGTTGTAATATATTAGCAGGTAGACTTAAAAATGTACCATTGGCTCTTGCTATTGCAAAAGTGTACAAGGAAGATTCTCTTGACGTGGTAACCAACATTATCGAAAATTATATCGTTCCGGAAGTTCTCCAAAATGGCGATCGATGGACAACAAGTTGGATCTTTTGGGAAATGAATTTGAAGGAGATCTCTATTCAAGCCTTGATAAAAGCTCCAGTTGACATTATCAAAGCACATTCGGATGTATTTTCTGAGACGTGTAATAAAAATCATCTCGAGCACATAGAGCTTGGAGTTGAATCGCACATTTACTCTAAAGATGATCCCGTCTTAGCTGTGTTATTCCGAAGCTTAAGACGAAGAACTGTAAAATACTTACGGGGCTCTTTGGGTATCACCCCATTAGAGGAATTTGATTTTGTTATAAAAGTTGGATTGTTATACAACAGAATGGGTTGTGATTACTTGGCATTGATGTTAATAAGGAATTGGAATTTCATTAAATACGATAAGGATGAAAATACAATCGATTGGAATAATAAAAAGAGCAATGATTTACCAGAAACCATCGAGCCGGCCAATCCAATCAATCATCAGCCTCCACCGGCTGCAGCATTTGAAGAGCCAGATATGAGTGCCTTCAACTTTGGGTTTTAGAAAACGGTTCCTTTTTCTGTGTTAAAAATATTGAACAAAAGATCAATAAAAGGTGACCAGGATTCAACTAGTGTTATTAAAATGCCAACGATAAAGAAAACCCAAAGTCTGGTTAATACAGTGCCTTTTATAGTTTCATAAATCATTGCATTAGTAACAGCAGTAACAAACTGTAGCTTTTCTTGAAAACTCGTCCCTGTCCCTGAGTCATTATGACCTAAATGAAATAACTCCATAATTTTTAAAAATCCGCTGAAAAGCTTGAACACTAGCTGGTCCCATAGCTCAACGAAATAATGACGAACATATATGATGTCGTAGGATCGAATCAATGTCCGTTTTAATATCCGTGGATCACCAAATTTAGGATCAAGTAATTTCTTACACTCTTCTGGCTTCAACTCACAAAATGATTTAGATAATAAAGCAATTCTAAAATTTTCCTTGAAACTTTCGATCGTCGAAGGATTGAATATGTACACCATAAGCGCCAAAGAAACTACTGGCGTTAAAGCAAAACCAGCGTAGAACTTAAGTTCCCTGTAGAGCGCCATAGCGGCTTGATTAAGCTCCGTCGCGTCTTATCCTTTGTCGTGTGATATATTGATAAGTCAAAAACAAATTCAATTCCCTGCTGTGTACCACTTTCGTTGATATCTAGCACTCGATTTAGGGTGTGAAACAAATGTATAAATATCTGCCCAGGGTCTATCCACCGATCTAGATAATAAACTGCAGTCTTAAATAATCTTTAAGATTTAACTTTCAAGATGACCAAAAAAATATACTGCACATTACAATGTACCACAATTCTTTTATCATTAAACCCTACCCGGGACTCGAACCCGGAGTCTTCCACTTAGGAGGCGGATGCCTTAACCGTTTGGCCAGCAGGGCGAATCTTTCTACTTGAAGAACTTCTCTCATATAAGCAAGCGTTCTATGATTATTTGCAAAATTTTTAAAATACTGATAAGGAAACTCTTCCTTTATGTTCTATTAGCAATCATTAAAATAAGTTTCTAACGCAACTTGAGAACATGCACTAAAGATTCCTTAGCATGCTTGGAATTTTAAGCCGAATTTGTTATTATACTACATTAGAGTTCAGAGTTGATGATTGTTACTTTGGTTCTTTGGCCAAGTGTGAATATTCATCTGGAGATTGATAAACGTCCGACAAGATGTTCTTCCTTTTTTCACACTAATTATGTGTTGTCACACTTATATTTTAAGTCAGAGTACATAAGATTGATGAACCCATACACTTTCTTTTCTTGTTATATTGCTTCTACCTGGCAATGGCTTGCGCTTCGTGAAATTGATGGTCACGATTTGGTGGAATGCTAAAGCATGCTAAATTATGCATCGTAGCGCTTTGAATGTTTTGAAGATATTTGCTCGCGATACAGATCTACATTGCAAGTCAAATATATGAAAAACATCTGTCTCCCATTTCGGTCCATTTTAGCGCTTGGAAAGTCTTTCAGAGATGTCCTAGTCAGACCCAAGATGGACACAGAATAGTAACGGAATAATTTTTGGTAATTCTAGATTTTCCATAATTGTCGATTTTACTAGTACTGCTTCTTCTTTAGACATTCTTCCACACACTGTATCCTAGAAAAAGGACAAGGTCATTCAAGATACGAATTCTTATTGAGCCCTGACCAAAAAAATTCACATTTGTTCAACGTCTCACAAACCAAAAGCTATTCTTTGAATATCCCACCTACCATCGTCATCATCAGGTTTTCGAATTGGAGCCTTAACACATTCTTTAGAAACTTCTCGCAAATTTCACCTTGGCTGAAGATAGTATTTCCACAAATATTTTGATGCACAATCTTACTGTATAACCAGTAAAGAATGCAGCCCTCCAATACATATATAGCATACGTAGAAATACGAAAGAGCCTACAATTAAATGCATCAGCTTCAAACAAGCTCCTCCTAGAATATAAATCCAGAATATCAGTTTGGAAGTATTCCATACTCGACTTTTAAGTGAAAGTTTCCTTTGAACTACGCTGAGCATCAGGCTGAGCATCAGCAGACATTCAGATTGTTCGAATATGGCTGTAGAAAAGTCGTCAAGCGTTTTGTTACGTGTTGCCGCAATCTCGTTAATGGGAGGGTTGCAAGCACATCTCCCATAGGTATCGCTGAAAGATATCGGAAAATCTCCTATACAAATCATATCCCCACGTGAAAGGGCTGACACGCTAGCCACTCAACTAAGACAATTGCAAAGCAGCTCTTCGGCCGTTGAACATATCGAAAATCAGGCTAAACTTTCAGTCTAATAAATTGCATAGACGCCAGTCAAGGATAGAGACTTGATGGGCTACTACTGATGTCGCTCTTAGTGGTAAAAGCTGAACTTGGAAATGTGCAATGCTCAAATTGACATTTGCTTTTGAGGAATTCTACATGCCGTCGGTCAGATGTCAGATGACATTAATGTTAAATGGCTATAGCTACGGGTCGCAGTTTTGTCTTGGCAGAATCAGTAGCACCGCCGCTGCGGTGACAGACACGGTAATTAGCCAGCAAACGTAAGTCAGAGGTTCATAGCTAGTCTGGTCGCCAAAAGCGTGGGCCCTCCAAGCTTGCGGCATCTGTATTAATTCTTAATTTTTGACCCGATTAGATTAGGTATTTGCAGTCTTTAGAATGCAATGATCTGTAGAGTTTGTAAGGAGTTCGAAGGCTTAAAACCAAGCCTACTCAGCGATAGGAGACAACATGTCGTATTGTTTTCTTCATATGCTGTTGTAATTTGGTGTCACATAATTCTTATTCTGGGAATGGTTCCATCTTGGCAATACTACATGAACCCACAAAAGTTTACTTTTTACGCTTCAAGGAACGATCTCTGCCATATCTTGTAGCTCATTGACAACTTTTCGAGAATGGTAACGCTTCTAGCTTCCCTATACAATCATGGATTTCGCCTCAGCTATGTTATCTATGCCCAGTATAATTTCCTACTAAAGCAAAGAAATCTTGGCTGAGGCTGAACTCCACAGACAACAAAGTCAAACTATGTCTGATATTGAAAATATCTATCGTACTTTCGAACAAAGCGTTATTGTCTTTTCTGTCTGTCATCTGTAGCTATAGGTCCCTTCAGCATATGGCATCAGTCAAAAGTCTTGAACTGAATTCCGACCTACAACCTACACTAGATTTTATTCTAGCGCTACCAAAATATGTTTTTAACCTCTCATGTTTATGATGAATTAGGACGACAGAGCTATAGAACATCCCACCGTTGTCTCAAAGCGTTCACAGAATCTCCATCATGGCTTATTGAAAAAAATCCGCTCAGTGCCATAGCGGTGGCCGAATTTTCATGAACCGCTCCTGCGTTAGATAATATGAGAGCATAGCCCTCTTGATAAAATCAGTATCATCAACGCAATAAAAGTACCGAAGAAGGCAAAAGTACGATCATATAACGGACCAGCTGCGCTGTTCTAGTATAAATGAAAAATCAGAGTTAACGTTTAAGTCTAAGAGTCAACAATAGCTATACTCAGATCCCACGCCAATATATCATACAGCACATAGCACATAGCTCGCAGTGAGCAGAGAGCAGATATCAGAAAGCAGATAAAAGAACATATCTAAGGGAGAATATTCACGGGAGAAGAGGGAATAGAAATATACTTATCCTGATAGAGTGAAGAATCTTGACCTGTTTAAAAATCTCCGGTGGCTATCAAAATACATTAAGTTCATAAGCTTCTTGTATCAAGTTTGAGGCTCTCGCAGATCCCGGCTACTTTTATTTAAGGTTCATTCGTCACTCAAAAAAACTGATGACGGTAAATCGCCTAAGTTTACAGCATTCAGCTGGAACGGCCTCTTCCTCTTCACCTTTGCATGATGATCGCTGGGAAGTTAATCATGATCAGCTAAGTGAGCTTCATGATCCTAAATCATTGAGAGTACTCTATGAGATGGGAGGTATAGATAAGCTAACCCAGATGCTTCGATCGGATACTAGGAATGGTTTGAATAACAATAACGAAGAAGACTTACGATCTAGAGTTAAGCAATTTGGTGCTAACAAGTTACCATCTAAAGCCCAAAAGTCTTTCTTCAGATTATGCTACGAAGCAATGAAAGATAAGGTTTTAATACTCTTATCTGTAGCAGCAGTAATTTCATTAGCACTTGGATTGTATGAGACATTTGGAGAAGCAACTATGCATGATGACGAGGGTAAACCTTTACCAAAAGTTGACTGGGTGGAAGGTGTTGCTATTATTGTGGCTGTAGTAATAGTGGTCCTTGTCGGTGCAATTAACGATTATCAAAAGGAAAGACAATTCGCCAAATTGAATGGCAAAAAGGAAGATAGAGAATTAATCGTAATTAGAAATGGTTCCCAAAAGATGATTTCTATATATGATCTTTGTGTTGGCGATATAATTAACTTGCAGACTGGTGACGTTGTACCTGCCGATTCTGTTTTAGTCAGTGGGGAGGTAGAATGTGATGAATCTGCATTAACCGGTGAATCAGAAACGGTTAATAAGGTATCGGCTTCGGAAGCTCTTAAGATTTATCAATCTCGTCTTCCAACTAATGAAGACCTAGGTTCTTCTACAGTAAAATTTAAGGATCCATATCTTATTTCTGGTTCTAAGGTATTATCTGGGTTAGGCAATGCTTTAGTTACCGCCGTCGGTCCCAATTCAATTCATGGTAAGACCATGAGAAGCTTGCATCACGAACCAGAGACTACTCCTCTTCAGGAAAGGTTGGATGGATTAGCAGAAGGTATTTCCAAATACGGATTTCTCGCAGCTTTGGTTCTCTTCATTGTTTTATTAATCAGATTTTGTGTAAACATTGCTCCTGGAGGAAGATTTCACAGCTTACAAAGTACAGAAAAAGGTAAAAAGTTTGTTGATATACTTATTACCTCTATAACTATTGTTGTTGTAGCGGTGCCGGAAGGTTTACCGTTGGCGGTAACTTTAGCATTAGCATTTGCTACCATAAGGATGGCACAAAATGGAAACTTGGTTCGAGTCTTGAAATCTTGTGAGACCATGGGCGGAGCAACTGCCATTTGTTCCGATAAAACAGGAACTTTGACTGAGAATAAAATGAGGATAGTCAAAGGCTATTTTGGTAACTCTAACGACAATTTTGATGACACAGTTGATAGTCAAGGTACAAAATCAAAAGAAGTTTTACCTGCCTTGAATGATAGCATGAAAGTCTTCCTTTGTACTAATATAGTCTTGAACTCGACTGCATTTGATAATGTTGATTTCGATGAAGAAAAGTACAAGGAAGCCTTACAAAGACCGCAGAAAAAATCACTTCTCCATCATTTGTTGAAGGGAAGCAACCAACAGAAAGCGAAATTTGATCTAGACATTGTTTCTGAGCCATATTTGGGAAATAAGACAGAATCAGCTTTATTACTTTTAGCAAGAGATGCACTTAACTTGTTTTCGAAATCAAGTCTTGAAGAGCAAAGGGATGAAGGTAAAAGTAAGATCGTGCAGGTCATTCCTTTTGAGAGTTCTAGAAAATGGTCTGGAATTGTGATGAAAATAAGTAACGGCTACAGGTTATATGTTAAGGGTGCTGCTGAAATAGTTTTCAAAAACTGCGGATATCAATTTGATAAGGATGGGAATGTTGTTAAAATGGACCGCAATTTGCGTGATACTGCTTTGAGTGTGATTGATGACTATGCCAATGATGCTTTACGTGCGATTGCTTTAGCGCACAGAGATTTCGTTGGAGCAAGCTCCTGGCCGCCCCCAGATTTGGCAAGTTCTGAGAATAAAAATGAAGCAGATCCATCTCTTTTACTCAATACAAAAAACCCTTACGAGGATGAAAATAAGAACCTTACCATGGAGACTTTGGTTGGTATTCAGGATCCGTTGAAAGCGGGAGTGCCAGAATCTGTGTTGCAATGTAAAATTGCTGGTGTTACTGTCAGAATGGTAACTGGTGATAACTTAATGACCGCAAGGGCGATTTCTAAAGCTTGTCATATCTTGACTCCGGACGATCTGTCCAATGAATATGCCTTTATGGAGGGACCACATTTTCGTAAACTTTCGCCAGCTGAAAGAATGCGTATTGTTCCGCAATTGAAAGTTTTAGCAAGGTCATCTCCAGAAGACAAAAGGATTTTAGTTGATACTTTGAGAAAATCAGGCGAGGTCGTAGCTGTTACTGGTGATGGTACTAACGATGCCCCAGCGTTAAAACTTGCCGATGTTGGATTTTCAATGGGTATCTCAGGAACCGAAGTTGCTAGAGAAGCATCGGATATCATTTTGATGACAGATAATTTCAATGATATAGTTCAAGCAATTAAATGGGGTAGAACTGTTGCTACGTCTATCAAGAAATTCATTCAGTTTCAATTGACAGTTAACATCACTGCGTGCATGTTGACGTTTGTATCAGCTGTCGCGTCTTCCAATGGGCAATCTGTGTTAACTGCGGTCCAGTTATTGTGGGTGAATTTAATCATGGATACTTTGGCTGCCTTGGCGTTAGCCACAGACAAGCCAGATGATTCATTCTTAAAGAGAAAGCCTGCTGGTAGACATACTCCATTAATTTCGACTTCAATGTGGAAGATGATCATTGGCCAATCTTCAATGCAATTAATCGTTACTTTCATATTACATTTTTCAGGAAGAAGGTTTTTTTTTGGGGATAAGACTATATCAAGTCATCAGAATAAGCAATTGGATGCAATGACATTCAATACATTTGTCTGGTTGCAATTCTGGAAATTGGTCGTAACAAGAAAATTGGACGAAGCAGACGAGGTCAGAAGTGTTAAAGGTAGAATTACTGCCGAAAACTTGAATTTTTTCCAACATTTGTTTAGAAATTGGTATTTTATTACGATAGCAGTTTTGATCGGAGGCTGTCAGATTTTAATCATGTTCGTGGGTGGCGCTGCTTTTTCAATCGCCAGACAAACTCCTGGTATGTGGGCAACTGCCATATTATGTGGTTTTATTTCAATTCCCGTGGGAGTGATTTTAAGAATTATTCCAAATTACTGGGTGGAAGCAATATTTCCAACTAGAGCTTTCAATACATTTATCTACTACGTCGGTTTCGGCTTCTTATCAAAAAAGAAGAAAAACAAAGCTGATGATCTAGAAAAGGATGCTGCCGTTAACGACAAGGAGTCGGACAGCTCCTAACTTACTTATATATAGAGAATAAGAATATCGTATATTTCAATGTTTGTAATCCTCCTGTAACGTAGTGATGAATTTTCTATAAATTGGATAAAAGTGAGTCATATTCTTGAACAAAGGTAAAAGATTTATCAAATCGTCAACATACTTAGATAACTCTTTACTTGAATCTTCTTGTATATCATTCAATAGTTTATTTAATGCATTTTGGAACGTTTCGATTTTAATATCATAATTTTCAGAAGCAGGTACTATACTATTGACTAGATCAAAAATCCCTAAAACGTCGATTAAACTTTTCCTTACACTCTTTAATTTAGTGAGATTGTTTATGGACTCATCATTATCATTTGAAAGCTTATTATTCACCGAAATCAAATCTGACTGTAGCGATGTAATTGAATTATTCAATATGTTGGTATAGTAATGCATTCTAGTTATTTCTTTGTTAGAGTCGTCATTTAACACCGCTAAATTCGATTTCTGGAGCGCCTCTAGGTTATGATTCAAATCTTCAGTTAGTTCATCTGTGTAGTAATCAATACGTGTTATTAAGTTTGAACATTTACTTGATGATTCATTTAAACTCTTTCTGTGAAACTGATTCGATGGTTGTTTACCCAAAATGGACTGTAAGAAGGCATCGACGTATTCTGTTGGAGAAAACGAACTGTCGAAGAACATTGAAAGTATTTCATCGTTGTCTGTCATTTTGATTCTAAGATACAAAAACGAATGAACTAAATTGTGTAGTTTTTTTATTATCAGTAAAATCGGAAATTTCGATATATAAATTTACAATCGATAACATTGACTATGAAGATCATAACAATCCAGGATACGTTCGAGGACGTCATCAGAGACTTGGAAGAGTGCAGTGCTATTCATGAAAAGTTTTGGATAGGTGAGAGAACGGATGATGGTCCACAAGAACTCACTTACATAGAATATGGTAAGGACAACTTCAAACGTATGAGTAACAATGTATATCAATATAACGATGAATACACATTGGTTACCCCAAATAGACTTATATCAATTGCAGAAATTGAAGGAAAGTCCTCTAATTCTAAAATAACTTCTATTGCAATGTCCTTATATCTGGATTTTGTTTTGATAGGAACAGATAAAGGTTCAATAATCGTATACAGTTTGAAAGAGAGAAAAGTTATTAATGAAATTAAAGAAGCTCATTATTCGGATGTAACACATTTACGGCTCTTTCCTTCGAATAAGGTGTTCATATCAATTGGTTTAGATATGATAACCAAAATCTGGGCAGTCGATGGTGTAGAACCAGTCAGAGTAATTAGCGATCAAACAGATGAGATAACTGATGTCAAATTGGTTGGTTCAAGAGGTCGAAACTTTCTCACGAGCTCAAGGGATGGTTCGGTAAACTTATTTGAATGTGGAACAGGGAGTGTGGTGTATAAGTTCAAGAGGGTAGGCGACGATGCTGCAAATTGTTTCACTATTGGTTCCATTTCAGATGAGGGTGTGAGACAATCAGCACTAGAATTCGAGACAGAAGGAAAATGCTTGTACGTTGGTTATGCAAGTGGAGTTATTCAGCAATTTGATTTGGTAAATCATTCAGCTACCTCGATGAAATTCAGAACTAGTTCAAGTGTTGAGTCCATAGACATAGTGGATAAATACTTGATCAGTGGTCACGAAAATGGAGATATAAATATGTGGGACTTGAAAAGCACTAAGTTGATTCACACGAGGAACTTTGGCTCGGTTTTAAAGCTCAGAGTTTTGGGATTTAAAAAAGAGAAGGTTAGCTTGTTGATTTACGCTGGTCCAGAATGTTTATTCAAGCTTACATTTGATGAGAAAATAGAGTATCTCGTTGGGCTTCCAGAAATGTTTAAAGTTACGGATATTGATAAGCGTGAGCGAATGGTGGTTGCTACAGATTATTGCATAGCTAATTACGTGATATGACTTGTAGATGTAGATAGTTAACAAAAATTGCGAATATATTGCAAATATATGAAAACCTGCGGGACATCTTAATATAGTCGGTATGCTCTCGCTTGTTAGTATTTCTTAAAATCCGGTTCTTATCTCTATAATCTTGAGAAGCATAACTTCCCTCTTCTACATTGTGAAAAATTAAAATCATGATTCATTGTCACCTATGAATTTAAAATTTAAATATAAAGCGATAGATCCGTAGTATTCAAATGCACTTATAACTTGGGTCTTGGATCTATTTGCTTGAAGACAGATTCAATAGCGGTTGCCTTCATCATATTACCCTTAACCTTTAATTTACCGTTCATGAATAACTTTTGACCATTGGCCTTACCGTTAGCTAATTTAACGAAATCAACATCTTTTAAGATTAATTGAACATCAGCCTTTGGTACTTTGTCAACTTTGGTCAAAGAACCTTCCTTTTTCAAATCCAATAACCACGATTGATCTTTGCCTTCCTTGTTCTTCAATGTTATAACAATAGTAGCTTTGACACCGGCAATAGCCTTCTTTTTGGTTCCGTCATCTTTCAAACCATCAGCTAATTCCTTGAACAAAGGAGAAGCATTGAACCCATCAGCAGTAACGTCAGACATTTTTTATTACCTTTATTAATATATGATACTAATCGATATTAGGATTAATTACGAGGGTGAGACTTCATATCTCTTATATAAGTTACAGAAGGTTTAAGTTACACCCCATGTGATAAGAAGTGCCGAGGTCAGGGAGGGGATTTTCGCTGGCATTGATTTTGTGTTGTGCTAGCACGAGCTAGTGTCAGCTCGTGAGAATAAGCAGGAAGAAGAGAGCCTAGCGGCGGTACCTTATGTCGCTAAAGGGCGCGGTACAACATGCAGGTGTGACCATGCTTGACGTCGCGCAATCAAATTTCACCGAGGACACCGAATTCTTGTAGCACAGAATAGTGTGGGGCTGATGGAGTCAGAAAAATTGCAAAGAGATGCCACTGACAAATACGTACATGTCCTGTGAGTACATATTGCTCCCACGGACAAAGTCGTCACTACCGCTATTTCTTGTAGTGTGCATGTGGGACAGAACCTATTAATTGAATCATGTGATCGAGAACTCACATCTAAACTGGGACTGAATAGTGGACATATGTTACTGAAAGACACATTGACACCGATTAAAGAGGGAACTTTACTTTAAGAAAGATTTATGTACTAGAAGCTCTTAATCCTTTACCAATCCTTATTCGCTGCATCCGCAATCAACGCCGATAAATCGCCTCTCTGCTTATTTAATTTCACAATTCTTTCTTCCGTCAAAGGAAGTCGTAATTTGCGATTCCTGCTCTTACACAAGCCATGGGACAAATAACATACATCACAATTGGATGCTCTTGGTACACAGACAACCTGTCCAAATCCTACCATCAATGGATTGATGTCGGCCCAATATTCTCGAGGAAGCCAACTTTCCAAGTCTGCTCTCGTTGTCTCTGGGTTATTTGATTTACGAACCCATCCCCATGCCTGTGCCAACCTGTGTAAATGAACATCTACTCCTATTCCCAGGGTGAGATTCCATGCATTCTGCAAGAGTAAGTATCCCATTTTGGGCCCTATCCCGGGCAAACTAGTGATTTCCTCAATTGTCTTTGGAACATCTCCTTCATGAGTTTCCATAAGGATTTCACAAGTTCTTTTGATATAACCTGCTTTTCTATTATGGAATCCCACTTGACATATTAAGTCGTCTATTTGCTTTTCAGAGGTTGCCAAAATACCCTCAATACAAAGACCACCAAAATTCTTGAAGAACGATTCGAGCTTCATCATTGCTGCAAAATTTATCTCATCTTTCGTCTGAGAAGATAACATCAACGAAATAAGTAGTTGGAAACGGAATCGCTTCGGATCTCTTTTCTGAATGCCTGGACTAATGCTATTTGGCATTCTTTCGCAGCCTTGTGTGTCAACCGGTGTTGTTATTTTACTTCTCATCTTGACCACTTCATTATAAATTCTAGTCCAGTTTGCAGGCCCTTCTGTCGTTTGTTTTGCATTCTTAAATATATTTGGTGCCAGCTTCCTCTCTGGCTTGTCTAAGTCACCATAAACGGTTTGCCCTGTTAGAGTATTATTTTTCAGTTCTTCCTTGATATCGATCTGTATATTCTTTTCATTTTTTATTTCTATCGGTATTTGGCCATCGTAGTTTTTTGATAGTTGAGTTTCATTCTCCACTTCTACTTTGATTCTTTTGAGGTTTCTATGAACCTCTCTTGTCCTTTTTACCATTTGATACTCTTCTAGTTGATTATCCTTCTGCAGATTGGCTCATCGAAGATGTCGCGTGCATAGAACGACAAAATATTGAGTCATATGGACCTGATTGATTTGCAGTAGTAAAGTTATTCTTTCACAAGTTATACTGGAAAAAGTTTGATTCAAGACACTAACTCAACATAGTGCACATCTCCTTTGTCAAGTGCTTTTAAAGTCTCTGACCCTATTTATTTTAACAGCCAGTTTTATATTGTCATCGTATTTGGCGTCAAATGGAACTAAAGAAGAAAATCTCAACTACAAATACAAAGACTATAAAGGCCCCAGGCAGCTCCATTGAGAGAGTTGCGCAAGCCTGTGATCGCTGTAGAGCGAAGAAAACCAAATGTGATGGAAAAAAGCCTGCTTGTTCCAGTTGTGCTACAATCGGAATAAAATGCATTGTGTCTGACAAGTTGTCGAGAAGAGCATTCCCAAAAGGATACACAGAAACGCTTGAAGAGCGTATACGCCAACTCGAAGCCGAAAATAAGAGGTTGGTAGGACTCGTTGACTTAAGAGACGAACAATTAGAGTTACTAAATGGCAATAAACTTAATGATTCATTAACATCGACAAATCTTTCACTTCTACAGAACAAACTCCATGAAGATGGATGTCCCTGTGGCTGTGAAAATCACCCCCATTCACTACATGAGAGGCCCGTTTCAATAGCTGGTTCAGTTCATGAAGGTAGTAGAGACTTGGCCAGCTCTGTGAATCTTAGTGACGATAATGATAGTCTACTTAGTTTTGACGATATTCTGCTGGTCGACTCATCGTTTCATCCTATCAATTCAAACGAAGTTAGACCTGCGCCGGGTGCATTTGCCGCAGCCACAGCCATTGCTAAAATGCAAAGTAAACATGAATTTGAAAATAAACAACAAATGTTAACTTCATTGGTTGCGATATCTTTACCACGTCTGACGGAAGAAACTTTATTTATTCCAACATTGTTGGCAAAGATTTGTCAAGTGTATGGCTATAATTCTAAACCTGCAGTTTTAACTGCAAATTCCATCGCTTTGCTTAAAGAAAGTCCACCGCGGCCAAAGGATTATTCGGATTCTGACGTATTGAATAAACTTATAATGAACCGCGATGATGTCACAAGATTAGATGATGCCGAAGCAATATATTTTATAAAGAACTTGATTGGCATGCCAGACTCAAGGATTGATTTAGATCATTTGACCACCGTTTACTTTCAAGAATGGGGGAATATATTACCTGTGTTACATAAGGATACTTTCTTGAAAAATTATGTTAATTTGACGAATATTTTAGAGCTGGGTCATTTAATTCCAGAATATGAGCCTATAAGTTCGTATGAACTGATTGAAAAATTTAGTGCTATCATAATTTTGATTTTGAGTTTGGCGTTGCTTTCGTCTTCAGGCTCTGATTCCTATTCATCTAACCTCCTTTCAAGTAAATCTAAAGAGCTTGAGTATTATGATTATCTTATTCATGAGTTTATAAAGCCTCACTGCATTATCACGAGGCATTGTTCAATACAATCATTACAAATTTTGGCCCTAGCCTTGCAATATTGTCTAGCAATTGGAGACTTAACGACCTGTTATGAGTTACGAGGAAGAACTATTACCATGGCGCAGCAACTAAGACTTCATCGTTGTCCTGCTGCGGTCTTGGGAATAAGTGGAAATAATATGGAAAATGCCAATTTAAGAAATTTAATGCAGGGTGAAAGGCGTATTTTATTCTGGTGTATTTATTGTCTTGACATTTATTCATCCTTAAACTTGGGTGTTCCTAGATTATTGAAAGATTTTGAGGTGGAATGTGCTATGCCTTTTGCTGGAAACAAAGATGATGACGATATAAATGAAAATATTTTAGTCGTGAATAACACGAAGCTTTCCATTGTTGGCAAGGTTTCAAAGTTTTCGTTGAGCTTCATGCTTTATTGTAAGGTTTTAGGTGAAATATTGGACTCAATTTTCTCTAGATTTGAGGATACAAATTTTCACAAGAAGGCATTAAATAGAGATCAGATGCTTGATTGTTGGAGAAGAGAACTTTCGAGCGATTTGAAATTTGAAATCGACGTTAATGGCTTTACTACAAAAACTTTGACAGACTTAGAATCTTACAACAAATATCAATTAACGTTTATGTTCCTCTATTATCATGCTAAGATATTGATATATCTACCTATTATTTCAAAATATGGTAATCACCATGATGTTGGACTCTCGCAGAAGGAACGGTTAACGAAAGGTGATGAGGAAATGTCAAACATCGTGACAAGTATAAGTATGATACAGCAATCGTCCATCCAAATATTAGAATGTCTTAAATGTTTGCTGAAAGGTCTGCACACATTATCGGTTCCTTTGAATGTTTCGAGAGAGATGGCAAGATTCTCTCTTTTAGTCGCACAAGGGAGTTTAGATTATATTAGAGGAGGTCCATTGTTCCAAAATCTGAAGCAATTACTATTGGAGACTATATCTCTTTTAATCAAAGATTCGGATTCTAACATTCCTAACAAATTAACTAGAAGCTCAGTTAAGTTATTGGAAATGGCAATCTTAAGTATACTAGGCTTGAATACGAATAAAGGCTCGCTCAAAAAGAAGCCCACCAACCCACAACAACCTATCACAAAAACTGCAGTTGCAAGAGAACCAAATCAAAGACGACCTATAGGCAAATCCAAACTCAATGATGACTCCTTGCCAATCGACCTCTCGGTCCTTGAAAACGAGTTATATGATGAAAATGAAAATTTGGAAGATATCTTGATGTTTGACCCTTTCAAAGTTGATTTAAGTCGTAAAGTCATGAACGATGAGTTTGTCACCGATGGCTCCTTAGGGTTGGTTCCTTTCTTAGATGGGAATGGTCTCTTGAGCTACTCTGAAGTGCCTCACGCTGAGGACATCACTCAGTCATATTGATAGAACTATCACTGTACATAGTAGTATAATAGATTTAGAGAAATTATCTTAGACATTGTTAACCGTACTGTTGCGACATTGTCGCTGGGATATGGGGTAATGTTGTGGGGGGATAATATGAGTGCCGTTGGGAAGCCATGAAAGGTTCGCTCTTCAGATTTGTTCATCCTGATGTCTTCCTTTTCAAGGGCTACCTTCAAGAGTCTTAACTATAACTCTTTTCGTCCACAATATCAACCGTCGTTTTATCATTTGATAAGTCAGTATGTTTGTAAAAACGATACATCAAAGTTGCCCATTGACGTTGCAATTGACTTAGGATGTGGTACTGGTATTGCGTCGTTTCCACTTCTTAATTTTACGAATAAGGTGATTGGACTAGACCTTTCGCCGAAAATGATAGAAACTGCTAATTCATTGATTAAAGAACGATGTGATAGTATGAAGATTCAAGATTATAATAGAATTGGATTTTTAACAGGCTCGGTGGAAGATTTTCTTTATCAACAAAATGGTGATAGATTGATTAGTGAAAATAGCGTCGACTTGATATCTGCAGCTCAGTGTATTCACTGGTTCAAGGACTACAAGTCTTTTTTTCAAAATTGTTACACACTATTGAAACCTGGAGGCACTTTAGGGTATTGGTATTACATCGATCCAGTTATACTGGATTTTAGAGGACCATCGAAGGATATATCTAAAGAAGAAGCTACAAAAACGGCATCCGAAATTTACTTTAAGTATGTTTATGATGACCCAGCGTTTTTGGGGTCTCATTGGGAACAGCCTGGCAGAAGTGTTTTGAAGGATCACTTAAAAGAGGTTAACAAGTGCATTCCATATGATTTGTATGATAATGTCACAATAAGGAATTTTGCTTATGATCCAAAAAAGTCCCCGCAGCCTACTCTGGAGGACTTGGATCTCAGCAGATACAATATTCAACTTAGTGACTATGTAGACTACTTACGAACTTACAGCTCTTTCAGTACTTTTAAGGCTGCGACAGGTGACAAAGAAGACATATATGGTCAGCTTTTGAAAGATTTTGAACACCGCTTGGGATGGACCAACGAGACGAAGATTGATCTAGTCTGGAACACTGGCTATACTTTGTTAACTAAAAAATATAGATAATGATTCATATGATGCCCTAAAGATACAAGAACATCATTATGTCTTAATTAGAATTATATAATTGCCAATTGATTGCGCAACTTTACTTAGAGCTCTAATATGAATTTGATCAAAAACTATATGTCCATGCTTCTTTCGCATTCAAAAAAAATAACCAGTATGGCAAAAAACATTATATAATTACTTCTTAAGATCAACACATCATGATCCATAGAATTATCAGCTGTATAATACGGACCATTGTTGTCTCCTTTCTAATCTGGATCGTACTTTCTACCATATTACCTCAATGGTACCAAAAATATACCAACAAAGAAATTCAAACCGGAAAATTTAAGTCCTCATCATATCCATATAGTTCGTTGAAAGCACCAAAAACCAATCCAATTCAAAACAGCTTAGTGTATTTCATAATTGCACATCCGGATGATGAAGTAATGTTTTTTTCTCCATCTTTGATAGAAAGTATAAAACCCAAAAATAATAATAGAGTCAAGTTAATATGTCTTTCCAACGGAGATTTCCTAGGCGAATCTATGGGAAAGATAAGAACAAAAGAACTTTACCGAAGTGCCCAAATTTTGGGCCTTCAGAAGGAAGACGTAACAATACTATCTTCATTTAAAGATGGGATGAATGAGACCTGGAGCGTAGATGACATCCTGAATGAATTGAAGAACTACATCGAATTTGATAATGATAAACTAACATCCTTAATTACATTTGATGAAAAGGGAATTTCCAGTCACCCTAACCATATAGCTGCTTACTATGGTACGAGGAGGTTTATGAATAGAAATGCAGATAAAAGCGTTAAAATGTATGCTCTCAAAAGCTTTAATTTTTGGGAGAAGTACTCCTTTACTCTATTGACTAACCTTGAGCTCTTTCTTGAGCATGCCACGAGACTCATTGGAAATTTTTCCAGAATTAACATACACATTCGACTCACAAATAGGAATATTGATGGCTCCTCCATTAAGTATTATGCCGACTTGAACATGTTGAGTGTCGGTTACGCAGCAATGTCATACGGACATTTCAGTCAAATGATTTGGTTCAGATACGGATGGTTGGTCTTAAGCAGGTACTTAACAATGAATCATTTGATACAAATTTATATATGACGGAAAAATGATACTATTATACAATAAACTTCTATAAATTTTTAAATCCAAATTGCTTTTGACACCAGTTTGCTCCATGTTCAAAGTAATCCTGCTTTGTAATACTGACTTTTTCTATAACTTCATCAGATGACAAGTTTAAACCACCATTCCAGGCCGCCTCATCCTTAGGTATATCAGTGCTGATGGATTTGACACACCAATCCAGCGGTAGTTCCCTTCGCAATTCGCTTAGCAATCTCGATTCAAAATTTGGAAGACACGCTGTACCGCCAACTACGCTTATATTACTTGAGAGTAAAGGTCTTACGACTTCCGGGCAACTCATTATAGACTCAACTGCCAAATCCACCAAATTTTTCATTGGTGTAGACTGTAATAAACTTGAATTCGTGGAATTGTTGTCAAAAATTATTTCTGGATGATAAAAGGATTCAGGAACAGTAAACCGTTCGTCGAGTAACCTCAAAGATTGTGCATCTGGTGGGACTTTTGAGGAATCGGTTTTTACGTATCCGGTGGTAGTCGTCTTAAAATCAGGTAAAATGAACTCTGTCATGTAGTTATTTCTTTTTCTTAAAGCACTGTTGAAGTCTTGTGCAACGAAGCACGTCTTCTCCTTTATCGTATTGATAAGTATTGGTTCATCCGCTATGTCATAGTGCCTGAAAGATATCAACTCTCTCAACAAACCATTCAAGAGCTTCCCTCCAATGGGAAGCTTCTTGACACCTTTCCAGTAAACTTTTTGATATATAACAGGAATAATCCAAGTCGCATAAAACCCAGAGTCTATGACTAGCATATAGTCGCTCTTGTCTGAACCCAGCCAAGGAACCAAGGATGCAGGTATACATCTGTAGTACTCACTGAAGCCGTATTCTTCAAAAACGATCAGATCGGTATTAATTGACAATTGTGGAAGCTGAAACGGCGTCTCCGTAAGGGTCAAGTGCGTCTCAGATGCATCAAATTCGAACTTGTCGAACATGTAATCCCACACGGGTTTTTCAGTTTCCCATGATACTAAGTGGCCCTGGTCATAAGGACGCCTGAATATGATTCCTGAGTAATTATTCGTTTGCTTCAAGTATTCATTTCCAATATATATAGCCCCGTCTTTTGTCTTACTTATGATGTTATGCACCTTTAAAGGTTCAGCACCCTGAAATCCAGCCTTGATATTATATGATCCATTGTCTACAACGAGATGTTTACTCATATCATTACCTTCGCTGCGTGCCTAAAATCTTATGTGAAAGTTTTCTTTTTCACTCCTGTACCTTCTTCCTAAGGTCTTCTTCGTCTATCTCCGCTAGTCAATTTTGCTGTTGCTCGGAGTTCCTAAAATTCTCTCCACGTTGTGGCATTAGGTAGTAATTTTTAGGCTGATTGATGTGATAATAGTTTGTTTTTGTGTAAACGGCGCACCGAAACACCCAATTCCATGAAAATTGTACCGGCATGCCGGTATAATTTTTTGAGACATATATTCGATAGATAACTAAGAAATAAGTTATTGTTATCTTAAATTGTATCATAGCGCAGCAATTCATCTCTGATAGATAAGTAAGATTTAGGCTCACCGGTAGTAAAGGAACTATTAAGCTATATAGATAGTGGAATTTGGGGGGCAGTAATTGTGTTGGATTACATATAATAAGAGATTCTGAAGAGATTAGCTAATTAACTACTTAATAGGCAGAAACGCCTTTTTCAGCAGAGTTAACCTACAAAGTTTCTATTATGGCACTCTTATCCAGAGTATTGCATCAAGATAAACCTCATCATCATTACGAAAAAAATGGAGAAAATCTTACGGTATCACCCTTTACATTGACAATTAAGATCGAATCTCCCCCTGTGATACTTTACGGGACACGGGAAGAATCTACAGGGTTCATCTTATCGGGGTTGCTATTTCTAGACATATTGAAAGAGAAGAATGCTGAGTTGGAATCGGTAACGTTGTCTTTGATACAGACTATGAAATATACTAAACCATTTATTGCTCCATCGAGCACAATTTCAGGCTGCAAGAATTGTTCAGTGAAAAAAAGTACTTTAGCTCGTTGGGATGTATTGACCACTAAAACAATGTTTGCTGTTGGCTCTCATGCGTACCCCTTTAGTCATCTTCTTCCAGGGTCCTTACCAGCGACATCAAAATTAGGATCCTCTCACTCGGGAAGTTATATTAAATATGACTTAATTGCGACAGCAAAAGCAACCAATTTTGATAAGGAGATAGAGGTACTTCTTCCCTTGAATGTAACTCGACTGGTATTAAGAGGGCCGGATAGAAACTCTGTGAGAGTATTTCCTTCTACAGAAGTTTCAGCTAAGGCTGTCTTACCCAATGTCGTTTACCCGAAGTCTACTTTCCCAATAGAGTTATGTCTTGATCATGTTGTGAATGAAAAAGGGGATAGAAGATGGCGAATGAGAAAAGCAACATGGAGAATTGAAGAATCAATTAAAATAAAAGCAAACGCGTGTCCTAGCCATATCAGCAAATTGAAATCGCTAGAAGCATCTGAGAAAAAGGCTGAACGATCTCACGGACCAATTCAAAAACCAATTCCACAGCATCATAGTACAATTCAAACCAGTATGACGTTATCTACATACCCAGGAATGCAGAGTCAAAATCAAAATCCAAATGAGGCATTGGATCATCAGGAAGTTGAAGATGAACACATTCCTCCTGCAGAAGAAATAGATGATCCCATTGCTGATTTCATACGAGGAGCTAATAATTTGAGCATTTCTCAACGGATTCCTACACCTCAGCAGCCGGCTGTTAATACGACAGAAGAACATTTATACTTAGAAGAAACAAGAACAATAAGCCATGGAGAGATAAAATCAGGTTGGAAATCAGATTTTTCCAACACTGGTAGAATAGAGTTGGTGGCCGATATAAATGCATCGAATTTTTCCACTGGATCTGTTACAAATGTAAATAAAAGATCAAGTGAAGATCCAAAGATTGACGAAGAGAAGGAAGGTTTAAAAAATGGCTCCAATGTTGCATGTGATATTGATGATCCCAATCTAGGAGCGTTCGTGGATCACACACTTATATATGAGTTAATTCTAGTTGAGGAGGCAATTCAGAGAGGAAACGAAAAAAGGTCATTAAAAAAAGTGGGTGAATCTCCCCTGCTTTCTCCAGTCAACTCTCAATCATCTACATTAAGTAGTGCTACTCCTCCTTCTAGAGCTAAGGTGGGCACTCCGACGGGAACTGCTCGTGTGTTTAGAATGCAATTCAAAATTATATTAACTGAACGTTCGGGATTAGGTATTGCATGGGATGATGAAGTTCCTCCCACGTACGATGTTGTTAGTAACCTTAGTCCACCAACTTACATGGAATCGTCCGACATTGGAACTCCTGAGTATACACCAAATCTCACCCCTTCTACTTCTTTGACCTCCTCATCACAAGGAGGTGAATTGGCTCAAACGCCGAGAGTCATTTATGGTGTTGGATCATCAGACTCCTCTGGGGGTTTATTCTCAAGTAGGGTAATACCTAGTCTCAGCATTGATCATTTAGTAGGTTTAGATGAAAGTGCTGATGAGTTGAGTAACCATGAGCATGAATGATCAAGTCTTTACATAGTACTATGGCCAATTGTATGTTATTTTATAGTATCACCAAAAAAACTACAGGATTAGATTGAAACAAGATACCTTAAATAGTAAGAAAAGGAAGATAAACAATAAATATACAATACAAAGAAAATTAAAAAGAACAAATCTTCAGGTAGCGCTTGATGCAGCATTAACTTTTTGCTCAACTGCTTGAGCTAGAGTGTTGACCACAGTCGCTTCATTTACAGAGGGGATAGAGCTATTAGCCTCATGCAGATTATCGTTGGCGGATTGACCTGGTGTCCCGTCGAACCTACTAACTTCTAAGAGGGAGCTGTATAACCCTGTCAACTCTAGTAACTCTGTAACCGAATCAGAGCGCAAGTCATAAATTAACTGCTGAAATGAATGAGATTTGATGACATTGATTGACAATTTATTTTCCGTCAAAAATTTCATTAGATGCTTATGAAATTTCATAGCAGAATAAGGGGAGTTGTCGAATTCCGTGGAAAGAAATCTCCTGTTCGACGCCATCCCAAATGGAGCCAATGAGGCATCTATGTTATTAATTTGAGATCTATTCTTGTAGTTTTTCAAACCAGCAGCATTTTTTTTGACCAGATTCAAGTCATCTGCTTCAGAATTAATCTGTGGAGGATTAGAAGATGGGCCAGGATGATGCTGAAAGTTGGATGGATATCCTAAGGGGATTCCATTGGGTGCATAAGTTATGCCATTACCATCTATTGGAATCGGTCGCGAATTATTAATTGAGTCTTTAGTCAACTTGTGTGTTTTCAAGTGCTCACTTAGCTTTTTGGGAGATCCCTTATCTGATGGAAGTCTGGTAATTATCTTACCACAATAATCGCAGGCAGCTATGTTGGGATCTTGGGAGTCTTGTACGAACCAAGACCATACCCATGACTTCTTTTTGGCGCCAAATTTTTGGCCTGGTCTATTCTTCCGTTCTTTCTTTCCTTGAACTTGTTGGCCTGATTGTTGTACATCGTTTTGTGACTCTGGTCCAGTTGTAGACGGCTGCTGAGCTTGGTGAACTACTTGCTGCTGCTGCACCGCTGCCGCTGCTGCCGCTGAATTTGGATCATTCTGCCCACCTTGTCCTGTCAAATGACCTAATTGGCTAGGTTGTTGTAGCGCATTCAAACCTCCAAGATTCCTCTGAGGAAGCTGACCCTGACCATATGACGTAAAAGATAACGGGTTACTGTTGTTCCCAAAGTAGCTCATGGTAATTTTCACTATAAAGCTTAAGAATTTCCCCGACTGTTAAGATTGAAACTATGCTATTGAACTCGGCCAGATACGGTATCCTATGCTCTTAGCTAAAATAACCTGAATGACAGTATCACTGATGAAGTCGATAACTGTATTATAATTCGTATTCTGTAATGTGATGTAAAGCTATCAAAACAACAATATAAACAAGTACCGGTACCTTAGCCGGATAACATTTAAAGGAAAAACGACAGAATATCGAGAAAATCGAGCGTGACGACTATCGGTGGCCGGCTGTCCGGGTTAGACAAAAATTGCAGATCTGATTTCCAGGTGCAGGTCGTCCAGCTCATGATGGGCATGAGGTAGGAGTGGCCATCGTTTTGAAGACAATTATAAAAGTGCAGATAGACGAAAGAATGAGACAGGATTGAAAGATATTAACAGGATTAGATCAAACAGGATATATGATACAGTAACGGGCTTCATGAGGTCATTGGGATTTTCTCCCACTTTCATTTTAAATTCGCTACATTTTCTTTCTAAATACAGATATGATCTGACATCTAATCTGTGGTTTATTAAGGATAACCTTAACCTACGAACACAGCTATTTGCGGCGCTTGAACTAACTTCCGTATTAGTACTACCGACCTTTGTCAGATCTGGCAACGTCTTTTCAGGTTGCGCACACGCAAAATCGATTATATACTGTGTTTAAAGGACTTACAGTCTAATTTGCACCTTCGGTTTAACACTATTCTCATGTTCCGAATAAGAACTGGTATTCCATGTAGTATAACATAGCAGTGTTTCCGGAAGTCTTTAGTGTCTTGTCTGTCTATTTTGCGTTCTCTCAAGTTTATCGTTCTTGTGAGCCCAGCTCCCCGACTCGACTCTCACCGTTGCCGGTCGAGGGTGTCCGGAGAGCCATGGCACCGGGACCCTGAGAAAGTCAGATGCCGTGTATTGTATTTCAAGCGGCTACTGATGTCGCGACCAACACTGCTTAGTGTGAATTAGTTAAGCTTAGTCTTTATAGCCTACTGGCTCTACTGCTAAGTTACGTCCTGTTGGAACGCCATCTACACGTAAAACTTTTGGAACTAAGAAATATTGAGTCGTTAGTTAATTTGATTGCCCCTATTTCAAAGCCCCCCTCCTCTGCGAGTCAACATTCGTCCCTTGACGTTGAAGATTACTTGCAGAATTTATACTTTCTTGGTAGTCGCTGGTAGTCGCTAAGTTAGCTGTAATGATTATAGCAGCCCTGAAAAATTTCTGGACTTTTTTTTTTTCGCAGCCAGTGAGCCAGCCATCTAAAGAGATTTTGGAAAAGAAAAGCCATTTTCGGTAGTGACGTACTAATCTAGAAAGAAAGCACCGAAAAAGCTACTGGACTCTTCCATATTAAGCACAAGTGCAACAGCATTAATTCAATTAGGCAAAGCAGCTGTCAAGGTGGGTGACAGAGGTACAAACTACGATATACGTACAGGATTACAGATGCTTGACAGCTCAAACCAGTCATATTAAGTCTAAACTGATGCAAGCAGTTCGTTGAGTTGTCATAAGGAATCTTTTTAGTAACTTTACCAGCATGAAAATTGCCAGTACGGCAGTCTAAGTATATATAAGTAGAGCATTTCTTTAAACTTGGTGGTGACTTGGTTTTGATTTATTTTCTAGTTAACGTACAATTAAATTCCAGCCACAAGGCAAGCCTGATATAACGCCGCTCATTATTAAACTAACCCTAGTCCTTCTTTAGCTGCTAATCTGATTTTAAAGCTGGTCCACGTTAATTAAAATGCAATTGAATTCTTATTTGTCGCTTTTGTTCGCCGGTTTGGCATCTGCAGCAATTATTGGTAATAAGAGAGACGATGCAGTTACTGTACATCTTCAGAAAACTGTTAACAAAGTTCACACCAATACCCAGGTTGTGGAGGGATCTCTCTCGACTGTTACTCATTTGAATGTGGAAACTTCTACGACCACTAGTACAAGTTATACCGCCACTGTTACTATTACAGTGTTCGGGACTCCAACTACATACACCACTGTTGCTACCACGCCTTTGGATGGTAGCACACCAGATGGAAATGATGTTACTACTTCTTCCACCTTGCCATCTCCAGGAACAACTTCCACTGAATCTACATCCCCTACAAGTAGCTCGACTGGAGCAGCCTCAGCAGGTGAAACAACTTCTACTGCTTCCACATCGGTCCCAACGACATCTCCGAATGCTAAAGCCACGAGATCTTCGTCAAGTACTAGTCCTACGACTTCTTCTTCTTCTTCTTCTGCTGCTGCTGCTGCTGCTGCTTCTTCTTCGTCGTCGTCATTGTCGGTCACTAGCTCAAGCACCGGCAATTCTGGACCAACAATCACCAATGCCGCTTCTATTCCGTCGTCAACTTCCTCCTGGATCATTGAAAATGTGACAACTACCACGCTGGATGGTGTCTGTCGCGTAGACTATGATTACTATGAGGTATCCGATTCAGACTCGGTGACCTCAACTTCTACAGTATATGCTACCATAACTAAGTCATGATGCATTATAATTGTTTCAATAAATGTATAATAAGAGAACTAATACGTAGAAACTTTATTCAATCAACATTGATGTAATCATTACCTTTTAAGATATTACCTCGCCGATTTCGCTGGCTCTATTCCTTGGAGTATGTGTTGCTGAACCGAATTTCCATTCCTGGATATAGCGGACAACCGTTTTTGTTTACTAGGGCTGATGTCCTATTAATATATTTTGTCACATGTTTGCATCTTTGTGTAATTTCATTTCATCAGGCTCAATCGTGATAGACCAAAATTTTTCATCATTCGCTATATTATACTCATAAGGAGAATTACAATTATTAAGTTAACTGTTTTTTGAAGGACACTTTATTAAAAACACAAGATGGGTATGTAATAGGAAAAAAGGGTTTTAAAATGAAGTACATGGCAGAAAGAGCAACGTTTAATGTATCTAAAGACATAGCATAGAGAACAAATACTTGGAGACAGCATACATAAGGAAATGGATTTAGGAGGAGCAAAATAATAGAAAAGGAAAGAGAACGAAAGAAACAGGTTTTTGAACAGCCTCAAGTGTTTAATAGTGTGTAGTTTGTTTTATTCTAAACATATATTAATGTGGACTGTGACAACTAAGTACACTCCCCTATGAATGATATTGGATAGGTACTGAAGATACTAGCCAAACTAACAGTCTTTGCAAATTTGCGTCATATACTATTTCCCAACTAATAAGCTCAATAGATTACTAACAACTTTAGTTAACGTTCCAAAGACTAGAAAAACCTACTGTAAGGGTAAGGAATGCCGTAAACACACTTTGCACAAGGTCTCTCAATACAAGACCGGTAAGGCTTCCTTATTTGCCCAAGGTAAGAGAAGATATGACCGTAAACAAAGAGGTTACGGTGGTCAAACCAAACCTGTCTTCCACAAGAGAGCTAAAACTACTAAGAAGGTTGTCTTGAGATTGGAATGTACCAAGTGTAAGACCAAGGCTCAATTGTCCTTAAAGAGATGTAAGCACTTCGAGTTGGGTGGTGAAAAGAAACAAAAGGGTCAAGCCTTACAATTTTAAGCTTAATCATGCTCTGGTAATGATCTGTATACTTAAGTCATATATATATAGCTGAAATTGGGGTTTATTAAAACTTTCTTTTGTTAATAAACACATATGCTTTAATAAGAAAATCATTAGATCCTCTCAACACATACTCTTAACGTATATATTTACTGCATTATACTGCATGATTCGGCATATACACCAAAAATAACTATCTAGTTCTGTTCATATAGGAGTTGATTACTGTTCAGTATCGTGAAATTTGGCTAGAATCGCGGTTCAGATCAAAATTTTAAAAAGTCAAAACATTGTTGTTTGAAAAAAAGTTGAGGCTTACTTATCATTATTTCTTTCTCAAAGAATATATTGATAAAGCTTAAAAGCTTACCAATTTGACATACTATAGAAAACTGAAGTTGTGGCATTAATTAAAAGTCGAAAACATTTAAAGTTTGTGGATTTCATTGAGCGAATAAACAAAACACACAACAAAGACCGACCACAGGCTGTTATACACTCTAATCACATAAACGAGTTATAGAGCTTTCAACAACGAAAACGTTAATTTTCGAGAGTCTATAAGAGGCGGCCAGACGTAGAGCTTGTGAAGAAATTACAATGAACTACGATCATCTAAATGACGAGCAGAGGCAGCGACTCTATTATCAATACTTACAGCAACAGCAACAGCAACAACAGCAACAACAGCAACAACAACAGCAGCAGCAACAACAGCAGCAGCAACAACAGCAACAGCAACACCAAAATCAACCTCGGCAGCAACATCAATTTCAGCAATCTTCTCACCATCAACAATTTCTCCTGCTGCCGTTCCAACAGTCACAACAAAATAAAGCTTACGACAATGGCAACAGATTCCAACAAGTTCCGAACCACTACCCCGGCGACCACCAGTCGCCCAACGACAGCTATATGGAGGATGATACTGTAAATCAATATGATAATTTCTTGAACAGCTCGCCAACTTTCAACAGCAGTGCCCATGATCAGGGAAAGTTTCAGTCTATAGATTCATTAAACTTCAGGCCCCCTACATCGACTTTTACTCAATTGGCAAACAATAGCAGTACCAATTTATCTGAAACTAGTAACGTTTCAGCTGCAAACTCAGCTGCTTCTAACGAACAAACACCGCCTAGAACCCAGAATCCAGCTCAAGCCTTTACTCAGAAGCCGGGACTTCAGCAGCAAATACCTCAGCAGCAGGCACCCCAATATGGCTACCAAGCTGTGCAACAGCAGCTGAAGCAACCAAATAATTTAGTGAGGATACAAGCCTCTAATTTAGAGTCGTCTGACTTTCAGCCGCCAAGAACAGAGAAGTCCAATTACGTTTATTTTACAAGACAAGCCAATCAATTGGATAAACTGATACAAGATAAAGCAGCAGCAGTGAAGTTAAAACTTGAAAATTATTACCAAATGTCAGTTAGCCACGCGATTGAAAGGAATCAAAGACGATTAGATTTGGAACACAAGGTGATGAATGAAGGTATTGGATCAAGTGAAGAGAGAAAGAACCGACAGTTGCAGAACTTAGGTAAGAAAGAGTCTCAGTTCTTGAGACTAAGAAGGACGAAGTTGTCTTTGGAAGACTTCATTACTGTGAAAGTAATAGGCAAAGGAGCCTTCGGGGAAGTTAGATTGGTTCAAAAGAGAGACACTGGTAAAATATATGCTATGAAAACATTATTGAAATCTGAAATGTACAAGAAAGACCAATTAGCCCACGTTAAGTCAGAAAGAGATGTATTAGCTGGCAGTGACTCGCCGTGGGTTGTATCGTTATATTATTCCTTCCAAGATTTGCAATATTTGTATTTAATTATGGAGTTTTTACCAGGAGGAGATTTGATGACTATGCTTATAAGATGGCAGATTTTCACAGAAGATATTACAAGATTTTACATGGCCGAATGTGTACTAGCGATAGAGGCAATCCACAAGCTAGGATTTATTCACAGAGATATTAAGCCGGATAATATCTTGATTGATATTAGGGGACACATAAAATTAAGTGATTTTGGACTTTCCACTGGCTTTCACAAATCCCATGATTCCAGTTATTACAAGAAATTGTTAGAAAAAGAGCCTCAAAGTCAGCATCTACAACCCGGAAGTGCAACAGCTGGAGCTGCCACAACAAATGGAAGGAATTCGATGATGGTTGATGTGATCAACTTAACTATGTCCAATCGACAGCAGATGCAGACATGGAGGAAATCACGTAGATTGATGGCATATTCAACGGTTGGTACGCCAGACTACATTGCTCCGGAAATTTTTATTCACCAAGGATATGGTCAAGAGTGTGATTGGTGGTCTTTGGGCGCAATTATGTTTGAATGCTTGATCGGATGGCCACCATTCTGCTCTGAGACTCCTCACGAAACTTACAGGAAGATATTGAATTGGCAAGAATCACTCCAGATTCCGGAGGATATTCATTTGTCTCCTGAAAGTGAGGACTTGATTCGAAGGTTGTTGACCAATTCAGAGAATAGATTGGGAAGATATGGTGGAGCTGAAGAGATCAAGAAGCATCCATTTTTTCGGGGTGTGGATTGGGAAACAATCAGAAATGTCGACGCTCCCTTTATTCCAAAACTAAGATCCATCACTGATACTAGATTTTTCCCCACTGACGAACTTGAAAATGTACCTGACTCACCTGCTCTTACAAGAGCTCAAGAACAAGGCGATGACATGGTCAAAGAGGACTTGCCTTTTATAGGTTACACGTATTCTAGATTTGACTATCTTACTCGTCGGAATGCATTGTAATTACCGACACATATCACACATTTAACACATATTTAAATAGTTTACTTCGATAGAATCAAGCTATATCTAATAGCTGTACAATTAGATTAACATTAAAATAAATTTCTCGTGACTTAATCATCTTATTGTCAACATATTTTTAGGACAAACTTCCATACCGATTTCTGAAGCAAGGAAGCAAGTAGCAACCTCCTACATTTAAAATGCTCATACTCTTTTTGTTAATAGCCGGTCTCTCGGAAACAAAAAAAAAGTATCTACTCAATTGCGTTCGATCCGTCAGCTCAGCTTGCTTTGATCGGATCTAATCCGAAACTAAATGTCCGGCTAGTTTCCCTTTGTCTGAAAATGTGAGTCTGAGACATATCTGAAATTTTAGTCTGTCTGTCTATTATTAAAATATCTCTCATCATTACTAGGTTCAGCCGACTCTGCTCTCATTACTCTTGACGACTGTTGGCGCGGCTCTCAATGTATGCCTTTATTGTTTCACATTTGAAACTTAATCGGTGTTCAATCTCTCCTGGAATACCACATTCGTAAATACGAGACTCCTTCTTAGATTTGCTCTTACTAATTGTATTGTTGCTTCCTTATTCTTCCTCGTTATTCCTGCTAAAATTTTAGCGATTTGCAGCACTTTTCATGTTGTGCTGGATGTAATTTACCCGTTTCGTCATTTCTCGGTTGAAAATTCGCCACCCACCAATGAATTTTACTAAGCATATATGTAATTAATATAACGCCCTCGCATGACCAGTGCCAAGCCGATGCCTAAAATGCAAAAGTTATTGTTGCAATGTGCAAATGCCGGGTATAAAATATAAAATTGGCGAGCGTAACTTGCAAAAAAAAGTGTTTAAAATGGCACCCCGTTCCGTCCGCTCCGGCGGATCCGTAGGTCGCCGTATATAGGCAGCGACTCCCCAGACGTTGCCAAATGACCCTTACAGGCACTTTATTATGCGATTCAGTCGATTTTTAGCGGTAGGTTTAACTACCGTAGTTGTTCAGGCTTTAATTGATGAAATATGGTTAAGTAGCGAGATCAACAGAATAGACACGCTAGAAAGACGTCAGAATGAAGAATTGGGAGCCCTCAATGGGCGAAGCATGGGGCTGATCAAAGGGCTGAACGGCGTAAAGCTGAAGCGCGATAATATGGGCGCGCACGACAATATGGGCAGCATGGGACATGCCGATCACAGTGAGAATAGCGACGATGTCTCGCTACCGCTGCCACTGCCAGTGCCACATGTAGAGCATCATCATCACGGCGTTCCTATATTGGAGACAGATCTTCTTCCGGAGGAGCGTGTATGGTGGGAAGCTTACAATACTACGACATATTTCAGTGCTGGCGGCCGTACTGGCTTGCTTTATAGTCATATAGTATTAGTGTGGGTATCCTTCATTTTCTTATACCCAGTGTCTTTGGTATTGAATAACATTGGTGCAAATGAATGGCACTTGGCATTACTTTTTGCTCACGCCATACTGGTAGCAATGGGTATCTTTTGTTATTGGGGGTTTTTAGGGTCTGTATCTGGAGAGTTGTATCCTGGAAATGCATACCATCCAATGACCCTTATATTGTTCATTTCGAATTTCCTCACTGTGCTCTTTGCCGTTGTACGCTATGCTCATTGCTGGCTTAGTGGAGGAAGCTCGAATGGTTATGAATGCTTAAATGACGAAGAATCGAGCTGTATGACACTCTATGACTTGTCACGGAATAATCTGCCACTGTCTCCTGGTAATATTTCTACAGATCATAATGACAGCAGCATAGATGATCTTCCTCTCCCTCTGCATCATTACAAGACATCAAGTAACTCTATGGTACCTCCCTCGAAAATTCAAAGCTTTTTACGTTCAAGATTAATAACAGGATTGGTAAACCATCTCGGTAAAGTATCGGCCTTGGTTTTCAGCATTCTTCAATGGGGTCAATTAGCATACTTCTGGGTCTATCTTCCTACTGGTGTAGCCACTTTCTTGCTATTAGGCAAAGGCATTGCAGTATTCAACCTTTTGGCTCATTTTATAAAGGGCGGTGTTTTCTTCTGTTATGGTATTCTTTCATTATCTCGTTACTGCGGTGCATACTCTGGTAAAGGGTGGGCTTGGAATCATAAGTTTATCACCAGCAGTGAGCTCTCCAAGTCAAGATGGTATCGCATTCAATCTAATGGTCTCTGTTCTATGGAGCTCTTGGAAAGCTCGTTAATTTTGTTCTATGGGTCTACTAATATATTCTTGGAACATTTATCTAATGCTGGTAACCCTTATTCTGCAAAAGATCTTCAACATGCATCAATAGCATTTATTTTCATCGGTTGTGGATTATGTGGAGTATTGACAGAGGCAAAGTTAAGTCATTGGCGTTATGAGAAAGCAGTTGAGCATTTAGAAATGAAAGTAAGAGGTTCAGGCGAAAACACAAATGAAGTACATTTGTCAAAGATTGTGAAAGCTTGTCCAGGCTTCTCTCCAAATCCATTTCCTGTTTTGACTATTTTTTGGACGGGATATCTTATGTCAAAGCACGAGCAATCACTGCAGTTAGCTACTGATATTCATACTCAATGGGGAAATTTGTTCATGTTTGGATGTGCTTTTCGCTTACTTTCATACTTAATGGCAATGCTTGGCCCAGCCGCCAAATCATTAACAGAGCCAAGCTGGCCATTTACTGAGCTTTTAGTTAGCTTCGCATTACTATGTGGAGGGTTGATTTTCATGGAATCAACAGAGCCAGTGGTACAAATCTTTGAATATAGAGGCTATACATCCATGTTTACTTTGAACGTATCATTGGGATTGGTTA